AATCCTCCATTCTTGCCACGGTCTCTAACCATGAAGAAAGACTCATTCCCGAATTCGTCCTCATCTACATGGAACAGAATACAGTTAATCATAAAGTGGATAAAAACTGTATCTCCTTACCATATCAACACATTTTAACTCTAAAAAGTCATACATAGCTTCTTTATTATAACTTTTCTTATTCTTGTTTATTTATTTTTATCCATTTTCAAGTATTCGAAATTGAAAAACATTTTAACAACTTAAAATACATCTGAATACTATATTGAAGCTACGAATATAAAATATTTGTTCCATGTTAAATTTCAAAAAAATTATTGAGCTAAACGATTTCATTACCTTTCTGAAAGCATAAACAAGGGTTATCATGGTTATAGAATCTGAAGGACTCAAAATTAGCTATATTTTAATAAAACTAATATGCCATAATATTAATATAAAAAAAGTTATTAAATGATGATAAACACAAACAAATCAGAAATGAACCCTTCATTGATCTGATTTATAAAACAAAATCGTTCATAATCAAATTATAGAAGAATAGTTTAAAACAAAAACAATTAACTATTCCTCCTTCCCTATGCATTAACACTTAGATTTTATCAATATCTCATTTCGATAATTATTTAGTGAGAACCGCATGGGTTACACATGGTTCTAAATCACTTCGTTCACACTTGTTCATGAAACATCGAAAACAATCTTTCGGATAAGCCCGGATGCATTCAGCATTCTATGAACAAGTGTGATCGAAGTGATTGTGAACCACGTGTAACCCACAGGGTTCTCTTCTAAATAATTATCCTCATTTCTCTCCCTATCAACTCATTCCAAATTGCTTAAAATTTCAATTTTTTATTTCCAGTATTTTCTTTTGACAGTCTGATCTTTTCAGTAGGACTCATTTTTAGTTACATATACTTCTTAGGTTTCTATATTTTCCTGTTTGTTCTTCGTTTGTGGTCTATTTATGTTGGCAGGCATATAATAACTAATATATCTAAAAACAAATCAGCTACAAAGATCAGATGTTAAAATAGAGTCAATCAAAATTATTTTTATTTAATTTAAAAATTAATATCTTTAATTGTTGAGCAAAAATATCTTTCATTTTTATTCCTCAATTGTGTTTATTTAAAAATAATGAAGTTTCGATTATGTATCTCTAACAGAAAATTTTAGTTATAAACCAACAACTGTGTAAACCACACATGAAATGATAGAAATTAATTTTAAATAGTTTGGAATTCACTAAAGTTATAACTACTTACTTCATTACTGCTGCTGTTGTGAATAGTTATGAATAATATTTTGTTCTAACATTTTATTCAGAACTACCATTACCAAGTCTAGCCCTTGACACAACTTTTCTAGTCTGGTTATTAAATACCTGGACCATGTTTTAAAATCTGTCATATTTCAACACTTTACTTCAACATTACTGTTAAATGGAGATAATAAAAGAATGAACAGAGAAGTTATTTTTTCTCAACAATTCCTAATCACTACAAATTTCCTAATACATTTGAAAAACCGGTTTCAACAATTCGTAATTTAAATGAAAATTTAATTATGAAGAGAAAAAATTAAGAGTTACATAGCTTCATTTTAGTATTTGGCAGATTTCGGCCTCACTCCACACTTAAAATTTTTGACAGTTGATACTTGCTGCTGTTTTCTGAACCCCACCCCTTTAATTTGGGTGAGAAATGTTATTTAGTAAATGCTCTGAAAAGTGAACCGCTTTGAGGCAAGAATTTGACTATCTGTCCCGGTTTAGGGCTTGTTGGAACAGCAGACTAACTATCAAGAACCTGCTTTGGACCTTGTTGGAACTCCAAAACTGTACTGCGCATCCATAAACAGTTCAGAACTGGTTGTTGGAACAGACCAAAGACTGCTTAGCATCACTTGAACAGAGTCTTGTACCAATATTGCCAGCCTATGGCAGAAGCATTTGGCACGGAATTAGTTTTTTTTAATGACAACGCTAAACATCATGGAGTCAGATTTGTAAATTTTATTCTTTGAAATTCAAGAAATTTTCCACCAGGATAGGCTGCTTGCTCTCCAGATTTAAATCATGAACATTTATGGGTTCAACTTCAAAGATGGATTTTCGGACAGAAAATCTTTTCACAAACTCTGGATGAACTGCACACAGCACTCTTAGAGAGAGATGATCCCTCAAGATATCATCAAAATGCTACAAAGAAGTATGGCTCATTGTTTTCAGGCTGTATTTAATGCTTGAAATGGACTGATTAAAACAAAAAAAATCGTAAATTATTTCAAAATTTTAAATTTACTTTTTAATTACTAAACTCCCCAAAACCAATGTAAACAGTTTCTTTTAGATTTTTTTCTTAATGTATTACTTATAAATGTGTAAAAGTAAATTACCTTTTAAAAATTAAATTCATTAAATAATAATTCATTTTTTTTCATCTTATTTTGAATGATCAAATTCATTTGCTAATGAGTATATATATTTATCCCAAGAACGAGGTCTTCACTATAGTTAGCAACCCTGATTGTATGAATTATAAAATGCAAGTACTTAATCAATCTCATTACTCAGTATTATAATTTGTTTTTAAAACTACTTGTTTTTCTAATTAATTCTCTTAATTTAAATTTTTTAAATTATAATATATAGAAACAGCCCTTATAATGTATTTGTTATAAATTATATAGTTAATTATTAGATGAGAGAATTAAAAATATTAAGTGCTTTTGTTAACAACAGTAAGCTTATTGAATAGATCGAACAATTATTCAGAAATTTTAGAACATTCTTATTTTATAATGGATCTTTCACTGCAGCACTACTAATTATCAATGAATGATAAGTTAATGGAGTGTAGGAGGCTAGTTTAACAAGCAAAACTTCCATTTTTATTTTATTGTTTTTCTTTTAATGTAATTTCATTTTAAAATATATTACTTCTTGGTTGATCTACAACTGTTGTGATTATTTTTGGATAATACTATGTATTTATTTTTACTTACCTCTATAAAAATATATAGCATAGAAAAGTATTGCGATCATCAAAATTTTAAATCCAAATTTTTAACGGAAATAAACATTTTGAGATCATCTGAGTCAAAGTAAACAAGTTTCACCAAAGGGTTTGTGTGTGTTTGTGAAAACATTGGCTTACTAGCCCAGTCTAATTAGTAAAAAAAAAAAAAAAAAAAAAAAAAAAAAAAAAAAAAAAAAAAAAAAAAAAAAAAAAAAAAAAAAAAAACGGGGGTCTAGCATGCAACAAATTGGATAATTCAAATTTCATTTTTATATTGTTAGGTATTATTATCCAAGTTACCACCCTTGAAGGCTTGTGGGTTTGCTGCACTGTTCCAAAAACCATTGGAATTTCAAACTTGTTTTGATTTGCACTAAATACCTCCTTTTTAAAGCGACATAGATAAAAATTTGTTATATTCCTTCTTAAACAACATAAAATTATCTAACATTTTTTTCTAAACCCAACTAGAAGCGAATTATCGAGCTTTCAAAATGAGTAAAGTTTTAAAAATTCACAAAAAAACATGCATAATTTTGAAGAGATGTTGGTTGGAATTTTCAGTCGAACATACAAAGTTAAAATAAATAAATGATATTTATTTTTACTTTGTATTTTTGGCTGAAAACTCTAACCAACTTCTCTACAATTAACCATCAATCCACTATTATGCATAGTTTTGTGTTTTAAACTAATTATCTGTTTTTATAGTTGATGTAGCTCAAATTTTTAAATTAAATATTAAAATACACACAATTTAGTACAGCTTTTATAGAAAACATATTTGTCTAAACTTAACAACTTAAATACAAACTGCAAAAAAAAATGTTTAGAAATTCAAAAAACTTATAATTTTATTTTTGCTGTTTTTCACTTATTTTAATGAAATTGGCCATCAAAAATTGCTTTTTTTCTCATTATTTTAAATGAACTTTATTCTAACCCATTTTTTAAAAATTAATATTATTCAAATAATATACCTTTGTATTGTTACCATCTCAAGACTGTTCGATTTTTCACAATAGTACTCTTACAATTTTGAACGAAGGAAACTCCATTTTAAACCTTGCCCAGAGCATTTGGAGGTGTTCCTTGAAGATTGATGAGCCATTGATTGGAATGGTAGTCAGGAGGTGTTTTGAAAAGTATTTAAACACAATGTAGGAAAAACAATTCAATCCAGTTCTGAATTTATTTATTCTTTTGGTTTAATGTCTGTTAGATAGTTCATATTTGATTATTGACGCATTAAGAGCTTTTCATTGGCCGGACAATTTCTTTGATCCGAGAACCTTTTATAGTCAACATGATCTATGTTTTTTTAGATTTAGCTTATTTTGCAAATACAGTTTTGAACTTCTAGCATTACTCAATACTCTTCAACAATTATCAAAATTGTTTTTATTGTAGCAGAGGAAAACATCAAGAATGCTTAAACAAATCATGTAAATAATGTCAAATTAAAAAGGTAGAAATTCCAAAACAAGGAAATTGTTATTCTTTGCAAACAATAGTTTTTTTCCCCTGCAAACCTATGAGATTTGAGTTAACATTTGTGAACACTTTAAACTAAAATTCTTAATTTCTTCATTTTGGTGCTTAAACCTTTTTGCTTTAACACCATCACTATGATAGGCTTATTATATACCAACAGAAAATAAGTAATTCTTTTGTTCTTGACATATTTATTTTAAGAAGTTTTTTTATTTTAACACCAACCACAGTTCTTAAATCCTAGAAAAAAATAAAATAATTTTGGGTATATGTACAACCTCAATGTTATGAAATGAAATTTTCAACATGATGTATATTTGAAAGTATTAAAAAGTTTTATTTAATAAAACATTTTTTTTCACAACATGAAAGCATTAATTAAATGCAATATAATGAATGTGTTCGAAACAGTTTAGAATATTGAGAAGCCTAATCCATTAAAAATGTTTGTTTCAAATATTATTGTAAAGTATTAAAAAAAAAAAAAAAAAAAAAAAAAGAATCATTTTAAGATTTAAAAACTGAAGAAAATAATTAATTTAAACAATTTTAGATTAATTACAAATTGAGTGAAAAATGTTAGAATAGATAATTCTAATTAACTAAATAGTGAAGCAGAGTAAATATTTTTTATCTCTACTAAATAATTCAAATATAAATTTCAAAGGAGTACATAGCTTTTATTTCAATATTCTGAGATAAGTTCGCAAATTTTGTATTTGTGCTTAAGCACACAAACGTTTTTCTTAAATTCACTTTTTCTATTTATCCTTTTCTTTGTCTTTATCTGAAGAATTAGTATCTTTTGTAAGAGCCTGCTTAACAGCCTCACTCTGTGGGTCAACACCTGGCAAATTTTCAAGAACACTCTGTAGAAATGCTGGATCTGTCATCATTTCAGTGTAATCTTCAACTTCCATGGCAGTTTCCTTCTTTTCTTCATCTTTTTTTTCCTGATCAGTGGAAGCAGACGGCTCCTCTGAAAAAATACAAATATTGGAAATGAAGTCACTATTACATAGTTGGAGGACTTATTGACAAAATTGATCGATCATAGCTCAGTGGTTAAAGCATTTGAATGCAAAACTGATGAAATAGAAACCGAAAAATAAAATGTAACAGTATTTTCACCATTTAACAGGAAAAACAAAAAATTGTGAAACAAAAGAAAAATATTAAATTCTAATTTTACACGTTACTCAGAACTTTTGAATAAATCATCTCAAAATATTTTGTCAATTTTGATAATATACAAATTTATAAGGAAAATGGAAAAAAAAATACCACAACCTTGGGTCTTGGGTTCAGTACTATTTAGGGAAAGCACTGTTTTTTTGTCAAGGTTGTGCAAGGAGGTGATATGACCGAAATGATGCTCAACTGCCAGGTTTTCCCCCTTAATTAATTATGTAATTAAGGGTACCCACTTTATAGAGGATGGGTGAGCCCTAGAAGGCTCTCTTGACATCAGGGTTGCCCCATAGCCAATGAAACAGAAGAAATAATTTTTCTGCCATGACCCGGGATTTGAACCTGGGGCCTTGAGCATTGGAAATTCAGCACCCTTCCACTGAGCAATTCCACTCCCCAAGAAAATATCAAACAAAAATAAATTGGAAAGTTAAGAAAAGGAAAAAAGAATATTAAAAATATATAAATAATTTTTTTAAATTTAAGATATTTTTTAAATAAGTTATTTGTTAAATTAAGAATATAAAATTGGAAAAGACATTAGTTAGAATTTTCAAAATGAAACTAGGAGATATTAAAGTATTCAGTGAAACCTCTTGATAAGCACCTCTCAATTTATTTATAATTTTAAATGGACTGGCACGGGAGGATACAAAAAAAGTAGTTTTGAAACCTCTTTTTAAGAAACACTAGATACGAGACGCAGACAAAGAAAATTGCCATAAAATGACTTTTAAGACCTCTCAATAAAGTATAGGATATAATTTCTTTTTTCCTAAAATGCATTAATCTAACAGGTCTTAAACCAAATATCTTCCAACTATTATACATTTTTTAATAAAATTGCATGTTTCAATGACTGAAAAATCTTTATGTGAATTTATTTTTGATATCGAGTAGTATGAAATGTTTTTCTGATTTAATGAACTTTTCCTTGATCCAGTGGCTGACATTTTGAAGTTGTTTGAGGTTTGAAGTTGTTAGGGGTATTATTTAATGTGATTTACATTAAATAACATTAGTTTTCAAAAATTATTATTTATAATTTTTTTCACCACTTTCTGTTACCTTCTACAATTTTCTATATTATATATTGTTTTTTCTAAAATTCTCCGCTATCCAACAATATGTTGTAAGGTTATGTTCCTTTTTAAAAGTAAACAAAACAGTTTCTTAATCAAATAATATTCATTTAAATCAATAATTAATTCTCAGGTTGGGATGAGACAACAAACACAAATCTCCAATCATACAACATAAAAGCATACATTATTATACATAACATTTATGAATTTCCATTATTTGTCGGAGTCTACTCTTTGAATGCTTTTGGAGTGTCACTATTTAAATTTCACTCGCCCTGTTCTACAGTGAATCTTCCTCTAATGTTCCTTTGTTGACACTCACTACTTGCTAACTCACATTTTCTTTTCTCGATCCTCTTTACTAGCCGGTTGGTCACTTTCTGACCTTACATATGGAACTTGCTTCTCTTTCCATCTGTCTTCATCCATTTTTGACAGTAGTTTGTGACGTCACTGCATTCGCGCCAATATTCAAAATCATCATGTGATATTTACATTTCTATATTATACGTATACCTTCAGACTAGTATTAACAGATATTCATTTTCGACCAGGATATGCATTTTTATTCAATTATCAAATTCTTTCAAAAGTTATAGTTAGCATTTTTTCGTAACTCTTAATAATGTGAGATAGTTAATTATTTAAAATAAACCATATTAAAAGTACTTTAGAGGAAAATGTATATGAACATTGGACATTTAAGCCCTGTAAAATGACATCAATAAAGGATAAGTGATAAGACCAGATAGATATTAAAGACCACTTAATTATACAATGATACACTGAGTTTAATAAAAATCGTTAGAGCTGTTTTTGGGAAAATTGTAAAATGTGTTTCATCATTGATATAAAGTGGCACTTCCGATTAGCCGATTTTAAGGAAAAAGTTGCTGTCATGTCTGAGGCATATACCTATCTTAAATAAATAATATCAGTTTCGTACGACTTTTCGTTTTTGTTCTAGACTGATAACATACACACACACCATTTTGTGGGACTTGGTTATTTGGACTCAGGGAACCTCAAAACGTGTATTGCCATTGAAAACTCAGATTCAAAAATTTTCATGATCGCAATACTTTCTCTTACTATATATTACATATATAGGGGTAAATGAAAGTAAAAATGTTACCTCCTCAAACGGCACTTCCGATTAGCCGATTTTAAGGAAAAAGTTGCTGTCACGTCTGAGGCATATACCTATCTTAAATAAATAATATCAGTTTCGTACGACTTTTCATTTTTGTTCTAGACTGATAACACACACACACACACACACCATTTTGTGGGATTTGGTTATTCGGACTCAGGGAACCTCAAAACGTGTATTTCCATTGAAAACTCAGATTCAAAAATTTTCATGATCGCAATACTTTCCCTTACTATACATTACATATGTAGGGATAAATGAAAGTAAAAATGTTACCTCCTCAAACAACTTCAAAGTGTCAGCCACTGGATCAAGGAAAAGTTCATTAAATCAGGAAAATATTTCATACTAGTCGATATCAAAAATAAATTCATATTAAGATTTTTCAGTCATTGAAAAATATATCTCAGTCCTAGATTCAACTTTTTAGTTCAGTTCATCAATGAAGAGATTAATCAGAGTTGAGTTCACAAGTGTTTCATAAAAGTTGAATTTAAAATGAGATGGGCATTCAAGAAAATGAAGAAGAAATATTGAACATTAGTGGCCTACTAAGGTTTAGGCTATTGTAATTTTGATTATCTCTTAATAGATCAAAATGTGTCTGGGGATGATCAGCGAGTTGAAATGAATTCAATAATTGAGAATCTTAGAGAAGACAAACACCTAGAGAAGTATGAAACTGAGGGCTTACAGCAATAAGAAATTGTTGAAGCTAGAGATCCATTCAAAAATCAATATTTACGTTTTAGATCGGAATGTCACTGAAAATTTTGTTTCTTCTAGTTCTTTTACATTCAGATGTTATAAGTTTGTTTCTTTTATTTATTTAATGTTTTGTTAAAATCCAATGTCATTAATGGCTAATTTGAATTTTTCAACTTTTGATGCGTACAATTTTTGTGTTTCCTTAATATTTTATCTGTACAATATAACATTTTTTTAGTATACAATATGCGATTACAAATCCAGATTTATCTATTTGGTTGGTTGTTATGGAGTTAATATAAAATCTGTAGATTATCAACACCGTCAATTAAGTTTATATATATGTATATTTTTATTTATATAATCGGCTCACTAGAGGCAAGAGGAGTGTCACCAGACCTGAAGAACGTAATTGCGGCTCTCCTACGTTCAAACCAAATCAAGATTGGGATCGGAGCCCACTCGACTAGCTGGATCAAGGTGCGGCGAGGAGTACCCCAAGGCGGACCCTTGTCGCCCTCGCTGTTCAACCTGGCTATAGATCATCTGTACCGCGACCTGTGTGAGCAAGAATTTGCCAACCGCTATGGATATAAATTAAGCAGCGACCAAGAATGTGTGGTCCTCACAGGCTTCGCGGATGACCAGGCTGTTACAGCGTGTGACAAGGGTGCTGCAGAGAGGATTGTTAATGGTGTGCAGAGGATCCTTGCCGAGATCGGTCTAGCAATAAATCCGCAGAAAAGCGTGGGCTTGATAGTCGAAAAAGGAGAGCTGCAACAAACAAAGCTCTCCCTAGAGAACGGAGAAGTGATAGCATCAACAAAGCCAGGTGAAACTATAAAGTATTTAGGATGTGCGTTCTCGGGAGAGCTGGTATTAAATGAGGAAATGGTGACAAAATTAAACAACAACTTGGACAAATTGGTTAGCTCTTGCCTTCTTAAGCCGGAGCAGAAGATCAACGTTGTGAACCAGTACGTGTTCCCGGGACTTACCCTCTTCAGACGGCGCCCCTCACAAAGATACGTCCTGCGATATTGGAAGGAATTGATACAAATATCCGCAGGAGTGTCAAGGCCATTATCGGGCTCCCTGCTAATGCATCAACGGCGATGTTTTATGCACCGAGGAGGTTTCGTGGATTGGGACTGATCCGCTGTCAATGGGAGGCTCCTTTGCAGCATTGGTCCATTGCCCAGCGGCTGTCTAATGTGCCGGATTCCCTGTTCCAGTCCACATTTGATTATAATGCGGAAATCGCGGAATGTGCGGAAAGACTGGGAGTGGATCAGGGCCACCGAAGCGTGAGAGCTCTACGACAGTCGCTGAGAGAAAATTCTTTTGAAGAGTGGGCCAGCTGCAGGTGGCAAGGCGTTGGAGTTCGACACTTTAAAGAGACCCCGAAAGCCAATAAATACATAAGCCAGAAAAAAGTGCTTTCGGGGTCGGAATGGTCCAACGCATTAAAACTAAACATCAATTACGCACCTTTACGCGGAGTCCCAGGAGCCAGTGGACAGTCGAAGGAAGGTGGGTCCCTCTGTCGTAAATGCGGCAGAGAGTCGGAAACACCAGCCCATGTGCTGGGAAAATGCCCCAACAATTCCCTCCTCATAACACGCCGGCACCATAGGGTAAAGTTCGAGGTGATGAGGCTCCTTAGAGAAAAGGAATTCACCTGCTTTGACGAGGTCTATTGCATAGACAGTGAAGGCTCTACAAGATATGCGGATATTGTCGCGTTTCCCAGAACAGGAAGGACAGCGCTAATCTTGGATCCAACTGTCCGCTTTGAGAGCAACGACCTCGATCAGGCGGGTGAAGTGGAAAGGGAAAAGAGGAATATATACGAAAAATGCATCCCTTTCCTAAAAGAGAAATTCCGCGAGACCTTCGGAGAGAGAGAGTTCACCGTGAGAGGCCTATGGTTTGGGTCTCGCGGAACGATCCCGGAAAGAACAAGGAGCTTTCTCGAAGAACTAGGAGTTGATGTTGGGGAGCTCGCGGTATTGGCCGAAAATATTATTTTGGACTCCCTGGGAATCATCCACTATCATATTTATACCGATTGAGGACATCTGGTAATAATTGTTTATTAAATTTTGAATTGATCCGCTGTCGTCCTATCTTTTTGTCTGCACTCTGGGAATTGCCTATGAGAATTTGTTATGAGAGGAAAGAGGAAAAAGAGAGAAAGAAAGGAAAGATATGACATATATATGTATAAAAAAATAGAAAAATGAAATATAAAATTAATGTCCTTGTGGATTAATAGGTATGCTGTGTACGAAGCAACCCTATGTAGTAGGGCAGCATTACTTTTAATAAAGTATTTCTCTCTATTTGCTGGTTATCCATTAAAAAAAAATTAACAGTAATAAAAATAAAAAAGGAGAGATAAGAGTTGAGATATTTTTAAAAATTCCTTCTTTGGAGAGAAAAGATATCAAGATCAAGACTTCTTCCTTATTTCCCAAAGCAATTGATTTGCTTACTGGTATCCTCTTTTCATTCAACTTTCTAATCTAAAATGAATTTCACAAATGTAAAAAAAAAAAACTTTAACGTCAGGGACATCTCTCGTTAGAGGACAAATAAATGAGTTACTGTCTCATATTCAGAGGTTTCACTGAATGTATTTTTTATATTTATCAGAAGCTGGAAAATGTTATTGCATATACTAAATATATTTATAAATAGAATAAATGTCAAGTTTAAAAATTAAAGAAGTTATATTAAAATAGTTTGTAGCTAATTATAGACATACGTGAATCCTGCATGGACATCTGCATTGCAAAAGCTATTTGCTCATCTTCAGTCATGTTGGAGAAATCATGCTGTGGCGCATCAAGAGACATGGCAAGAGCACGTTCCAGCATTGCTCGTTCACCACCTACAGATAATAAATCAACAGTTTGGCATGATTACTTTTTCCTTCATGCAATGTTTCACTACACCAGAAATTTTAATTTAAATTACTCTTATATAATTTAAACTTTTTCAATACTAATATTTTACGAACAATTACGAATGTAATACATTCATGAACAATAAATATAAAATCTAATTATGATGTAGAGATGGTTGACCGATGATATAATATGAGAAGGAGTTGATCGGGGGTTGCTTTCAAATAAATACTAAATTAAACAAATAGTATTATTTAATTTTTGCTGACGTTTCGACCCACTTTGCAGGTCTTCATCAAGGCTACAAAAGATGTGGGCGGGGTGGCCGAATGGGCTAACGCGTGAATTTGATAAAAAAAATAGTCACGAGTTCGCGTCCCGGTGCGGTTCCGGAGGAGTTTTTAAATCCCCGCCCACATTCCCTGGCCTGGGAAAACGCCCGTATAACCTTAAAGGCGAGGAAGGGGAGGACAAAAAAAAAAAAGGCTACAAAAGATACAAAACATGGTGAAAATAAAATAAATGAATTTAAGTAGATATTAATGAATATAAGTCTTATTTTACCGCCCTCACCCCCCCCCCCGTATAGCCTAGGAAAATCCCGTATAGCCTAAAAGGCGAGGTAGGGAAGAACAAAAAAAAAAAAAAAAAAAAAAAATCTTATTTTATATTTACTTATATTCATTTATTTTATTTTCACCATGTTTTGTATCTTTTGTAGCCCTGATGAAGGACCTGCAAAGTGGGTCGAAACTTGGGCAAAAATTAAATAATACTATTTGTTTAATTTAGTATTTATTTTACCGCACCCCCTGATCAACTCCTTCTCATATAAAATCTAATTAATATATTCAAGATCAATGAATCCCATGTCACTGATGAAAAATAAGGCTATAATTTTATCAGGAGCAAAACAGATGTTTTTCCCAGTGCATCCCAAATTGCAATTATTTTTATCTAAGCTAAAATGATTGAAAATCAACATTAAATTAATTTTAATCAATTAAATGACAACATAAAAAAATTATTTAGTAAGATACTCCTTTGGTAATAATACTTCTGTTCAAAAAGAATCTGTACATAATCACATGGTTTCTAAGCTGCATCATACCAGTGTTGTGAATTGGATGTTGATATACCAATCTAATTTACATAATAATATTTACTACACTATTAATTAAATGTAACAATAAAAACCATTCATACAAATTGTATATGCAAGGGATACATTATACAACATCAATAACAATGGTGTGGTTCAAAAAACATTTTTATCTCTTCTTGCTACACTCCATGAAGGAGCAAGACTGCCAACAATATTGACCCATCATTTTTCTGCTAGATAATCGTTTACCACACCATTAGTTCAGGGCAGCCTAGGTCTGCCTTCAATTAACATTCTTCTTCCTCAGGATTCAAACCTCAGTCACTCCCTACCACATCTGCACTCCATAGTTTATTTATCTAAATGATATCTGTGTCATTACAGAGAGCCATTAATTCTGTATTAGTGTTTTGCCTAAACCCACCATCATTACAGAACCGCTCCATAGATTCTGCAAAAACTTCAGGAATCAATCTTGCAACAGTCAGCTCTTGGGTTTCAAGACAATCCGAATCTATGGATCAGGAGAGGTGGTCCTACATACATTTTATTTTCTGGCATAATTGTTTTATGTCAAAGTCTGCTCCACTATTTTTTTAATTTCGTGAACACCACTTTTCTATATAGAAACAACCATCTTTCTGGTTAATATTCTGAAGAACATGATGCCATTTCAAACACCAAGGCCAGAGGCAATTTATGTAATGTTCATTTAAATATTCCAAGATCAAATTCAATCTGATAAGGGAAACTTTAAAAAGATTATATACATTTCTTGCTCCAATGTACATTTCAAGCTTAGTTTATACCATCAGATTTTGATTTTTACTATGTGATATTTTATCATGATTTCCTTTCTATGTATCAAATGATATATTGTCAGAATATTGATCTTGAAATCAATAAGACGCCTCTTAAGTGTTTTAGCCCACTTAGCTTTTTATTTTTTGGTACTTAGCTTCAAAAACTGTAGTTGTATACTTATCAGATGATAATTTTCCAACTGTGTTGAAAACAAATATGGCTCAAATTTTGCTGGGAGCAGACAAAGATGAAAAAGACGAAAAATCAACTAAAGAGGTGCAGAGTATCAAAATAATTTTTGCTCTTTTACAAACAACTGAGAGTGCATTCTATTAGTAATCAACAGAGAAGTGAATCAAAGGAAATGATTAAAGGCATAAAATTTAAAAATGTAAATAATAAATGAATGACTGAAAAGTAGATTGGAATTCTTAGTAGAATAAGATAGAATATAAAATAATCTTCCAAATTGCTGAGTAAAAAATAATAGTGAGCTGTAGTACATAAATATAATGTGTGTTATATACTATATAATTAGATAAATTCTTTTATAACATACTTTCTTCTGAGGGTTCAGCCTTTACTGGCTGTGATTCTACATTAGCAGCAGCATTCATGGCATCCTGCCGCTGTCGTTGTTCTTCCATTGAGACTCTAAGAGCTAAAGCTAACTCAGGATCCTCATTAGGATCTACACCAAATTCAAAACCAGCTCCTCCAAGACCTGCACCACCCATTCCATCTTCTCCCTGAAAAAACAAACAATATTGTAAAACAAAGGCTTCAGGAAAAATGTTCCAATATTCCTTTAAAACAAAACTTTTACAAATAAATGCAATACTGGATTATGGAAAACAATAATAATTTGATGTTTTTAATAACCTGAATAACAGGAGAGGATATAAGAGCATCTGATAAATGAGGTCCAGGTGGTACTGTTACGAGATGACTACTTCCTCCTTCCTTACCATTTAGTGTATTTATAAATGAAGTAAGGAGCTCATTATTTGCAACCTATAAGCCAAATATATAATTCAAAAATAAATCTTAAAAATGTAGAATTATACCTTTATAATTACAAATACTTACCTCCTCTCCAAAGCTTACAACATCAACATTAACTTTTTCCTTTTTTAACCTTTTAGCTAGTTTTACTAACTCCTTGTCATCAAGACCAATAGGGCTCCCCACAAAGGCAACAATCCGCATTTTATGATTTTTTCCTTGTCTATGCTTTAAAGCAAGCTGGGGAACATATAAAATGAAAGTAACTAAGAGAATTACAATTAAATAATCAGTAAAAATATCTGAAAAGGTGAATTACATGAGCAATACGTATTCCGGTAAGGAGATTGATATTTCCATTAGGAGAAACCTGGTGCAACTTAGAAAGAATTCTCCCAACATCCGTAGTCAATGTTACTAGAACTTCAACACTAGGAAAAGAGGATTAAGTAAGAAAAATAAAAAAACTATAGGAAATCAATTACAATTTTAAATGGTTATTACTTAGCTAAAGTAAGGAGACCAACATTGTTCTCTGGATTGGACCTGGTTTTAGAATGGCATACTAAATTGACAGCGTCTTGCTGGGCTTGAAGCCTAGTTGGTAAGAAATCGCCATTTCTCATAAAATCACTGTTATCCACACTATAACAAAAAATCTCAGTAAATATTTCTCATAAAATCAAATCCTAACAACCATACCCACTAGAAATTTTTTTAAATTAGTTAAACTAATTAAAAAATAAGGTGAAATAATTGGTGTAACTTTTGTTGCTTATTTTCCATTTTATTGTAACTTAAATATAACATTTTTTCGCTATAAATTAAATTCAAGAGTTTCAGTAATTAATAATCAAACGTGATGTTGTAACTTATTAATATTAAGTATTTGTATTTAACATGTTACTTGGGATTACGATCCCAGGAATCTATCAGATATAATAATTGTATCTATCTTTGTATCTATCCAACTCTCATTCAAATATTACTAAAAATAACCATTTTAGATACTTCGTAAGGTAAGCAAAATTCAAAACAATCCTGGCCAAAATCGAGACAAATATCAAAACCCAGGGACTGTAACCACAGCTAATGTGTTAATAACCGAATACAAATGCATTTCTAATAGGAGACACATAATGAAACTTGATACGGTTATTAATCTGTTGAATATAGTCCAACCCTGGGTATTTGGTAGCTTTGATTGATATTTTCCTAAATACTTAACATGTTATAATTCATCATCTAAATTTCATTCATGATATAAACATAAATTAAGAAAAAGAATAATTATTTTTAGTAGATGATTTTATGAGTAAATACACTGCTTTATTAATGTCCAACATTTGCTCCAATTTAAAATATATGGATTAATATCTCAAAATTTAAATTGTATGATCTACACATTAGTAAACTAGTGATTCAAGCTCTAGTGATAAGCAATGCCAAAAGCGATTAATAATAAGCCTATACATATCGTTTCCTATAATCCCTGAAAGTTGATATTTCGTAAACATATCCAGTCTTATCTCATTGGATCAGAATTTTTCTCTAGCTGTATGTACCGGGTGTCAAGTTAAAAAGTCTGAAATTAAAATATGACTTTTAAGTCTCGAAATTCCAAATTTAAAAGGTACAATTTTATTTTTGTCTCAGTATATGGAAAAAAATTATATATATATGCCATATTTACTAACTACTGATTCTCATCAACTTTAAACACTATTCCATCTTAATAATCATTTTCCTACATAAGTGTTTTTTAATAATTAATAAAATAAAGTATTTTATTACTCATCAATTTTTATCATGGTGACTTAAGGAAACTTAATAAAAGTAGCCAACATCTATTTAATTTGTTGATCAATTTATTGACAATGGAGACTTATAAGAGGCTGAAAATATGCTTTAGATTACTATTTTGATTATGTTATCAGCCCTTTTATCAATCTCAGTCTTGTCTGCAGTAGCTCAGTTCCTGATATTTAGTAAGCTCCTTGCATCCAGCCATATTTTTCTGTGTCTCCCACTTTTCTTCCTCAGTGCAACTCAACCATCATTACTTTCCTAGACATCTCAGGGTCAAACATGATTCGTCCTTAGAAATCATCACAGCTTTGCCCATCAATATCATCGGTTGAGAAGACATTTCAGACCTGTTCTTTCAGACCTCTCCCTCTTTCATCGGTCTGATTCTTCTTCTTATCTTATTGAATATTCTCTCTTATCATCCAAAAGGATAGTATCTCAATTAATTAATCAATAAATAGAAACACAATTTTAACTGACTTATACCTGACATTTATGTTCTATTACACACTGAATATTTAATTAAAAACAATTTTAATGTTTTTGACTAATAATAAGTACACATATCAATAATTAGAAGGCCATAAATACAATTTAAATAATTAAGCTATGGAAAGAAATAAAAAGGCGAAACAAAAATACCAACTTAATTATCAGCAACAAAAATAACTAAAACAATTATCAGGATTAAAAATATATACATTCCATGTATTTTTATTGACTTGCGAGTAATAGAGAAGTTTAAAAATGTGTTAAATTTCTTAGGAAAGTTTTAAAAATGTTAAATATTCCAATACTTTTATCTTTTAAATATGACCATCAGCAAAAGTAAAATTAAAACACTTTTAAAGATATAACTAAATTAAATTTTAAACTATCAATGAAAAACTAAATCTAATACATTATAAAAATAAAAACAATATTTGATCAAGACGAAAATAATTGAATGGTAAAGACAATTCTTTTGAGAAACAATTAGAAAGTCTTTAATAACTATAAATTAAATAAAAAAACAGAGAGAAATTAAAAGATTCTTACTTACCAAATCATGGTACTTTCAAGAACCATTTTTAGGATTTAACAGACTTACAATTATCAGAATCAAATTACTTTGAGTAGAACTACTAGTCAAGCAATAACCTTAACTACATCGATGCTGACAAAGCAGTACTAGAACAAATCCAAACAATAAGCCAAAGGAACAAAGAGGTTACATCTATTTCAACAATATTTCTTAATTAACTAGATACTGATAGCCATTTAGTCCCCGTGGTGAGGAATAATTTTTATGAATTATTTGTTCAAATTAAAAGGATTTTCTGATGCCATGCTAATATAATTAATTTTAAATAAGGTTGCGTGATAGATGGATTTCATTGAAATTGGTCGACACTTTCGAATGTGAGCGATTAATTGCAATATCTAAATCGTACGCATAGCCAAGCCATCTTATTATCAATGGTACCGTTAATTATTATTTAACTCTTCTTATAACACTCTCGAATGCTTGCGTAAGCAAAACCATCGCTCTGTCTCAATCATTTTTTTTTTCATGAATTTAGAGAATAAATCCAGTTGTACTCGGACTGCTCCCCTAACATTATTATATTAATTTGAATCAGATGTGTGAGCTTTGATGGAATTCCGAACTCACCTTTTACTGCATTGCCCTCATTTGCGCTTCGGAAATCTATAGAAAGGTGATTAGTGATACTTTTATACTCCACACCAGCATCGATTTAAAGAATCATACACAGCTAAAATCTTTGGCTAACCTTCGTCGAAAATCCCTTCTAAATCCCAGCTAATGTCTGTCATCACTTAGGGTTTATTTTTTTAAAAATTTAGTTATTGCTTCATGACTTGCTCTAACTCTAAAAATCAATATCTTCTTCCTAAACGCCGATGCCTTATTTCTTCTCACTCAGCAATGAACCAAAATGTCTGGCTCATCTTAAAAATTACATCAACCCGATCCCCTATTAAGGAATCGACCTTATTTTGCTGTTAAAAGGACTGCATTCATATGATAAGAAATACAAATATTTATATAATTAAGTTGAAAAATGCGGAAGACTGTGTTAAGAACTGCCTCAATTTTTTAAACAGTTATAACTTCTTCATTATTCGGTAACAGATTTGTTGAAACAGATTCTTACGACTGGAACTATATCAACAGTATTTGGAAGATCAAGTACTTCAACTGCTTCATCAGTGATTATAGGAACGTCTACAACTACTACTACGCCATTAGCCTTTGTTAAAACAAGTAGTTCAACGTCTTCAGTTTTTAGAACTCCTAGAAAAACTAGTTCATCTATTTTTGAACCATCTAATGCTACACCTTGTTCTGTTTTTGGTACTATTAACACACTTTCATCGGATTTTATTTTTCAAAGTTATCAGGGATTTTATTTTTCAAAGTTAACTTATTTGTTTGGATCCTTTGCTACAACTATTTAGTCAGTCACTTCATTTTTTTGGTGGAAACTCCAGCTTTTAACACTCCCCTAACTACGCTCTGTATGTAAGAAACAAGATATCAAATGACATGTAATTTTTATTTGTAGTCAGAAATTCAATCAAGTTTCTATTGAAATTTCTCTTCTCCCAGCTTCATTGATTATTAGAAACCAGGAGAGAAAATTTTGGTCTAAAGGAATGGGATTTATAATTTCTTGAATTATTTTTTTCAACAATGAGATTTTAACCATTTTTTGAATGGAAAAATCGAAATAAAAAAATTGTTAAATCTATCAGGTCAAATTTGACGTTTTCGATGGATTCATCTACATGAGACCTCTATGGTCAACACAAGGAGTTGTAATTGCAATGATTAACACCTCCTTGAATTGAATGAATGAATTGAACTACCTATCTTTGAACGAAATACTTATTTGTTATGACAGTAGGAAGCTATGTTGGTTTCATATTTTTATACTTATTTCTAAAGATAGTTAAATGATTGCTTCGGTTTAATTTATTAGTTAATATGAAAGGATAAAACTTGGTTAAAGACACTGTAAACAATTAAAAGTCGATTAAGATGTTACACAAACACTAATTTTGAATTGCTGGTTTATAACATTCATCCTCTAACTGGTATTTATCATGGATATGTCAAAGTATTCTTTTCCCCGTTCTAATTACTTATCTTGGAATCCATATGAGCTCCACAAACATTTAATTAATACTTATGTATTAAATAGAAAAGGGAATACAGCACTTTTGAGAAGAGACAAGTAAGATTCTCTTATTTTTGTGACATCACGTTTTCTTTTATATTTTATAAACCATTATTATCATGTTCTAGTTCTAAAGATAAAAGAGACATTGATATTATTAGAGAAAATCATAAATTTGTATGGGAAGACGATGATATTCCATCGACATGGGAAGAACGTTTGGCAAAAAAGTATTATGATAAATTGTTTAAAGAATTTTGCATTACTGACATGAGTAAATATAAAGAAAATAAGGTACAGTATAGTATATTTTTCAATTAACTGATACCTACCTTTTATATTTGAATGCTTGATTTTAATATGATGTACATCATATTAACTTGTTTCATTTATATTAGCAATTCATTTAAAATTATTTTTTGTAGGTCCTCTTCTATCTAAATAGTCCATGGTGCATGCCCCTTTTCATCAAATTATTAACATCCTCCTTAAAGTCAAATTATTAACATCCTCCTTAAAGTTCGCGAGTGACTTTATTTTATTTACAAAAATTCTCAGAATTAAGACCTTTTTAATCTGTAGATCAGTAAATATGTTTAATGAGGTACTAAAAACTCATGAACATCCATTTGAATCTTAAGATAATTTGATCTTAAAATCGAGCAAAAAGACGGCCTAAAAAAATATTGGACCATTTGCCAGATAATGAAAATTTTTGAGCATCCAGCTTATGATTAATAAAGATGAGTACAATCAAATTGTCAGAGTGGTCTACAAAGGTCTGTTTCTTCATATCTACATATTAAACCTGTCAGTTTCATGATGTGTACTGTACTGATTAACATTCGTAGGCCATGAAGCGCAGAGTGGGCTATTATGAAATTAAATAATACAGAACGAGGAATACTAAAATATTGGGCCGTTTTGCTTAACCTACCATAAAAAAAAGCAAAAATTATCTTTTCTATCGATCTTTTAGATACAACAGCTGGGAGTAAGTTTTGGATTTAATTAGTTTATGGAACACTAGATAATAGTATCCTAAGTTTGTCCTGTTCTAAGTAATGAGCCAAGGCTGAGAGGGGTGAGTGAAACTTCTGAATTTTCTGACTTTTTTAGTTTATGACCTATAACATTTAAATGGCGCATTCTAGTAAAAAAATTATTCTATTATGAATCAAACAGCATTAAAATCCGTGTAAAATGAGTACCTCAAAGATTGGATTCGGTTTAGCAGAAGAGTCAAAATATCTATTAATAAAACGATTGATTTGCAATTACTGTCAACTTTCACATCAGATCTAATTACATGTACAATTATCAAACAGTTTCGATTGAATTTTTAAAGTAATTAGAAAAAATAATTGTTTTAATAATCTTTTAATACAGAATGGAACACCAGAAACTCAATTTCATTTGAAAGGTATTTTAATATCGATGTATTGCTAATTTTGTTTGATTGTGGTTTATAGATAACTAGCTGATGTACCGGTCGTTGGCGGGTGTATAGTTAAAATTTGAGAATGGTTTTTTGAGATAGATTTTGTATTATAGGATGAGGAAGATCCAAATTCAATTTCATAAAATTGGATCAGGATGGAAGAGGAGGGTTGTTTTGAAATTTTTTATGGTGAGGCTTGTGGAAGTCAAGGTTTCACTTTAGTCATAACACAAAACTTTGTTATTCGGCTATTTGTATAGGTACCACACAACTAAACCGACCATCACCGATCCATTAAAATTTGTCAAGTGTTTAATTTTCATTTATGATGAAGCGAGGAGATTGTGGAGTTGATTAATTAATCAAAAAGAGTTGTAGTCTCTTCACTTTTTTAAACTCTCCTGAGTTTATCGCTGGCAAAATAACCAAGATAACGTTGGACACCTACATCCGTGTAAAATTAGAACTTCATCTGAATGTTGTGGCGGGCGGGGTGAAATTTTTGGATTTTCCCCCTGATTTCCGGCTAATCCGTTTGGTAAATCCTATAAATGTATACGACAATATTTGTTAGGCTCAGAAAGTTGAATTGAATGACACCTTGAACATGAAGATCGAACAAAGTTGAAAAATGAATGTGTTTTACCCGTTTTATGCGACAACGCGTTACAGATGTTCGGTATTCCGGATTTTTACTGTTGAGTTGTGATAATTTTTTCCATCAGTTGAATAGTACAACTTTTAAATGAGCTTACCCCTGATAAAATTTTGTTGGACAATTCGTACACCCAGGCAGACAAAAAAAATTTTTAAAAGTGGATTTGGTGTCTGTAATGTATAAAACGGAAAGACATCATGAAACGGGTTGATTCTATTCAATGTACAGTTGAAACTTTTAATTTATTTGTATAGATGTTCTTTAACCTATAAACATATGTTTATTATTAACATTTGTTATCAACATGAACCGAGATCTCTAATCAAATTACTCAAGAATTCATAACTTTGGTTATACTCAATATTTTGTTTTCATTTAAGGCCTATGTTTTAAATCAAGCAAACCTTAATATAATTTTAAAATTTCAAAAGTCTACAATAAGCCATTGCTGAGATTACCCGTAGCAAAATTTCGTTGCAATGCAGACATACAGACAGACAAAAAATTTTTATTAAGATGATTTGGTGTCTCCAATGTATGAAACGGAAAGATATCATAAAACGGGTTGATTCTATTCAATGTACAGACAAAATCTTTATTTTATTTATATAGATTTTGTTTAATGGTTAAAAAATAACTTATTATAAGGATATTGCAATACAAATTTTTTTTTTTATTTGTACAGTAAAATTAGAAAAAACACAATGCGGCCATCATCAACAAAAAAACACATGTTGCAATAAATTTAGGGTGTAGGCTGAACATAAAAAAAAAAAGAAAAGAAATGATACTCCTTAAATAGCTGGTCTGGTCAAAACCTCCCTTGTTATCTAATTTTATATCACATCACCTCCCTTTTTATCTCATCTAACCAAAGTTATTCCATTGTCTATTCTTTGTTCCTTCTGAAAGCTGTAAGTATTATTTTCGTAACACTATGGATGTTATTACATTGTTCGAATTGCCGTCTTTAAAAGAAGAGGCTATCAAATATTTTCAAGACGCCGGGGTAATTGTAAAGGTGAAATATTCTGATGAAAGTCATGAAATGAAGTTCTTCAGGAAGACGAAATGGAGATGTTCTCGTACTTGTAACAAAAACGTTTCTATAAGGAAAGGAACGGGGTTAGAGGGGGCAAGGATTTCTTTTTTTTAACGGCTTTAAAATTCATTTATGGGTGTTCCCATAATTTAACAACAATACAAAGATATATATGTTGTAATGTTTTTACATTATATATGTATAAAGTTTTGGTCTATTTAATATATATATTGTATAATAAAAGTATGTTTTTTATTATTACATTTGTTTTTGTTTACAATTTCAATAATATGAATATAATACAATAAATATGAATATGAAGATATAATAATATGAATATAAAACAAATATGAATATGAAGATAGAAATTATCAGTGCCTTATCAGAATTATCACTGTTAAGATTATAAACATTGGCAGATAGCAGTCGGACCCGACCGGCTATTTAAGGATAAATTCACTTTATTTTAATGATTCTTAAAATCAATAATAAATTATAGAAACTCGAGATGAAATAATATTCTATATCAATCATTGAAAATTTTCTTAGAAGTAGTAATGTTTAAATTTCTATTGCTTTTCAATTAATTTTTCTTTACGTAATTAGCATATACATTGTATAGCTCATCGTCTGGTTTAGTTAGAGGACAGTGGAATGGAGTGGGAAGGGAGACTTATAGGGATAGGCATTTTTTTTCTTTACCTATCTTTAATATCACTAATTTTTGGATAAAACATGGAAATTTAATTATTATCCAATAATGTGCATTTGAAGATGTATAAGACTAATTGACAATTAACATTATATATATCCATATATTTTCTTGACATTAACGGTAATTTATTATTGGTTATTAGAATCAATAAAACAAAGAGAATTTGATTATATTACGTTTTTTAAATATTCAGAAAATGTTAATAGATCACATTCAATCTCGAATCAGTATTATATCTCTTAGAGATCATGATTTCATAATGTTTGAAGTAATTTTTGCTGAAAGAGTAATTCCATTAATTTTGTCCCTTTAATATTTCTGTAACCATTGATTTTATCAATGAAATGTATAGAATAATTTTTATTGATATTTTGAAGTACTTTAATTTTGTATAGAATAATATTTGGATCAAACCTCATAGTTATTGAGATCCCCACTAAAAACTGATCAGTTAATTGCCCTCCTCCCTACATAAAAACCTGGGAATCACCAGGAATTGTTATCAGCTATTAAAGAAAGAATTATGAACAATTTTTGATGAAATTTTATTTTATTTTTTTATTTTCGGGCTATTCCCTAAAGTTACTGTAATATGCTAAAACAAATTTCGAAAATGTCCTGTTCAAATTGTAGGCCACACTTATCAACTAGTTCATTCTAAAACAAAAAAAATAAAACAGATGGATGTAAATTGATAAAGTACGCATCATGAAATTTGTAGGCCACTATAACTTTTGATTGTACTCATATTTATTAACCATTAATGAGAAAATCAGCTGAATATTCATAAATTTTTATAACGTCAATATTTTTGTAGGCCATGTTTTTTCTCGATTTTGTGATGAAACTATCTCAAGATTGATGTTCATGAGTTTTTAGTACCTCATTAAACTGATTAAAAGTTCCAATTCTTTCGAATTGTGAATTTTCTGAGAATTTCCGTAGATAAAATATTGGTAGGTTACAATGAAATAAAGTCACTCATGAAGTTTTAGTTAGTTTGTTAGTAATTTGATAAAAAGAGACCTGTGCCATGGACTTAAACAGTTCTTACAAAAATTGAGGTTGATGAGGCTTATTTATCCTTTTTCCTATAATCTTTTTTTAGCCAGAAAGTCTGTTAATTGATGATTATACGTATGATCAATGACCAGTTAGTAAATTTAAGATAAAGGAGCTAATTCAAAAATTTTCAAGATACTAAGTGGATGCAATTAGTTCACCATTTTTTTCTTATATCTTCATATTCTTGCTTAATAACCAATTTTGTTTTCCTAATGTTAGCATTGTATATGAATTTATACTAAGCTACCATGGCTTACCACTTTTCTTAGATAACTTATAGTTGCTCTTTGAGGAATACTCTTTTTAATTTTATTATTTTAAAGGGTTAGTATTATATTTTTATTATCTGGTAGTGCTGTTTTTTTCAGACTTGGTTCTTTTCTTTATTTGTTTTTTCCTAGCTTCTTTGAACAATCTATTTTAGTTTTACAGTTTTCATAAAAATCTAACTACCTCTATATTTTAAGTTCAGACAAATGGACCACGTTAAAAAGAAATTGAGAACTGCTGGTACCTACCATAAGTAGGGAACTTGTGTTGTCCTAGTATTTGTGTGGCTTTCATAAATGAAAGCTGATATTAATTAATATTGAATCATATAGATTATGGTAATATAGAAATTAGTAAATATATGATTTTACAAATAAAAATATCCATAGTGAAACATAAAAGAAATCTGATATGAATGCATCACGCAACTTTTACCACCTGCTTTTTGTAAAAATAGGTTTTTCAGATATATGGAAGTAAGAGTTAAAAAAAAAAGAAATACAGACGGTACTACATATTATTTACATCAATTAATTAGAGTTCGTCTGAGATGAGTAGCTGGTGGGATGAGAGATGGCTGGTGGGTAGATGGGGAGGGGAAGAGAGATGCGCAGTGACAAAACGTTTTCCCAATGATTCCCTACTCTTTTGTTTTCTCTACTCATTCATATGTACTTCAACAATTTTTTTTTATAACTAGAAATTTCTTTATCATTTTTTTTTTCATTTCTTTAACCAATTTTCGTTAACTAGGTCAAGTAACTAGGTAGAAGGAAGGAAGTCTATCCACTCTCAGACCAAAATGTAATTATGAACATGTATAAATTCATGAAAACAGAGGCTGGGAGTTTCGGGGAGGTGGAACATGAGTGAGGAAGGCTGGGTTAGCTCTCTTCCCTTAAAGGCAAACTCATCTTAGATGCACTATACCATATGTTTCCCCATCGTTTAATGTATTATAATTATGTGTTTTTTGTCACTAACCATTTTCTGTTATGACTGTTTTTATAATTATTAATTAAGTGCTACGAAATAACTTTACAACAGTACTAATGATGAAAATATTGATTTATATTTTATTACTTGACTAACACCAGGGTTGTGTTTGAGTTATCTGCTAAAAGCTATGTAATGCTTTTTTGTGTGCGAATAGCTGAATCAATTTTTACGTTTGATTGCTCAAATTATTCAGTGAGATCCTCTGAGTATTTTGAAACAATTTGAATTAAAAATACTGACCCGTGATTAAATAAAATGTGTTTAATCAATTTGGAAAAAGCTTTGTAATGCTTTTTTGAATGAACAGCTTGCTCGATTTTAATGTTTTTATCTTAAATTATTCTGTAAGGTCCCCTAAGTGTGTTTAATCAATTTGCTACAAGCTATGTAACGATTTTTCGAGCTAATGGGTGGACTGATTTTTAAATATGATTTCTTAAATTATCCAGTGAGATCCCTTGAGTGTTTTGAAAGCAAAGTGGCATGTATTATGTGTTTGGATTGTCCTCTTAAAGGAATATAACAATTTTTCGAGTGAACTGATGGATGAATTTTTAAGTTTGATGGCTAGAAATATTCATTGAGATGCTGAGAGTGTTTTGAATCAATATTAGCTAAAAACACTGACCCATGATTGATTAAAATGTGTTTGATCAATTTCCTAAAATATCTGTAACAATTTTTTGAGCGTGCAGCTGGAGAGCAATTTTTAAGTTTGATATCTTAAATTATTCAGTGAGATTCCCTGAGTGTTTCGAAACAATTTCAGCTCTAAATTCTCACAAATTACTATTAATCAATCTGCTAAAATGCATATAACAATTTTTTGAGTGAATAGCTTCACCGATTTTTTAACTTTGACGTCTATAATTACTCAGAAAGATCCCATGAATATTTTGAAAGAATTTTAGCACAAAATACTGAAAAAAAATTTATTCAAATTTAAGTATTTCTATTATTAATTGATTTGAAATTATATCATGTAATTATATGTTATGAAAATAAATTTTAAATTCTAAAAATATTATAATAAAAAAAAACCGACTACAGAAATTGAGGAAATCTGTCCATCCTAAGGGAATGTACCTCTATATCTACTTTAACATCTTGGTTTATATTTAACCAATTTTTTATTCCTGGTTAAAATGTGAAGTGATTACTTATTTCAAATAAACAAATTCAAAAATACTTTAAAGGAAGAAATTTTGAAAATTTGGCATTGCAGCCATGTCATACTATTTCAACGAGAATAATAACTTCCCAATATTAAGAACAACTTAATTTTACGCTGATATAATGAATTTAATCAAAATTGTTAGATCTGTTTTGTAAAAATGCTTATAATTGATGAAATTAAGTGCCACTTCCGGTTAGTTGATTTCAGCTCAAAAGTTGCTGTAACATAACAGGCATATATTTTTCTTAAATATATTATTTTAGTTTCTTAGAACTTTTCGTTTTTCAGCTATACTTTAAACACACACAGATTATTTTACAAAACTTGATTATTTGTGGTCAGGGGACCTCAGAACGTGCATTTCTGTTGGAAATTCGGATTTGAAAATTTTGGTGAATACAATATTTTCTCTTATTATATATTTCATTTATGGCTAAGTGAATAGCCTTCTTTATCACTGCCTAATCTTACTGCAGCCTGTAATAATAAAAAGGTTTCCTAACCAATGGTATATACTTTGAATATTATAGAAATAATTTTTTTTAGATTGATATAATGATTATTTTTAAACTAGCAAACAAAAAAAAAAATTTCATGACTCATTCCATTATATGATTTTAAAATAATAGATAAATTAGAATAAGAGAGAAACAAATTGTTGTCCTTTAGATGTATATCATTAATTAACATCTTTCTTTTTATTTTAGTTTGCTATGAGATGGCAAACAGAACAGGAGTTAGTAACTGGAAAGGGTCAGTTTGTATGTGCAAACAAAGCCTGTTCTGAGAATGAAAGTCTTAGAACATGGGAAGTCAACTTTGCTTACAAAGAAGATGGAGAAAGAAAAAATGCTCTTGTGAAACTAAGTAATGCATAAAGAAAGTATTATATATATTGTTAAATCAAGAGTTAAAACATATAGTTTTAGAATTAAATTATTAACAGTGGCATTGGACGCAAGGTTGCTTAGAGTAGGACGGTGAGATGGCCGAGTGAGCTAACGTGTGTGCACAGCTCATTATTCATTATTTACTATAATTATCTCATTCTATTAAAAAAATAAAAATCTTGTTTAGACACCATACTATACAAAAATTTGAATCTCCCCTCTCAACAAAATTCTTTGACTTCTCTTTCACTTTTTCTCTTAATCTCATGAATGAATGAGAAATACTTTATTAAATATACATAAATTATTAATTTCAAAGTATACAAAACATCTTAAACTCATCAATGGGTGATCACTTTTTCACTGTTCAAATAATTTTACTGAAGTATTTCTTTTAGCCAGGCTATTTAAAAGAACTTTACAATTACTAGGTACTAAAGTTGAATAATGAATAAAAACATAATAGATGACTTCAGTTTATTTGTTATTTGTGATAACAAACAAACAATTATTCATTATTAAAATAAATTTTGCCCTACATTGCGTCCTCACTATCAGAAAAATTTATTTCTATTCAATGTAGGATATTTTCTAGGGACAGCAGGGATAAGTAAATTATTTAAATTTATTTTTTTTTATTAGTGATTTTCGGAAAATTCAGAAAAACATTAATATAACAAAAAAAATACCTATTATATTAAATTTACTTTTTATTCAAGTTTTCAATTATTGTTGATCATGTTTTAGGGTTATGTTCTTCCTGTTCAAAAAAACTGAATTATGCTCATAAAAAAACCGAAATCAAACGACCTAAAAGAAAGAATAAATTGACAAATGATAAAATATTATCATCACCTATTGAAAATATTTCTGAAGGAACTGTTGTTGAAAATATTCAGAAAAAATCTGATGAACCCAAAGACAGTGGTGAAGGGGAAGAGATCTGGAAAGCTCCTCTTGAAGATGTTGAAGAAATATCTCGCGAAGAAGAATTTGAAAAATACCTGGAACATCTATTATTATAAATGTTTAAGAGTTATTATAATGTTTATATTTTCCTCAAGTTATATGTATATAAAAGTTTATAAACAAAGTATATAACACCAGCATAATGTAAAAATTTGTATCATAACAGAAAAAAAAAATCCAAGTAAATCAACTATTTATAAATCAATATTTATTATTACATTTACCTTAATTTATTATCGGCATGATAAATATTATTTAGGCATATTCTAACTTTGTTGAATAAGTAGTCAGTAACTAATTATTTCATTCTGTTTTGTATTCTTTCGACCATTCACCATGTTTTTTGCTATGTTGCTGTTTCAATTTAACTGTGAAATGAAATAAAAAGCAATTGGAGTGGTGCAATGTTGTAGTTGCACCAAAACTGTTCTAAATTACATCTTTCAAAATAAAGATTGAATATTAATAATAATCATTAAAACTACAAATTTTTAATGGATGATCTGAAATAAATAAATGAATTTTTTCCTTTCATGAAGCTGCTCTCTAGAAATGTAAATATATCAAAATTGTACTTCAATATATAAAAAAAAAAATTATATTTTTAATCTTTGAAAAGTAAGGGATGTAAATATCAACATATCAATTACAAGTATTTATATTTCACATCTTTATATTTTTAATATTTAAAAGAAGGGAAAGAGTGTTAACATTGAAATATTAGATTTGTAATTGCTTTAATAGCAATTAAATACTAATTATAGCTTATTATAAAAAAGTATCAATTTAAGAACATTTTTCAATCAAAATAAATTTTACTTTGAACTATACAAAAATTATGGTACTGCCACTCATGTTGTACTTTTTCTCAGATAAAGTACATATGAAATTTCTGTAGTGATTTTTTGTGAAATTCTTCCTAACTGCACACTTCATGGAAGATAATTATGTGATACCAATTTTTTTTAAAAACTTTGTTGACAATTACCTTTTATATGACTTTTTTTATAACGAATGTTCACTATTTCACTACCTCTCAATCTTTACAATAAACAAAGGTGCCCCGCTTTATGGCAGAAGATATTTGGTCACATTAACTATATATAATAACATAAACATACCTATAAATAAACACATAATATAACATAGTTCATAATAGTTCACTTTAAAAAAGTTTATTTTCATTCTTTGGTTGTTGACCCGTGAGTTTTTGTTGTATTTTTTTTTTTATCTCAAGAAAATATCATTTTGAATAGTCAAATTTCAATATAGATATATCAATATATTATTTAAAAGGCAGTTATATTTTTTGCGATATTCCTCCTCTTCACACTGAATTACTTGGCCTCCACTACTTTGTAAATTTTACAATATGAGGAGGAAAAATAAAATCAATATTTATAGAAAATTGCTAAACTTAAAGAGCCAAAACAATGTTTGAAAAATTTAGAACAGGAATTTATCTACCAAAGTCTTGTTCCTTTAAATATAATTGTTTTTCATGACATATTGCATTATATCTTTCCACACCTAATAATTTCTTAGTTATTCCTTTAAGTATCTTAATAGATGTTTATTTATATATATATATATATATATATATATATATATATTTTTTTTTTTATGGTTTTAAGATTTTATATAAAATCCTATTTTTAAAGCATTAATTGCTAAGCTCAAAAGAAAATTACTTAATGTTTTTTATATCCTATGGCATTTATAGATGATTTTTCGTATTATGATTTATCATAAGTCAGTCGTATTTATAAGTTTATGGGTGATATTAGTAGTCCTATATGGAGGGGATAGAGGACTGTACCATATTAAAGGTGAATTATTATGTGATGATAGAAGTAGTATGTTAAAAACAGAGATTTGTTAGTCTTAACTAGCAGTTTATTTTACCGTGAATTCATTTGCTTTAACTGTCAATAATTGTATAGTAATAGTAAATTAATTATTATTTATGAAAAATTAACTCTGCAGTACTCTGTATTATTTTAAAGCAGATTAAATTTGACAAGAAGATTTATGGAGCAAATGACACAAATACATTCATAATTTTTTGATTTATATTGTTCATTCTAGGTTTTATTACTTTTTCTGTTTTAACAATTTCTCAAGGTTATCCTGTCCATCATTCTTCTTTAATAGTCACTTTGAAATAGTTGTTGTGTCATTATTCTGTACGTAATGGTATAACCAAAGACAATTGTTTGTACCAAACACTTATTTTAAATTCTTAAAGATCAATCCATATTTTATAAACAATTTTATTCAATTCATGTTCAATAATATATATGCGTATAAATAAATTATTTACAATGTATAAATAAAAAGATTGGTAGAAATTATAGAATTTCATTTTCCGAATAAGTACGTGTAGAAACAATTAAACTCACTTTTTTAAATTATCACTAATATTTTATTTTATTGGCTATTTTTATAGTTTTTTTTTTTTGCTTAAATAACTATTAAGTATATTAAAAAAAAAAAATGTTTATTAGAAAATTTTGTTTCAGTAAATTGATAGTAGCTCATTTTTTTCTTTATGTTTTAAAATAAAATTTGTCTTTTAAATTGTTTTATATAAAGATTGATTCTTTTTCATATTTATTTTTGAAAATGGAAAATAATCAAAATATTTTTTTAACCTTATGTTCCACAAACTGATTAATTTTTAATCCCCTTAAAAAAAAATTGTTCAATTAAAGATAATCAAGGTTTTTTTACTTAACTGTTAATTAGGTTTTAAAAATTAATTTGTTGTTTTTGTTTAATTAGTAATTATTCTTGCTACATAATCTCATCAAATTTTGTTTCAACTTTTTTTGCTAAATTACCTTAAAATGTAACCATTATATCATTGGTTTTTAATCAAATTATTATTTTCTTAATTTTAGAACTTATTTTACAAATCTTAACTGTTAAATAAAAATAATTGTTTGTTGTAGGTGTTTTATTTCAGATTAATATATCTGGTTCTAATGGGGATCGATTAAAAACAAAAAATATATATATATATTTTTTTTATTTAAATGAAAATTGTAATTTTACTTCTCTCAAAAGTTTATTTTAGATGGAAAGGTAAAGTTGTTTACATCACTTCCCAGGTAACGATTAGTTATTTTTACTGGATTCATCATCATGTTCGCTAGTAACTGATAAAATAATGTGACACCTTTATCCTTGATTAAATGACGGGAAGATAAGAAACCAATCACTTTTATCTTAATCTTTTTTACCTTTTGGACTATTTAGCTTTATTGTTTACTTGACCTCAGCTAAGAGTAGTGTGAGCTTTTTGAATTAATGAACAATGGATTAGTATTTTTATTATGATTAATTTGGTTTCCAAGAATTAATAGCATTTGAGATGAAGTGTAATATTTTGTTTGACTATTACCACTATTATGCAGCACAATTGGTACAGGGTAAGTAAACTATTTTTTCATTGTGGAATTATACCAGAGGTTTTAATCTATGAATTCCTTTATAAAATCAAATTCACACTAGGTTATGCTTGAAATCACAATGGTTCATTAAAAAAAATATTCACTTATATTACTCTCTTTCCATTTGTTGATATTTCAAGAATCTTCAAAGTATTCTGTTATTTCACATCTACCTAAATTATGCATCATTTGTAAATAATTTTGTGACTATTAGCACAACTTGTATTTATCTGATTTCAGTTACAAATGATGTACAATTTTTATGATTGTTAAATAACAGAATTTTCGAAAATTAAGATAAAACTTTGAAATCTGAACAAATAAAAAAATTAAATGTAAGTGAAAGAAAAGGAAGATCATATTCACTTGCTACTTGCTAATAATTGTCAGACTTCCTACAAAATTAATAATTATCAATTTCGAGATTGATAATACTGAATCTCAAAAGCCTAAAAATTTATATTTCATCCATATACATGAAAGGACAAAAAGCAATCTTTAGATCCATCAATGTCAGTTAATCAAATACTTAATAAAAGTTAATTAATCATGTTTTTTTATATATATATACATATGGATGCCTGTATTTAAGATGCTATTTTGCTTTATATATCATTAAGTCAATTTCTTTTTGGGCCACTCATTCATCTTCAGAGCGAATTTGAGTTAAAAAGTATGATTCTGTTATCAGAGTAAAATTCTAATTAATCTTTGAATATGTCACATACATACCATGACTGTCATTTTATGGCAGAATTGCTTTCAGTTGTTTATGTTTTGTGACCATTAGAGCTTGTTACTGAGTCTAGTATTGTTTTAGATCATCTAGAAATAAATTTTATTCATCAGCTCATCAGATATTGGAGTTTTTCTATTTTATAAAAAAAAACAGTTTATATAACTGTATTTTGGAACAAAAAAGGAGAAAGATGCAAAAGTTTTAAATTTTAGTAAAGTGCATAAGAGAAATCAAGGAAGGGTTCATTAATTAAGCACAGAAATCCTCCCATTATTAAATACTTTCAATAGCTAATAGTGGATGAACATTGGTTTTTTTTTTTTACAGTTAATGCATGTGCTATCCTTTTGTTTTTTCAGCAATTCACTAAAATTTAAATTTTTGGACATTGGCATGTTTCATTCCAAGATACAGGTTTAGATAATGAGTTCCCTGCTTAGCTAATACCTGATAATTTGTTAATTATAAATATTTCAATATATCCTATCTACTTTAAAGGAAATTTAAATTTAAAAATTACTTTTCTAGTCACATCCTTCAGGTTTGATGCCATTTTCTCATAAGTTTTTTATATATATTTTAGGCCAAAGGTCACATAATGTACACAGTTTTTACATCTTGTATTCTTTATTCGACGTTTCAGCTCCTGAAGCCGAAACATCGAATAAAGAATACAGGATGTAAAAACTGTGTACATTCGGTGACCTTTGGCCTAAAACATATATAAAAAACTTATTTTAAAAATTACCTATTAATCACAGAATGAAAATCTTTAAGAAATGTTTGGTTTGTCATATAAAGAAAACCTCAAAAAAGTTGTTAGATTAAAAAAAAAGTTTTTTATTCTTTCTGAAGTTCATGCAGTAATGATTTTTTATAAGATCTTTGTATTATATATGTGGAATAAGGAAATCAATAAAGACTATTGATAAGGAAGTTTAGATACTTAATTACATTATCTTGAAACAAAACTATTGATAAAACATCGGAATATTTTCATCCATTATCTTTTTTTAATTTGTGCCACACATGACACAAATTGCTATATTTTATATAACATATCTCCTTTTTTAATTAAAAGTTCCAAATGATTTACCTAAAGGTATATCTGTCATAAATTATTCACAGAATTTGACATTGTTAAAAATGGTTCAAACATTATTAAGTTTATTATTTCATTTTAGTTTTTACCATAATAAAAATTGAATGAAACACTTTTTATTCACACACAAAGTATATTCAATTTCTTTTAATATAGTTTGCAATTTATATCCCATTATTTGGAATGAACTTTGTTTTCCTTAAAAACTATTTTACCAAACTAATTGTTTCATAAACATAAGTTTATACTTAGACTACATCTACTAGTATTCACTGGTGAGTTTTATTTACATTAGTTTAAAATCAGAAAAACATAATATTAGAAAAAATCTATTTTCTATTATATCGTCTTCTTCTCTCTCTAGTTAAGAGATATCTGTATCCTATGTAGCTAAGCATCTCAGTACATGTATGAAACGTTTTGAGACAACTTCTATCAGTTTAAAAAAAGGCAAAGGAGTGCTCGCTCCACCACTAGTAATTAGTTCAGCCAAATGGAGCACTTTTTTTGAATCTCAATTTTCATTAAAAAAAAAATTCAATTTAATATAAATATATTTTATATTTCATAGATATTCCAGATATTGGAAAACTACTTTACTTCTCCAAATCTTTTCTGTTTTCAGTATGTTGTCATGCCACTGTCATGTCTTCATTTATTTTCAATATGTTTCAGCTTCTTAATATTTTGATATAATTTAATAATATATCTTAATTGAAAGATTAGAAAACTGAAGTTTACATTTGGATTGAAAATTCTTAGTTAGAGAGTTTCAGACTATTTAAAAATCAAAATAATAATTTGTTTTATTTAGCTTGTAGAAAGTGAATGAAGTTCATTCAGATAAGTATAGTGTGTACAAATATTTATTTCTAATAATGAACTTCAATTTCAACCTTTTGTCTTACTTTATTTGTTTTTAACTCTAATGTTTTACATCATTAGTCCATTTTCAAGGAAAAAGCATTTCTTATTTGAATTTATTATTAACATAGTCTTAACCCACCAACAGTGCTAACATATTAATTTTTTACTTTCACTGTTTCAGACTAGCTGGTGTCATAAAATTGCAGCCCTTACTATCATATGTTCCTACTTTATATTACTAATTTTTATACATGACACAACTTATATATGGGCAACACTTGCTCTCGTTTTTGTATTGTTTGTTACAACATTTTCATGTGCCTCAAATGACACCCCATTTCTTCTCCAGTTAAGGGGTTCAAGATTAACTGGAATAACAAACCGTACAATTGCACAGGTTAGTTTTCCCATGGGTATAATATCATTCTATATCAAATAAACAACTTATAACATGCACCGTTATTTCTTTTAGGAAAGGAATGAGGAAGAACAAGAGCAAACTGAAACACGAATATGGATGACAGATATTCCCCCAAGTTATTCATTTGTAATGGCAGACATTACACCACCAACCCCTCCTCCTTCCTATGGGTCTGCAATCCTAATGTTCCCTCCTCCATATTTCACAACTGACACTAAAACTGAACCAGTGCTTGCTGCAGGGCCTATATCAACAGAAGGCCAACAACAGAGAAGACCTTTATCTATTTCAACACAGGTGTCTGTTTCTAGTGTAGCGCCTGAAACTGTTCATCTTGGGGGTATTACATTTTCGACTCAAGTATCAGTTATTAGTACACAATCAGAAATTCCCTCAGATTTAGCTTTAAGGGCTCGGTTCTATATATCAAGACAAGCATCAAGGGAAGATGGAACTGAAGATAGTGACTTTAAACAAGAAAAATTGATGGGTGAAGCTAGTGCACGCTTATTCCTTCTTTCGAGACAGATGTCAAGAGAAGACCCTGGAGAACTACAGGAAAATGGTATCCAGAATTCAGGAAAAGTAGACAGATCACCTTCTCCAACAGTTACGAGACAGATTTCAAAAGACGAAGGTTCTGACGGAACGGATCTTCATAAATCAACAATGAAGCATGACCTGAGAAGACGAGTACTACTTTCTAGACAAGCATCGAGAGAAGAGAGAGTTAATTCAAAGGTAATTCAAGAACAAGACCATTTTGAGAACTCAGGAAGACCATTATCTAGGCAGTCCTCAGTAGAAGACAGTATTGAAAATAGTCAGAAGAAAAGTGATGGAAGAGTAAGAATTGTTATTTTGCAACATACAAGTAAGTCCACAGATTCTGCAAGCAAAGAGACTCAAAACATCAGAGAATTAGAAAATATTGCTACTGAAAGAATGGTTGAAGTTCAAGCAAGTGGTAGCACAGTCTCTATAAACATTCCTGAAGATTTTGGAGAAACAACAAAACCCAATGAATAATGCAAAATAGTTTATTTTATTACATAATCGAGTTAAAATTGAAACACAATAAATTTTTTAAAAACATGGATTTGATCAAAGATTGTTTTTACTTAAACTATTTTGATACATAAATCATTTTTAAAATTGACATAGCACTGGTGTTTTATGTATATATATATTTTTTTCTAACCATGGATCATTTCAGTTCTTATATATTATTATTCTCAAGGAAGTTATGGCATATTATTAGTTCTGCCTATTATATGACAGTGTATATCACTTACAACCTGAATTCATATTCTATAGTCTTTATATATCTTTATAAAATCAAATATATATTTGCAATAGTTCGTTTATATTTTAAACCCTCAATATTTTTTATCTACATTATTTCAAGCAATATACTTATATTCCGAAAGCATTAGCTTCTTTCCCTATGAATCTATAGTACTTAGCTCTAAAGCAGATAATAATAATGAATCAGTCATTGTTTTCTTTCCAGAAGTTGCCATAATTCTTAGCTAGATTTTCAGTACATTAAGAAAAGTATTTCTATCAGAAATCTAATGTGTGTCGCATTCAATTAATGCCTTCATTACTCAGCACTTCTCAATATTAACACAGAATTGTTGGTTGTGTTCTAGGAGGGGTGCTCCCCCCCCCCTCCCCGCTCAAGATCAATGGTGCATGAATATTCCCCCCTTTCTCCCAAGATATTTTATTACTTTCATTTTCTTAAAAACAGTTCAGGCTGAAATAGAATTTTAAAAATAATTGGTCATACACAATGGCACTTTCAGTGGTCTGTTCTTTGCTTTCCTCTTGTTCCTTGGTTTGAAACTTTCCAATTCGAAAATCCATAACCCCTCAAAATGTGCTTTCTCAAAATTTTTGATGCCACAACTTACAAGATGAAACCCTCTTCTGGGCACTCCTATGCTCTACTATCATGCATAGTTGCAGACTTTTCATTCTAGTTGGGACAGGAATGGTAAATTAAGAAAATAATTAGCGTATTTCATTTTTTGGTGCCAATATAAATATTTCTATAATAATAATATGATTGTTCTGTATCAATAGATGAGAATTTAAATTTATATACACTTTAAATTATTGGCTTGTTTTCAACAGATACTTATTTTGAGCAATAATTATTTCATCTTTCATATTGATTCAAGGAAAGAGACTTCCTGGCTGGAGCTATATGTACTTCAGCTATCAAACGTATTTGCCTATCATTTATCTCTAAAATTTGGTGCTTTCAGTAAAGTAGGCTAAGTCAATTTTTTTTATAAAAAAGCAATTTAGATTCGTTTTTAGTAGCCTTAAAGATTCTTAAAAATGAATTATTAAAGAAATCAATATTTATAATTATAAATACTTAATACTTGACCGTTGTATTATTAATGAAGGAGATGGTCAGGGGTGGTGGTCATAAATAGACTAAATATTGACAAAGCCAACGTTTCGACCCGACTTTGCAGGTCTTCTTCAGGGAGGTGTGTTCAGCAAGCAGTTTCAATTAGAACCAGTGCTAAATGAACTGGTTCCAAGTGAAACTCCTTGCTTGACACACCTCACTGAATAAGACCTACCAAGTCGGGTCGAAACGTTGGCTTTGTCACTATTTAATCTATTTATGACTACCACCCTGGACCATCTCCTTCCTTTATGATTTTGAGTATTTTACTTTTTTAGAGGATTTTTTTCCGGCCGATAAATAAAGCATTCATAACTACTCAGGATTTTCTCTAAACTATACGTTAGTACAACCGTTGGTAATCTGAATTACTCTTCTTCCAACCCACATCAGAAACTTTTAGATTTCATTATATTTCTGGTTCTAATTTGCTTACTTAGATCGGGTATATCTAACATATAGAGCATATATCACTTCATGTAGCATATAGAGCATATATCATTTCATGTAGTATATAGAGCATATATCATTTCATGTAGCATATAGAGCCCTAAATCTCCAATAATTTAATTATCGCCCTGGAGTTATCACCATTTTTTTTTTTTTTTTTTTTTGACAAAATTAGAAAGGGTTTTTATATATACTTAAAAATCTCGTGCAAAATATTTTTATTTTTCGATTGCTAAAAAAATTAATATTTAAGCTTTTTTTTGAGGTGCGAAAAACGAATACCTACTTTGTTTCTTTCTAAAAATATATTTACTCTCAAATTGCTACGTCGGTTGGTCCGAATGGTTCCCATTGTCACTATATGTCAGATATAATGTATTTTTAAAACCGGTTTTATATATAGAGTAAGACATTTTTTAGGAAAAATACCATTGATATTACTTTTTCGCACCTCAAGAAACTATTGCATATGAATTTTTATAGCAATCGAAAGATTAGTTTTTTTCCCCAAGATTAGTTTTTAGCCTAGGTTGGGACCCTTTGATCTTTTGTCGACAACAAAAATAGTAATTACTTCCGATGTCTCCAATATTTTTTGTCTCCATTATTTGTTTCACAATTTATTGTTTATTCAGAACCAATTCACATAAAAAGAAAAAAAATGTTTGAAATCGGTGACCCCCCGAGTTTAAAGTCCCCTTGATACTGCAATCTTTAAAAGAGAAAATAAAGAGAGATGAAAAGCTGATAAATGAAAAAAATTCATATTAAAAGATGTCAATAACTGAAGGTAGTGTTTTGTTAGGAGTGTCCATCACCCCCAAGGTCGATGGCGCATGAACCTCCTCACCTTCCCTCCTCCTCCTAAGATATTTTTTGCTCTTCTCTTCTTACAAAACAATAAAAGCGAGTCATATATCATATACGATTACATTTGATGCTGTTTATCCCATGTTTTCTCCTTGTCCCTTGGTTTAAAACTTTTCATTTCGAAATTCATAACGCCATCAAAATGCGCCCTCCTATAAAATTTTGATGGCGCAACTTGTGCCAGAAACCCCATTTCTGGGCACTTATGTGTTATTTAATTTGTTTGTCATCGATTGTTGATTGAAAATTAACCTATGATTGTAATATGGAATTTCGTCTTCAATTTTGCATTTTAATTTTTTATTTTTATTTTTTCCTTGATTGAAACCATGAAATATACAATATAAAATTCGATTAATTGCATCTGAGGACATTGATTCGTAAATATATTTGTTCAACAATTTAAAAACTGCAAGGAAATAAAATGTGAAATTCAATAAAAATCGGCGCAATGCTTATAACTTAGCCCTCAGTTCATATGCCAATGTATTCTAAATATTTTCGTAAATTTTTACGTTGAATATTTCGCCATTTGATGTTCGTTAGTATTTAATATTCGTATAGTTTAATCATTCATCTATTGTGATTTTTTTTGTACTTTCCTACCGCTACTAGGTACTGGTACTGGGTTGGGGGAACTAGTCCGGCAAGTGGGCCTATAGTGGTCATTTTTGCCAACCATTTTTTAAAATTGCCGCCGCGTACTTGCCAGAGTGGGAATGTCACGACCCATTTCCCGGGGCCGCCGAGAAATGAAAAGTAACCGACCCAGGTGGGAATCGAACCCACAACGTCCAGAACGGGCACTCTGGAACCCACTCCCCAACGTCTTCTACCGCTACTAGGTACGGAAAGCATGGTGATTGGATCCAAATTCCGATGTGTGGTTTGCAACGGATCTTAAGATTTCTGAATCCGAAAACACTTATTCAGCCTCATGTCTGTCGGTATGTCTCGTTGATCAACTTGTTTAAAAAATTTTCTGGTCTGTTGGGTTTTGATTACCGATGTCAGTGAAACAAATTGGGCGACGCTCCCTGCGCAATAGCGGCTGCGGTATAAAAGAAAAACTTGAGTAGCCATAGACTGTAGCGCAAAAACGTCTTTAACAGTTTTTGGTGAAAATTTCCCATAATGTTTTACTTAAAGTCCTTTCAATTTTCCTATATGTAGTAAATTCCCAAGAAAATTCAGGAAAGCTTTAAAAAGTTTTGTTAGGAGAAGGGTCAATGATGGTTTAAGATGGAATATGTTTAGAGTCAAGGACAGACCTCCATGTGTTCCGAAGGCTGATGCTCAATGCATACAGGTATATCATTGACATCCTCCAGAAATATGTGGTACCTTTCGGCTCGTTTATCGCCCTCCGTTTCCTTTTTATACAGAACAATGCCAGACCGCACATCGACCCGACAATCTTGTACGGGACTACTAGACGAGGTTAGTGTCCACACCTTGCAGTGGCTAGCTCGCAGCACGGGCTCCAATCCTATTAAGCATCTTCGAGACTAACTTAGGACATCCATCCGTCGACAACAGAACCCTCCACTTGAACTCCAAGTACGTGAAATGGATCAGATTCAAGATCGGTTTACCATCTTATTCGTAGTATACTTATGTGAATACAGACCATTATTACAGAAAAGGGAGGCAACAATAGGTACTAGAGACTCATGATTAAAAAGGAATTAGATGTGTTTTATTTTTGATTAAAAGAGTGTTCATTTGCATTATTTTAGATTAGGATTTTTTCAAACAAATGTGTGTAGAGTTTTTCCCCTTTCTTTATGGAGTGGGGTAGATCAGTGGGTGAGCACTGACTTTCAGAGCTCAACGTCCCAGGTTAGAATCCAGCTGATGACTAGTAATTTTTCATCAGCTTGGGTCAACCCTGGGGCACAAACCCAACCTCTATGAAGTGGGTACTCTTAATTAAATAGTTAATTAAGGGGGAAAACTGGTGGTTCAGCGTGATATATGCCAGTCCTCTCCCTGCACAGCCGTTGGCCTTGTAACAATACTTTCTCACATTGTACTGAACCCATAACCCTTCATGGGTTGTTAGTGGTACAGTTTTGCCCCCCTTTATTTGTGGTCTTTTCAACCACAATATGCAACACTATATTGAGATATGAAAAATTCAATTTGTTCTGTAAGGAAAGAAACACCGACAAAATTTAAGTATTCCGGTTTTTATGACCACCAGTGTGTATAACTAACAATCCCTCTCTCTCTCTCTCTCTCTCTCTCTCTCTCTCTCACTCTCTCTCTCTCTCTCTCTCTCTCTCTCTCTCTCTCTCTATATATATATATATATATATATATATATATATATATATATATATATATATGTATATGTGTATTATTATATATATATTTAAAGAAAACCTTTAAAAAGTTTTGTCAGGAGGAGGGTCGGTGATGGTTTGAGGTGGAGTCAAGGACAGACCTCCATGTGTTCATTGGGGTGGTAAATATATATATATGGGGGCTGGGGTAGCTGTGCGGGCTAAGGCGCTTGCAGTAGTTAACCAAATTAAGCAACGCCGAGCGTCGTTAGCACTTGGATGGGTGACCGCCCGATTTATGCGGCCGTCCACCAGGTAAACGCTGCCCGAGATCTTCCCCTCCCCGGGTATGTCAGTCCACACACAGAGTCCTGTCAGCCTACTGGAGGCAACTCACACCGACTGGGCGTAGGACAGATGACCCTACCCCCCGTGTACTAAAATCGGGAATCGGGGTGTGGTCTAGGAGACCGCATCTCGTATACATAAATCTTCATGGTCTGTAGCGCCAACCGAAAAAAAATATATATTTATCTATATGTATATATTTACTATACGTTCAAAGAATACTGATGATATACAACACTCTGATGGTACACAAGTTTACGGCTTCAACAATTTAAAAGATTTGAACTGTTTTTTTTTTTTTTATATCTTTCAAAATTAACTCTTGGCTAGTTTAGAGCACCTTTTCTCTTTGGATTATATTTTGGCGCCAATTAACAATATAACCTTCAACTGTGTTTGTTTATTTTGTTAACAATTAAGTTGTCAAAAAGATGTGTTGCAGAAATTTAATCTCGCATTTCATTGTGAATTGTTTCTTTTAGTGATTTATTATTTATCTGCGTTTAAAAATGCGTCCCCCAAAACTTGTTCCCTCAAGTTTTGGGGAAAAAATCGAGGTAGTTTTGGTTTTTATTGATATCGTTATTGAAAAATAATTAATGTTACTATTCATTATGTTCTTAATTTTAGGATTATGAAGTTATGAATCTTCTTGGAAAAGGTGGTTTTGCCAGTGTTTACAGAGCTAGGTGCATTAAAACTTCAATGGAAGTAGCCATTAAAATGGTAATGTAGTTTGAATTAGATGATTAGATTCTACAGTTATTTCTCTAATAAAAATTATCAGTGTAGGATAATTCATATATAGTTTTATAGAACAGTCTCTGAATTACTTTTATCATTGTAACAATGTTACAAAGACTCAATGGTTTTATATAAATAGTTACTTTCTTTTCACATTTGTCATATTCTTAATGATTTCTGCAATACTTTTTCCTAAATTTATAATATGAATTGTCTGATGTGCTTTGTTAAATTGGCATTTAATCAAATTTAAAGTGACCAATGAATGACACTTATTTCAAATGGTATAATGAAGTGAACTGACTTTAAATTATAATTCCAAGGGCCTCTGTGGCCACCTGAAGTGGGATTTTTATTATTTATCCTCATGTAGCAATTCAGGCTTCTACAGGATATTTTAATTCTGAAATCATAAGCACTTAATTTTCTATAAAATTGAATTAAATTTTAAGTATTTTTAAAAATTGAAATTGATTTTTTATCGAATTTCCATGAAAAACACTGTAGTGATACTTGATTAGTTTACCACAGATTTAAAATAGGTCCACTTTGACGGGTAGGCACGAGATGTCATGATCGCAATAGAAATGGAAATCCAAGAATGACATGAAGAACACATGATAATGATAATGTGTTCAGGGGTATATCCTCCCTATATTTAGATTGGGATTCAAGACTTCTTCAAACTCCCAAATAATCGTTTCAGTTAAAATCGGATCTTTAATTAGCTTTATTTGCATCGCTGCATTGAATTTTCCTTCCTATCCTTGCTCAAATGTTATAAATAAAACCCTAACTGGTCCTTTTTCAGTTAAAAGTCATCTCTATCTACTATCAGAATCTCTATCTACTATCAAAATTCCAAGTTCTGAATCATGAGTTCTTGTACCCTCACACCAAAATGGAACAATATAATTATTATGAAAATTACATTGAATGTCAATAGGTGGAAATTAGTAACTTTTCTACACTAAATACCAAGTTTATAATTTTGGTCAATCTTTATTTTATTTTTCAATAATATGTAAAGATTTGGCGAGCAATTATTTTTTGATATTTAGTTTTAAAATATTTGATTTTACGGATGTACAGATTATACTGATCAACCACAATCTTGAGAATTAATAGGATATAAATAGTCCCTCTGTAATAGCAAGACCATTAAATAATTTATTATGAAAAATTAAAAGAAATTAATCATAAAGATCGTCTTAGATCGCACTTCAAACTAACTTCTACTAATTGATCTTTGATTAACAATATCTCCACCATTAGATCATTAAAGTTTTACTAAAAAAGTTTAATCATGTTACAATTAAATATTTTCTATTTTCTATAAATATTTATTTATTCTTCTAGTGGATATTTGTATTTTAACATATTTAAATTTTACATAATTAATGATAAATAAAAAACAAAATTATAAATTATTTATTTAAATATTTTTGTAACATATAATATTCACTTGATATCATCAATTTTATTTACAATTTTTTTATAGACCAACATTTAGTTTTATTGTAGCACAGTCTAACCCATTGTTGCACTCCATAAGTTGTTCACTCACCCGGGTTGGTTGGAGTGATTATATTTTGGGTTGACGTCTTGTAGTTTAGGTCCAAAGGAATTCCTACGGTTCTCCATCACTCATAAAAAATCATATGTGATTTCACACTCCTTGTTTTTCCTCATTTTTGGTGTGTAGTGATTGGAGTAGAGCAATTCCTTTGACTAAAGAAATTTATAGGAATACATACTTCACTCGGTGGCAAGATTACTTTAATTTTTATGTATGAGTTGTATTATTAATTAACAGATTTTTTAAATATTTTAATTTCTCTAATTATTTGAATATCAAAACAACTATGTACATTGGTATTTAAATTGCATTTGAACGCTTGAATCAACTGCTTTTTACTTTCAATAACGTTAAAATAAAAATGATTTTTCCTTTTTTAACTCTTAATACATTTAAAATAATGAATATATATAAAATAATATATAAAGATATATCGTTCTAAAACGTTTTGTTGTTGCCTTTTTCATTAATTTATCAATGATATTAATATCTTTAATTTTTATAGATTGATAAGAAGTTGATGGCTTCTAATGGGATGGTCAATAGAGTCAGGCAAGAAGTGGCTATACATTCACGCCTTAAACATCCTTCCATTTTAGAGCTTTTCACATTTTTTGAAGACCTTGATTATGTTTATCTTGTATTAGAGTTGGCAGTTAATGGTGAATTACAACGATATATCAAAAATAATCCTGTCATAATTTCTGAAGAGGAAGGTATGTTTTTCAGTGTTTATGTTTTATACGTCTGTCATTAAATTATATTAATATTTATATATTGAATGTATCATAAATTTATTACAAGCACCCCATCCAAACCCTCTTTCACAAGCAGTGGCCCCATGACATTTTGTAATACGTAATTGTTAGAATTTCGGCAATGGCCTGATTCTCCACTCAAGACATGTTGTATGTGGCTATACTGCTCTCACTCAATCTCCACTGGCTTTTAGTACTAGTGATGAGATTGAGAGAGTAGCACAGAAATCCTGGAGTCCTGCTTTTTCTTCTATAGGTGGACAGACAAGCCTGGTTCCAGAAGATCTTTTGGCTGATTGTAAATAGTCTGTGTTATTTTACTTGATTTATCCTTAAGTTTATTTTATTTTTATTTATTGTAGGTATATACTTTTTGATTAGTTATTTTGTTTCTATTTTATTTTTGCTGTAAATATGGAGTGAATGAAATCTTTTCTCACTGTAACCATTGTCCACATTGTGGCAGAATGTTATATTACTCAATAAATTAGTTTTAAAAAAAGTAATTATTACAAAACACTATAACTATAAATAAAAAACTATAAATAACATTTCATAATATTAAATTTTTCCCTCTGTGAAATGAAAACATTGTACAATTACAAGGGAAGGTCACATTAATTCAAGGTCATTAATGGTAATTAATTTCAACTAAAATTTTTTTGATGATTTTATATAGAAAATGCGTCACATGACTTTCACTTTCTCCATAGCAGAAATAAGTATTTTCAGACAAAGAGAAAGTGAAAGTAAAAATTATAGACACTATATTTATTTACATTTCGTTGTCGATATTTTCATTTGTTTAAATACCCTTATATATACAAATTTTAATTTTTATATCACTGTATTCTTTACAATTATTAAATATTACCTATTTACCAATTACCAAAATTATTATTAAATAATATCAATGATAGCATTTATGAAAAGCGCAAATGTATATGTACATAATATTGTCGAAGTCCGTATTGTATTAAGCCCATGTTATATATGGAAGCTTGTAATCTTTCGGGTGAGCTCAGGCGCACTTGTATTCCTTTGGTTCCTCCATTACAACTATTATCCGGTACGATCTCTTATTTCTCATATAGTTAATTATCAAATTCTTTCATATTTTATATCTAACTATTTATTATATCAAAGATTAATGTGAAATGGTTAATTATTTCAAATAAAATAAATTAAAGGTACTTTAGAGGAAGCTAATATTTAAAATTAGCAATTTAAGCTCTGTTAGAGAACAGCAATGAGAATAAAACCTACATCATATTAAAACTGCTTAGTAATACACTGATATACCGAGTTTAATCAAAATCATTAGAGCCGTTTTTGAGAAAATCGTAAAAATGTGATAAGTCGATTATATAAAGTACCTCTCCCAGTTTGTCAATTTTGACGAAAATGTTGAAATTAGATTCGGTCATTCTGTCAACTGAAAGGCTCAGATACTGAAGTTGTGTGGTTTGTAAAAGCAGATGGAGTAACTAGATTTGTATTACCTACCGTCGATATAATGAATAGACTTTTTGTAATTTTAATGGTTTATTATCTATAAACTTCAAACTTTAGCTCCATTTAAAATGCACTTCAAAAATTTTATAATAGCCCAGCATTGCGAAAAAATAATTTCTATTCAAAGTACAGCGGTATGTGAAAGTTGTGTGTTGTGCGCACCAGATTTTTTTAAAAAGTAAAAATGTACTAACTTTAAGATTTTTTTCCTTCCATTAATAAAAGCATCCTTAGATCTGAAGAAAAGTTCATTTGATCACCAATTTCTTTATTTTATATTTTTTATGACTTTCCAGCTGAAACTAAACCCATTTTTAAGTCTGCAAAAAGTGTTTACAATTTATCAATTTTAATTAATATAAAATCATTTTTTTTTTATTAAATTACATGACTGTGTAACTTTTATATTCATGTGTTCATAATATTAATTTTAATAAGAGATATATTTTACTAGGATTTATATTACCACTAACTATCATTAAACAAACACATCAAATATTTTATATTTAAAATAAAAAATATTTTTGTTATTTTTCTTTTTGAAATAATTTTTCTGTTAACAATTTACAGACTTGTTATTTTAATATGGTATTTTAACCCATATATAATTCGTTGTGAGCTCCACCTTCCGTTTATTTGAAATAGGAGTTTTGGCTAAGAATGGTTTGTCCAAAAATGTGTAACTAATTTTAGTAATGTCAGCTATTATTGAAAAATTGTGGTAACCTCTCTACCTTAATTCTACCTCCAATTGCATAAACATAGAAGAAGTGTCTGTGAAGATTCATACCTATTTATTTAAAAATTGGTTCATTTTCTTTTTCTTTTTTAATTATTTTCCATTAATTAGAGGATAGTCAAAAGAAAAGTGAAAGTATTACTGTGAGGTGACTTGGATTGATAAAACTGCATTGGTGCTACATGTCTATATCCTTCTTACAATATTATTTCACTTAAGTAAAAAAATGTCATGATACTAAATATTGTCACCTGATTCATCTGGTTTAATATCTTTGTAATTTTCTATTTTAGGAAATATAACAGCTCATCATTTTTACATATGGTACACTAAAAGAATATGTAGGCATATTAGTTTGTCGTTGAGTGTGAAAACATTTCAAATATAGCTCAGTCTATTAATGAAAAATATTAATATCTAATAATATGAAGATTATCTTATTAATTTAATAATGAAATATAATGTTTTAGTGGCACATATCCTATCACAAGTTGTTGAGGGGCTGTTGTATCTACATTCTCATAATATTATACACCGAGATATGTCTTTGGCTAACTTACTTCTAACAAAGGATATGCAGATTGTAAGTGAATAACTTTTGAAAACACTTTTAAGTGTAACTATTTATTAACTTATCCATTGTTTATTATAATTTTAAATGAACAAAAAAAATTAACTAAACTATAAGTGATTGCTAATTCTAGAAAATTGCTGATTTTGGCCTGGCTACACAATTATCTCGACCTGATGAAAAACATATGACCATGTGTGGAACACCAAATTATATTTCACCTGAGGTAAATTTTATTTCATTAGATTTCATCATTGGTTATTGCTACTCAGTAGCTTTGTTTTTGTGAACTAGATTATTATAAAATTACAAAAAAAATTCACTTTAAAAAATATTTCAACTAAACAAATTTGTAATTAGCACTGATACTCACATCAATTAGATCATACACTCAATGGAAAGCAATTTTGTTCTTTATGTACTTACAGTACTACAATGTAGTACTGTATTAGTTTTATTTCCTTTCTATCTTGTCTTCCAGCCACACAGATGTTGGAAACATAACAATGAATAGGTCGTCTTAATAGCATCTCGTTGGGACCGTCATCGGAGTCCCGTTCTGCGGGGCATCTTGCTCTCATCACGAGTGGAGATGCACCAGGAGAGGACACACTGGTACCCCAATGGTGAACTATGCCTGGCAAGGACGAAGCCAGGTGAAATCCTGTTGATGGTCCGAAGTGATTCTGATGTGCAAATCGATCGTTGACCTGGGTATAGGAATGAAAGACCAATTGAACCATCTAATAGCTGGTTCCTTCTGAAGTTTCTCTCAGGATAGCTGAGTCTCACTAAGAGATGAGCCTTATCTTGTAGAGCGAATGATTAGAGGTGATGTAGTCGAAATGACTCTAACCTATTCTCAAACTCTTTATAGATGAGGGCCCAGGCTTGATTAAAAGTGAAGCCATGGAACTCAGATCAGGGATACCAAGTGAGCCAAATTTAGTATGCAGAACTGTGTGCTGTACCATAAATTTTCTTGACTCTTGGACATTTTGCTTAGAATTAATCAAAATGATATCCAAGCTTTGAAAAGGCAAAAAGTTACCTTTAAAAGAACCCAAAAAGCTCCCTGATTATCCATCCTTTTGTCCTATTTCTCTTTTTTCAATCATAGATAAAACTTTAGAAAAAATTATTTTGAAACTCCTATACTTCATCATAGATTCTCATACCTCATAATTTAAGATCACCACTTTGAATTCTAAACATCTTGCTTCACTGTCCAGCTATGTGGAGACTTTTTTTGAGGCATTATAGCGCAGAAGATACATAAGGTGGTCTTTCTCAATGTAGGACAGTAACTCAGGCAGGTCTTGCTTTATAAATTCTGTCATTTTCCCTCTTGTAAATAATCTCTTATAATCTCTCTACCTCATTAAAGTTAGGCCCACACATATGGTAGGACTTTTGGCTTTTGAACTTATGTTTCCTTGAGAAATAATGAAAGATCACTTGATGACTATTACAAACTTGAGAATTCACAAATAATCAGTATTATTTTTTGCAGGTAGCTACAAGGAGTAGCCATGGATTAGAAGCTGATGTTTGGGGCTTAGGCTGCATGCTTTATACATTACTTGTTGGGAAACCACCATTTGACACAGATGCTGTGAAGAGCACTCTAACCAAAGTTGTGATGGCTGACTATGAGGTACTAAATAAAACATTCAATCAAGTTTATATAAGATCAAATATATATCAAGCATGCTAGAAATATTAGATATTAGTAATATCCCCATCCCCACCTATATTATTACAGGAAGGCTCGAAATCGGTTTTGTACCAAATATAAGCCCCTGTCATGCTCAAATACCATGAATGGGGTACTGTTGGATTCAGAATTTCACAGGGGGTTAGAAAATCGTATTCTCCACTTTTGTTTTTCTTTCTAAAATAAATAAAATTGATACAAACATTTTGCTAGGCTTCAATACTGGAACGGTGGTAGGCCTGTAGATCGATACAGAAAAATTGGACCTTGAAGATTTTGATGTGTACAAGACCTGGATAGTTCCTCCGGAATTATCGGATCTGGAGTTTTTAAGCCCAAAAAACGTACTATTTTGGAGATAACAGAAGGCATAGGGTTCGCATCCAAACAATCTTACATTAATTGTAGTACTGTCATTGAATAAATGTCTCATTTCGTCGACTTGAGGTCTATGATCGAGAGAGGAGGAGTTTATATTATTTGTCGATGGTGTTTTTGATCAGCAAGCTATATCATCGTTAATTCTTCACCAAATCTCAAGATTGAGCCACCAATTTCGACGAAGGCTTCCTTCTCCTTCAGGTAAACAAGTTATGAAAGAAAACAAACTTTATTTGTGAATAACTAAAAAACTACACAATTTTCTCTTACTAAATTAGATTAGATTACTAAATTCCCTACAAAAGGAAAAAAAAATCATCAAAATCGGACAATTTTTAGCAAATATACAGCTTATTGAAATTTGTAAGCATGTTGATTCCAAACAAAAATGAAGATTTAAATTAATTTTTGTTTCCTTTGTCGATTATATTTATCGATAAAGTAACAATTGATTTCTTTATTTACTACTATGATACATTGCATTATTTTATTTTCTTATTAACTTTGCATTTGATAACAATATGCTGTGCGAAGTTTTCGTACGGGCCTACTAGTTATATAAAAAAAAAATACCAATTCTTTGTTCCTTGACACGAAACATAGTTATATTTTAAGGGTTAAAAGAATACTTTCAGGGTTTGAAAATTTGAAATAAAACTACAAAAGGTATATATATATATATATATATATATATATATATATATATATATATCTTTACATTTTTTAATATATTTTTTATGTGGCCTATCAGTATTTAAAATATGAAAATGTTGCTTTGATTTTGAGAAATTTTATTCAGTGTAAAAATTTTTTAAGTAATATACTTATTTCTTTATTTTTTCACAGATTCCTTCAAGAATTAGCATCGAAGCCAAAGATCTAATTGATAAACTACTCAAAAAGAATCCAAGGGAGCGCATGCAGTTAGATGAAATTTTAGAACATCCCTTTATGATAAAAAACAGAACTAGAAAACATCAATTGAAAAAAGTAAGTAGAAGATATCTCTAAATTTGTACCTGATCTGTTTTTTGAATCCATGTAGAAGAGTGTGGTTACACCGACAAGGTGAGATTACAACCAATGGGTCACCAATTTCATCCATTTTTTTTTTTTTTTTTTTTTGTGTGATTCCACATCAAAAAATACTTAACGCATGTCCTGGCGTTAGTTCAAATGGTCCCAAGGAGCTGAGAAAAAATATTTGATATGATTTTTATGTTATTATATACCAATCAATTTTTTTATTAATTTTTTTGTGCATAATAAGAAAAAAAAATACTAATGAATTAAATGAGTTATAATGTGGCATAAATTACAAAAAACAAAATATGCTAGATAAATTTTTGTTATGAAAAAGCATGTTAAATTTGGTTTTAGTGTCCTCAAAGGCTATTAAGTGCTGGGAAAAATGAATAAGGAGGTTTCACTTTATAAAGATGGATCAGATCTGCTCCCAGATAATTATAATAATTTAATATTTCCAAATTTAATTAATCTTATTTTGCTTCCATTTTCCATTTCTTGTTTTTTTCCTAAATTTTCTTCATTGTAAAAAGAAGAAAACCTTAATTTTCGTTTTCTTCTAGTTGGTTGGCAAAGTCCACAAAATACTATATTCCACCATCCTATATATCATCGTTTGAATAACTTTAGGTTCCAGGGAAATTGCAAAACAATGTCATTTTTGTTCATTAAACAGTGTATGTTTACTCCACCAATTCTATTTTCATCTCCAATAAAGTCAAAGAAATCATTCGCAAAGAATGTTAACAAAATGGAAGAATGCAAACTACCCTTTCTCAACCTTACCAATGGTTTGAAAGTTCCTGTAGCACTGCCTCAATCCAATCACAGGATCCAGTACATTTGTACGTTACCTGTAGAACATTAATCAATTTCTGGGACGTTTCCAACTTGAAAACTTTATAAAAGAGTGACTTTTCTCTGTAAATTGTAAGTAGTCTTAAAATTACTAAACAGTCCATAGAGTGTGTGATATTTCTTTCTGGTTTGAAGTTTAGTCACATTGAACAAATTAAAAATATTGACTTGAGCATGTATAATTTGGCATAACGCACTGCGACCACAAGGGTCTATTGTGCGCCATGTTTCTAAGCCGTTTTGCGCTAAAACATTAATTTGGTCGTATCTGCGTATTTTAATAAACTTATAGGGTTAATAAACAGGCATAGCTTTTTAGGTCAGCCACTCGGTCCTCACCAAACAGCCCAAGCTAAGCCTTGCAAACTGATATCACACTGATATACAATGTGGAAGACTGTTTCATTCTCAACGTGACAGAATCTACATAGTGGATTCCTAGTCAGTTTTAGATTGTACGTATGATAGTTTAGCTTACAGTGCCTGGTTTAGATAGTTGTAAATTTTTTAATCGTTGCTCTATCCAAACTGAGTTGCAGCTTGTTCCTTTTATCGTAGGGCCCTTCCCTGTCGCTGCTTCTTATCGGAACAATACTGCTTGAACTTATGACATTTGAATAGTATGACTCCCAGATGTTTTACTTTCTTATTATGTGTTAACTGGATCCCATTTATATCAGACATTTTAATAAACACCTTTTTCTTCTTAGTGAAGATGCAAACATTGACCTTTTGTGGATTGATGCTTAGCCCATTGGAGCATGTATGTATACCAACCTTTCAAAATGTCTGTAATTGTTTTGAGAAAATCAGAGAGTACACTCTGATGTTTTCCTCCAATTAGGATAGCAATATCATCAGCATATCTTAGAGTATATATACCACAAGTGTTAAGATCTTCCAACAAGGAGTCAGCCACTAGACACCACAGTAAAGAAGAAAGCACATCTCCTTGTGGACATCTACCGCTAGGTCTAACCCACAGTTCAGTGTGCCCTAGTTCTATTTTTAGAAGCCTGTCCTTCAACATCCTCACAATTCATCTAGAGGACATAGGATCCCCGTGTTTGTTCCTTATTCCAGCATTAATAATGTCATAAGGGGTCCTATCTAAGTCACCTTCCAGTTAGTTATAGTTCTTTTGGCATCATTATTGTTCAAATATGATTTTATCACAGCATCAGTTAATGATGTGTTAAGACATTCTATTTACCATGTATCGTTGTAACAACAAAGAACTGTTTACAGAAACTGTTCAATTGTAGCTCATAGCAATCCACCTGAAAGCCTCTATGTAACAATGAATACCTCAATAGAAGGCAAAAGACCACATGGAAGGCCAAAAAGCAGATTGATAGATAGAATCAACAAAGACGCAAAAGAGCTGTTTGTAGATAAATGGAAAAAAATAGCCCAAGACAGATGGAGCAGGCTTCTTAAGGTGGCAAAAGATCTACATGGTCTGTAATGTCAAAAGAAATAAAAATGCCACTCAGCCACATCTCGAGCTCCTGTACCTAACTTGGGTATCCTAACAGGACCATCACAACTATCACAAGGATAAAAGTGATGGACCCTACTTCTGTTGTTCGTGAATCCCGTCGGACTCCCCATAGTGCACCACATGGAGGTAAGATGACAATAGGCGTTGTTATGAATAAGGAGATCTGGGAACTATTTTTATTTATTTATTTTTTTGAATATTTTTATAGTTGACCATTGCATTATAAAGGAAGGAGATGGTCCGGGGTGGTGGTCATAAATAGGCTAAATTGTGACAAAACTATTTTATTAAAAGCAAACGTTTCGACCCGACTTGGCTTTTAATAACCCGAAACGTTAGCTTTTAATAAAATAGTTTTGCCACTATTGAGCCTATTTATGACCGCCACCCCGGACCATCTCCTTCCTTTATTTATTTTTTTATTTGTTCTTCCCTACCTCGTCTTTTTAGGCTATACGGGGGTTTTCCCTGGTCAGGAGGCGAGGGCAGGGAATTATAAGATCTCCAAGGCACCAGAGCATGAGCTCATAATTTTATTGTCTCCAGCTTTGGTTATCAGGTTGCCAGACAACGCACAGTGCTGTGCACACACGTTAGCCCGTTCTGCCATCCCCCCTCCTCTCCCTCCCCCAGGAGATCTCGGAATTCACTTGCAGTGGGTAAAGCAATATTTCCAGTTCGTTCCGCTAAGAGTGGGGAGAATCCTGCAACCATCTCCCTCCTTTGACCCCCCCGTTACCCTACCCATTAGCCCCCCTTTACGATGTGGCGGGAGGGCGAGGGATTGTTCTATCTAAAGGTACAACCAAATCTATTCTAACCAGAGTGGAAAGGTCGAGATTCATACATGACTTTACTGTTGGATTCAATGTCTTCTGATTTTCTCAAAGAATAGATTTTTAATTTATAAAAATCTAATTCATCAGGGTGACTTTGATTTTTACCAATGCTTAAATTGTAGCCCTCAATCAAAACAATATTCTTATAAAAATAATTACCAATTTATTTTAATATTTATTAAATCAATTTTCAATTCACACAAGTGATAACCTTTGAAAAAACATTTTCATAATTCTTAATTGTCTTCCAGCTAGAAAAGTAGCTAAAGATTAGTTTTCATACATCTAAGCTGCCAGTATACAATTTCATAATAGAACCTGTTTTGTTCATAATGTAGTATATGGTATCGGTTTCTTATTTATACAACTAGGATTTAAATGTTAAGTTCTTAGCATAACTGGAGTGACCTACGATTAAAAGAGGTAGAAGAAAATTGAAAGTAAAAAGCAACTTGGTAGATTCAAAGAAATAATCTACCAGTATTACTATTCACAACTTTCCTCGATATTTTAAATCTTTTTCTAAATGTAATTTCTATCATATATATTTATTTTTTTCAGATTGAAGGATTATCAATGGACAGTGGAATGGGAACAATGAGCACAAACAATTCTGGAATTAGGGGTCATTCTTCTCGATCTAGGTATTATATTTCATTATTTAATTGTTTTGCAGTGAGGAGAAATATATTAGTTCAAATTAACTTGTGTGTTTAATTAAGACAAGTAACTCTCATAAATATTATTTGTTATTAAGATATTTCTTTAATTTTAGTAACAGACTAGTAGCAGACATAAAATAATAATAATAATGAGTAAGGTGCTGACTGAGTATATGAGGGGAGATAAAGGCTGTCCCTCCTGCATGTTATGAAGAGGGTTCACATCTCCCAACCCCCTCAGATACATATAAAACATCATCATATTACACCAAACTTTGCTTCCCTCCCCAATATTTCCTTAGTGTAGATATCCATGGCAAGAATCCATCACTGGCCAATCATAATGGAAGTATTTATATGAAGTATATAAAGGAAAACAGTTCCATTGACACAGTGATAAAATAAATGTTATAGTCAGATAACATTTTCACCTATTACTATTTTTTGAATTGAAAGTAAATTACTTATTTTTTACTTGGGAATAACCAGTGCACCAACTTTTTTTTTCATAATAAAAAAAGAGTTCTTAATTTGATAAGGATGTTCTTTCATGAACAACCTGTATACTGGGAGATGATGTAGCCAGCAATCACTAAAATGTTTTCTTAACCCATTGAACGATTGGATACCCACTTTGTAGAGGGTATTTATGCCATAGAAGGTTTCTTGATTTTGAAATCAATACACAACAAAGAGAATAGCAAATAAACTTAGGAGCTCAATATTGCCTTTTAATATTTTATTTCTATTTTTTTTTTTTACATAATTGGAATTATTAAAATTAGCAATATACATTCATCATCAAATATGGAAAAATTTTCATCAAAAAATTTAACTTAATGTATTTAACATTTTTCCGTGACAAAGCAAATTTCTATTTTTAACTTGAGACCCTTTTCCTTGGGGATATGCGATATTTTCACTAATGGAAAAATTTATTGATACACTTTGGCTTTTTACAACCTGAACTGTATGCTACATACTCCTTATATTACTTTGAAAAATGATTTAAGTTTAGAACTAGCATTTTAATATCAGCAGTTCATTGTCATTTATTTCATATTCATATGTCATAAATTTAATTTTTAAGGTCTGAAGATAGATCTAAAAAGAAAACTTTTGATTATGGAGAAACCAAACATTCACTTCATTACTCTGATTCTGCTGGCTCGAGAAAACTTGATTTTTTTGGAAATCCAAGGTCCAAATGTTTTGACAAGAAGAGCAAACATTCAATAACTGTTTTTCCAGAAAAAAGTGAAGGTATTCATTGTATATTTTGTTAAAAATTTTGACTATCACTATTAGTTTATTGGTTTTGGATCATGTATTTATAGTCATTATATTTTGAATGAGACTTCTTTAAAATTTTCAGCCAGTAATTAAGTTGTTTTTTAAATATAATTTCTGACTTAGTGGTGGTGACTCTTAGCTCCTAGTTAGATGTAACATACTGAATTACTAGTGAGAAAAGTCATTTGAATATGAAATATTTTCCTTAACTTGTTGGTTGTTGGAAGTTTTTAGTTCAATTACTGTTTTAGAAATCTTGACTTTATTCTTGTAATATTTTGAAATTATTTCTTGGTAATTAGAAGTTAATATTAATTTATTGAATGTTTTGCTCCGAACTTAATATTGTATTTTCCCTACTAACTACTAAAATATTGTGATTAGCTTATTTTAATTCTGTTTAAAAGGAAATGGCTTAATACAGCATTTTTTCTAATTATCATTTTGTCCTAGACTTCTATTATTATCAAATCCATATTACCTTATTTGTTAAATTCTATGGTTTGCTGCTGCATAAAAAGAATTATGATTGATCATATATAGCAATATTTTAACTATGTAGCTCCTCTGGCGCCACAACAAAGTATCTGAAAATGTTGTATTTTTTTTTAAATTGGAAAAAAGACGTGTTTAATTGAATTGAAGGCATAGTATAATATAAGGAAAATTTGAATGGATAGAAGAATTTCACACTCGTATCATGGTTTGTTCATCATTTATTTAAAAATGGCTTATAAGATTTATCATTTACTTTTAAATTGAAAATGATGAATTTTGGTCTGTACTTTGATAGCATAATTGCTAGGAATATGTGAGGAACATAAGAAGGAAATAACTCTGTATTGTTCCCACATCAGAATCCTATATAATTTTTAAGCCTGTATAATTTAAATGTTGTCCAACATTTGTTTGTTCTCTCTCAAGATTTAAAAATTCCACCATCTATCCAAATCAATACTAGTAAGATTTCTAAATAAAATAACATCTAATAATTTATTTATCATATAAGTTAACATGGTCTAGTCTTTTCCACAAGATTGGGAAGAAATATCTGGCTGGGGTCTATGTGAGGAATGATGCGCACACATTGTGTAGCAACTGCACAAAATCCTATTATGTTGTTGATATCAATAATTTTGTTGGTACTAATTCACATGAGTTCCGCACAAATTACACCTGGTTCATAATCACTTCGATCACACTTGCTCATAGAATCCCGAAAACAGCCGGATGTTGTCATATTTTATGAGGTCAGCTCACAACACAATCCCTTTTCATGCATTCTTGAAAAAAACAAAAACGTATTTCCTTCATGGAACCTCCTAATTAACAATTTACTAACGAATTATGTATATACTAATTTGTTAATTATTAATTTATATTATAATGGTTATTACTCTGAAAGAATAAGAAAAAATATATATATAAAATGATGTTTGAGTCGTCCTTCAAGGCTTGTTAAAAAGAAATGCTTTTAGAAATAAAATTTTTATTGATACGTGTTTAAGATCATAAGGCTTTTAGAAATCAAATTTTTATTGATACGTGTTTACATCTAGAGGCTGTAAATATGCAGGTACTGTTGTATATTATCTTTTAAAAACTGTTTATAACAAATTTTTTATCATTTGAATAATAAATAATCTGAAGTTATCTATTATATTTTTATTTGTTATTGAACCACTTTATTGAATGAAGTAGCTTCGTAATTATTGTTGTTTGTAGTTATTTTGCTTGGTAATCCGAAAATGGGAACTTATTGTAGGCATTCTTATAAAAGTTTATTTTCGAGGAAGAAATTAACGTAGTGAGGAAACAACTGACGAAGAATATCTGATAATTCCAAGATAATGAGTAATGGAAATCATTGATTAGAAAAATAATATCGTGAAATAGCATTCAGAAGTATAATAATTAAAGGTTTTTATCTATTATTATTTCTTTTCCACAGCTGTATAATATATGTACAAGTTCGATTAAGGTTACATGATGTAGCCTAAATTTCTAATATAAGTTGGCTCCTGCTGTATAACTGGACATGGTTAAGGTTATAGAAGTACTTAAATGGTGGGAAAGTTAATAGTGACTGACTCAAGAGATCGGTTGTCCCCATTCTCTTTCCGATAAACCCGAAGTCATTCATTCGGCACTCCATGAACGAGTGTGATCGAAGTGATTGTGATCCACGTGTAATCCGTGTGAATTCATGTGAACTAGTTTAAAACTTTTAAGAAAAAAATGATATTTTAAGTTAAATTTCCATTATTCCATAAGTTTTTAAATAGCCTGCCATCACTGTAACTCTGCTCATTATTATTTCCTGAAATGTGGGTATTTTATTCACTAAATTATTTTTAATTGTGTTTATTAAGTGTGCATACGGGATATGTGTTTTGTCAACCATTTCCAGTTGTTTTCAGATTACTGATTTATTGTTTTAGAAAAAAAGCTCGAGGTAGATCCTTTGTGTTCTTATAGACTTCAACCAACTAGGCATAAAACCAAAAATGCTGTTTTAAGTATTTTACATAATGGTGAGGTAACTGTAGAGCTTTTTAAAAAAAGAGGTTCAGAAGAGCGAGTTACTGATGTATGCAGAATTTCAAGTGATGGGTTAAGGGTAAGTCTATCATAACAAAAACAAATGTTGAAATCAAAGTATAATAATAATTAATGTTAAACGATTTTTTAAAATACAATGTTCCAGATTGTAATTTACAAGGTAGGTCGTAAGTGTCCAGTTACTGATGAACCGCCCCCGGTTCCACCTGATGGAGCTGATTCTATTTACAGCTTGGAAACATTACCCCCTGAGCATTGGAAGAAGTATATATATGCTTCTAGGTTTATATCTCTTGTTCGAGCAAAAACTCCAAAAATAATTCTCTATACATCTGAAGCAAAATTTTTACTTATGGAAAATTCTCCCAATCCTGATATAGAAGCTGTATTTTATACAGGTAAGAAACTATTGAAAAATGTGTTATTATTGTACAATTATAAGTCAATTTCTGAGTAAACAGACAATTATTTAAAACTAGAGTATGTTTTCTTATGATCATTCAGGATGAATAAAACATACTTTTCATTGTTAATGTATTTTTTATTAATTTTTTTGCTGAAATTTTTAGTCATATTCTCGGCCATCAGGGCTCGCAAGCAATAATAGTAGGAATAGTTCTGTATTCAAGACAATATGGTTCTGCATAATCTAGATTTCTTCTTAACGACTTTTAACGATCTTTTCTTATACGTTATCCTGGCCGTTCTTTCCATGCTCATCCTTATGATGTGCCCAATCTTAGTTTATTCTCTTACAGAGTGGTTTCTACTGGCTGTACCTCATGGTTTGATCTTATTGTTGTGGATCCTATATCTCTTGGTCTTTCCTTCAATCTTTTATAGATATCTTATCTCCATTGTCTGGAACTGTCCCTTATGTTTTGAGGTAAGGGTACATGATTTGGAGGAGTAAGATAAGATGGGCAGGAACGTTGACCTGTAGACTGGCAGTTTTGTCTTTTTCATCACCTCTCTTATGTTGAGGAAACCTTTCCGGATCGAGTGGAACATTCTTCTAGCTGATCCCAGTGTTTATGGAAACTTTCTATCGATATAGCCACTTTTGTTGATCCAAACATCTAGATATTTGAAATTCTGCACCTGTTCTAAGATCTGTCCTTTCAACCTTAATATTCTCATAATATGGTTTAGATCTCTTATTCTCATGCATTTTGTGTTACCTGGATTAATATCCAGATTAATGCTAGGCAGGTCTTCTTGCATGGTATTTACATTGTATTGTAGGTCTTGGGCATCCACAGCGAATATAACGAGATCATCAGAAAAAGTGAGGATTGTGTAAAAAGTAGGCTGTAGGCTCCTATGTCCTAGTTGAAATACCTTTAGTGTATGGAATTCATCTGTTTTGCAAATGCGCCCCTCCTCCCCCTTAGAACATTCCTGGATCCAGAAATGTGTAGAAAGATCATTTTTTAATCATAAAAGTATTTTAAATGATTAAAGGCATAAATAAATTTTCACAGAAGAAAATTTAGAAATGCATGAGGTGATTAATTTTAATGCAGAACATGCCTCTAAAGCAGATTAATTCAAATGTTTTATTTATTCCACAAGTTATTAATTATGTTATTGTTTCAATATAGATTCATGTTAGATTTTTTCATTTTTTTCAGACTTTTTGTTCCGTATTTGTTATAGTTTTTTACTATGCTTATTTGATTATGTGTTAATACAATTATTATTTGTTTCTTTGTATTATTTTGATATTTTAATGTGGTTAATGGTATGTTTTCGAGCATTATAATGTACATATGTATATTCTAACCTTACTAGCCATATATGTTTAGTTACTTCCATTCTTTAGTTTAGGTATTTAGAAAAAAAATTGAAATTATTGTAATTTTCAATCCCTCCATAGTTTCTTTTTTATTTCAAAACTTTTTGTAGGTACATCATTATATTTAAATATGTTACTGACAGATTAGTTATATAATAATTAGTAAGCTAAGTATATTTAGAGATCAATTACTGCATTTAACTCGACTAAGCGAAGAGAAACGAGGGTTATGTGTTTGGGACTTCCGCTAAAAGCTATGTAATGAAATGAAATACAAATATTTTTATTATCCTGGGACTATTGTCCCTTTTGAACAAATTATAGATACAGAGAAAATGCTTCTGTGGCCATACAGTAAATTAAATATTTACAAAATAATATATAATTAAAATAAAAATATAGGAAGAAAAAAAACATACACGTAGAATAAACTTACGAAAATAAAATAACATAAGTAAACAAAATGGTTTCTGGAGGAACTTAAGAAGTTCTCTTTTGTGCATTTCATGATCATTCGGTTTTGGAAAGGAGTAGGTGCTTAAAAAGGAGAGAGTATAATGAGGAAACTGTTTAGTGTTTGACGAAAATAAGGAAATAGTGTAGCAAATTTTCATTCGCTTTTCCTCTTTTCTCTTCTGAATGAGTGCTCGGATTTTCACTTTTCCAAACTTTTTTCAACTATTTGGAGGTAAGCCAATGGAAACAGTAGTGGTAAAAAATTTCCGACTTTTCATTCGCTTTTCCTCATTTATTTTGCAAGTGGATGATCGATTTTTCATCGTTCTAATAAATTTCCAACTGTTTAAAGTTTGTCGAAAATGGGGGAAAGTGCAAAATTTTTCCTCATTTATCTGGGTACTGAAGGATCTGTTTTTCACTTTTCCAACAACTTTTCAGAGATATAGAGAAAGGCGAAAAAGCACAAAATTTTCTGAATTTTTATTCACTTTTTCTTTATAATCTTGGTAATGAAGGCTTTGGTTTTTACTATTCCAACAATTTTTCGGCATTGTAGTGGTAGGTGAAAATAGAGAAATAGCAAAGAAAATTTCACAAATTTTCATTTGCTGTTTCTCTTTTATTACGTGAATTGATACTCGGTTTTCCATCGGCCCAACAATAGCGAAATAGTGTAAATTTTTTTCCGAATTTTCACTCGCTTTGCTGCTTTTATCATGGGAATGAATGATTTTCACTATTGCAACTATTTTTCGGCAATGTAGATGTAGGCGAAAATGGTGTAGAAAATTTTCCGAATTTGTATTCGCTTTTATCTCCTGAATGAGTGCTCAGATTGCTATTCTTATTTCGTTGGCTATGTTGAGTTGTGTAAGGATGTTTTTACCAGCAGAAGTATTAAGAAAACAATCTTAGTCCATCTTGGCGCAGATAAGAACGTGGTATATTCTGAGCATTTTAACAAGATCAAGAAATTTCCACTAAAGGCCATTCCATCACTGGTGTACCTCTAAATAGTAGCAATATGATTGGAACAGTTTAAATCCGAGCTCTAATTAAGGAGATAGAAAAGGGAAAGCGAATGAAAATTCGTAAAATTTTCTACACCATTTCCCTATTTTCGTCTACCTCTATATTGCCGAAAAATTATTTATAAAACAGTGAAAAACCGTTCCTTCATTTCCAAGATATGGAAGAAAAAAATTAAAATTCGAAAAAGTATTTACCTCTCCTGTTTCCATTGGCCTACCTCAAAAAAGTTTGAAAATTGTTGCGACCATGAAATACCGATCATTCATTCACAAAATAAAAGAGGAATAGGAAATGAAAATTTGGAAAATTTCCTACACCATTTCTCCATTTGCGCCTGCCTCTACATTGCTGAAAAATTGTTGGAACAGTGAAAAACCGATCCTTCATTTTCGAGATAAATGAGGAAAAGCGAATGAAAATTTTGCAGTTCTTCCTAATTTTCGCCTAACACTAAAAAGTTGGAAAATTGTTGGGACGATAAAAAATCAAGCATCTATTCACGAAATGAAAGAGGAAAAGCGAATGAAAATTTGTACCACCACTGTTTCCATTGTGGCCTATATCTATCTAAATAGTTGGAAAATGGTTGAAACAGTGAAAATTCTAACATCCATTCACGAGAGAAAAGAAGAAAGTCGAATGAAAATTCAGAAAGTTTCCTATACCGTAGGAATCAGTTTTTATTATTAATAAGCCGGAAATAATTTTTAATAAAACAATTCATGCGTCACGCTCGGTTTCTCCCCTTCTCAACTAGTTCGCCTCTGTCTCGCCTTGAGTTCCAGTCTCTCTCACTTAGATTCCATCTCACCTCCTTGGGGAGCTATATAGGAATTGATTGTGAAATAGCGTGGTTGTGGAATCAAGCAGAGTTCGAGTGTGTCTCCCCTCGATTTTTCTCGCTCCATTGGGGAGGCACGAGACGAGCAAAACGCGCAGTTATTCTGTCTGGCTTCACATTCGCATCTCTCTCGTTAAAATTCCATTTTGCCTCGTTGGGGTGCTATATAGGAATTGATTATGAAGTAGTGTGTTTGAGGAATCGTGGTAGAGTCCGTCTCAATTCGAATTTTTTTCTGATTGCAATTAAAATTTGTATTTAAGTGTTTTTCGTGCCGCGAAAAACGATTATTAATATAGTTTCTCCTTAAAATAATATTTACTCCTACATAGCTCCGACGGTAAGTCCAAATTGTGCCCATACTGTAGCTATCTGCCTTACATAATATTTATTAAAAACCAGTCTTGTATCTGGTGTAAATAATTTTTTAGGAAAAAACAAGGATTTTAGGAATTGATATTCATTTTTTGAACCTAGAAAAATCTGAAAAAAATATGAAACTTTATAGCAATAGGAAAATTAATTTTTGCACGAAATATTTCCCTTGGATGGATGCTTGAAAAATTGTTTGAAAAGAGGAAAAGCGAATGAAAATTCACAATATTTCCCTCACCATTTCCCTATTTTTGCATACCTCTAATTTGCCAAATAATAGTTGGAACAGTGAAAAAAACCAATCCTCCATTCCCGAGATTAACAACCAAAAGCGAATGAAACTTGAGAAAAATTTTGCAATTATTCACCATTTCCTCCTAACTATAAACAATGGCAAAATTGTTGGGATGATGAAAAACCAAGCATCCATTCGGAAAATAAAAGAGGAAAAACGAAAGAAAAGTCACAAAATTTGTACCACTACTGTTTCCATTGGCCTGGTCTACCTCTAAACAGTTCAGAAATGTTTGGAACAGTGAAAATCCGAGCACTCATTCAGAAGGTAAAAGAGGAAAAGCAAAATAAAATTTGTACCACTACTATTTCCATTGGCCTACCTGAAAACAGTTCAGAAATAGTTGGAACAGTGAATATCGTAGCATCTATTTACAAGATATAAGAGGAAAAGCGAATGAAAATTTGGAAAATTGTTTACACTATTCCCTTATTTTCGCCTACCTCTACTTTGCCGGAAAATTGTTGGAACACTGAAAAACCGATCCTTCAATCCCAAGATAAAAGAAGGAAAGCGAATGAAAATAAGGAAAAAATTGCACTTTTTCTCCATTTGCCTAAATAGTTGGGAAAATTGTTGGAACAATGAAAAACCCGAGCATCCATTCACGAGTTTAAAAAATATATATATACATATTTTAACATAATTATTTAATTGGGAATCAGATCACTTATTAACTATTCAATAAACTACTAAATGTTCATTGCTTCTGTGTTTATTCCACGTTTCAATCCCGGTTTTTTATAAGTTAACAATGGGATCCTCTTCAAAGTTTTAAAATAGAGCCTCCATACCTCAGGCCAGGGACACATATATTAAGCTACTGTAATAGATTGTGTCCCTGGCCTGAGGTATCGAGGCTCTATTTTAAAACTTGACCTTATTCCCAATTAAATAATTATGTTAAAATTTAATACTCTAAGGTCGATTAAAGAAAAGTTGTGTATATATATATATATATATATATTGTAGCTAAAATCGCATAGGACACACAGTTCAAGTCCATCTTGCCTCCTGAGCGGAGAGCCTTATTCTTTCTAATATCTAGTCATTAATCATATTAATACATAATTTAACCTTTATATTTCAGTTTTGTTTTAATGATTTTTACAGGAGAAAAGATTACAAAAAGTGGTAATACTAGTACTTTACTTGACACTGATGGTAATACAATTATATTGAATAAGGATCAAGAAAAATCTTTATCTAATCATGTGCGTGATATTTGGAGCCATTTTGAAAAGGTATTTTATATGTTTCATTGCTAATGTTCTTTATATGTTCTAATATTCATGTTCTTAAATTTACAATATTCATTTTTATTATACATACCCTATAATGCATTTTATTGAAAATATATTTGTATCTAATCTTTTTTTTAGGATATATCTGCAATTCAAAATTATATTAAATATTTCGGTTTTATTATTATCTTTCTTAAATCTTAGCCCTAAGTGGGATAGAGGTTAGATCAGTGAGTTAAATAGTAGAAGACAACTTGGTTGGGGTGTAAAGTCAATAATAAAAAATAAAAATTAATAAATGATTTTTATTTTTGCTGACATTTATGGCTAAAGTTCAGGCCTTCATCATGGCTAGACAAAGACCAGATAACAATAGGTATGAGAAACTATTAACATTAAAAATAAAATAATAATATGACAGTAAAAGGCAGGAACTTATGAAGTAAACAATAAGGGCAACAAAGTATAAGTTTCATAATTTGTTTAACCTTTTAATTTCCTTCTATGTAGTCAGTATGTTTTGAAAGATTTTACAGTATCTTAATTTTTCTATTTACAACTATTATTTTATTACTTTGAAAGCTCTTAAAAGAGCTGGCATTGGCGCTGATTTAGTGGCAATGGTAAAGGAAATATATGGAGAGAATAAACGCAAAGTAAAATTTGGCTCCTTTATATCAGAAGAATTTATAAATAGTAAAGCTTCTTCAGGGATGCTGCATATCCCTTACTTTATATATATATATATATATATATATATATATATATATATATATATATATATATATATATAATTGCTTGGGAAATTGGACACAAAAATGTGGTAAAATGGGCATTCCAATGAATGACAGACATTTATGTCGCCTACCTACTATTCGCAGATGATAAGGTGATGATAGCGCAGGATGAGTTTGGTATCGGATATATGTTCAGAAAATTAACCGTGGGGCCTGAATATTAAATATTATAAAATAAAATATGTGTCGACAGAGAACGATGGGTTGAGTAACCCAGTTTTGAGAGGGCTTTGTTGGATACACCAATTTTGCTACCTTGGCTCAACACTTGAAAGCAATGGAAAAGCTAGGAAGGATATTAAAAAAAGATCGACAAGTAGGTGGAAAGCAATTGGTATGATCAATTCAGTTCTCTGGAGCAAAGATATTCATAATAAAGTAAAGAAATTAATATTCAAGGCCCTGGTAGAGAGTGTAATGCTCTATAGTTCGGAAACATAGCAAAAAATTTCTAGCTGTGGAGATGGATTTTTGGAAGAGGTCGGCTAGAGTTTCAAGGATGCAAAGAATTAAAAATGAGACCATTAGAGAAAGGATGGAAGTTAAGAATAATATACTACAAATAATGGAAGAAAGAAGATTATGGTGGTATGGGCATATGAAAAGGATGAATAGTGAACGAATTCCTAAAATAGCATTTGAGTGGGAGGCCGAGGGTAGGAGAAGGAGAGGAAGATCTCCTATCAAGTGGAGAAAAGTTGTGGCTGAGAGTATGGTGGGCTGAGGGCTGACGGATGAGGAAGCGATGAACAGGGAGAAGTGGAAGACTGAGGGAAACTTCATATTCTTTTTCTCTGTTTTCCATTTTATTTTATTTCAATCTTAATTCTTTTTTTTTTTTAATGTTTGTATTCTAAAACATCATATTTTAGCAACAACATCATTCCATTTATTCTATGTCTAACTCTTAAATTTTATCTCACAATATTCCATTACATTTCTTTGTTAATTAATTTTCTCATTCCTTTTGTTACCTAATTTCATTATGTTTATTATTATTTCATTAGTCTCTAACTTTGTTGCTGTTATTATTTATTTCATAAGTTCCTCTCTGCTACTGTTACATTATTATGTCATATTATTATTTTCTTATTAATTTTAATAGTTCCTCATACCTATTGTTATCTGGTCCTTCTTTATTCAGGCCCTGATGAAGGCCTGAATTTTGGGCCAAAACGTCTGCAAAAATAAAAATAAATATAATTTTTTTTATTTTTGACTGAACACTCCAACCTTCTTCTCTTCAATTTTCACTACAGTCAACCATCAATCCACTATTATGAGTTAAATAATAGTATCAATATGCACTTAAAAAAAAAAAAAGTTGTATTCAGAGGGTTTTATTAGATTAGTCATAATTGTTGATCACCCCCTTTGTTTAACTGTAATTCTTTTTCTTTCTTTTTCAAAATATTTCTATTTTGTTTATTATTAAGTTAATTATTCCATTATGTTTAGTTTATTTTTTATTTAATACTTTTTCAGCATATTGATCACTGTAAAGCTATTGAAAGTGCACTTGAATTGACTGCAACTTGTTCTGATGGACCAGTGTTCCCTATTATCATTGGCAGGAGGCCATCTCAAGCATTAAACCAATCAAAGGAGAATAACCAACAAATGCAGTTTACTGTAAGAATTTAGAAAACTCTTTTTTGTAGTTGTTTGTATCCACTTCACTCTGTATGTTTATGGGGAAAAAATTTCTTGATTTTTAGTTCAATGTAAAATACTCAACAAAAAAAGTGGCATATATTGAAAAATCTATTTGTATTTTTTTATTTATTTTTTCTGACCTAGGACTCCATCTGGACAAACGTCTAACTTGGAATCCTCATACCAGACTGAAACGACAAGAAACAGCTCGACGTTTCCGACTACTTCAACACTTACTAGACAAACGCTCTAACCTTCCAATTAATTACAAAAGACTCATTTACATGACTATAATAAGGCCTATTTGGACTTACGGAGTTGAGCAATGGGGCTCCACCAAACCTTCAAATTCCTCTCGTATCCAATTTATCATATCCAAATTCCTCGTACAATCCAAAATCCTTCGTAAATCCTTGATGCTCCTTACTTTGTTACAAATAAAATCATCCATAATAACCTTAATGTTCCTTATGTATCAGATTTGCCCAATCCAGATATCTGTCCTTCCATAATAAACTTCATAACCATCCCAACCTTCTTGTTTCTAACCTTGCTTCCTATTCAATTCCTGATAACCCTCCGAGGCGTCTGAAAAGAAGATGGCCACGTGATCTCCTGATATTGACATATTATTAGAGTACTACCAATGGGTAGTTTCTCAACATGTGTTTCATGTCATTATATCCATGTGCGAATTTACTAGATGTATTATTTGTATACAGTTGTAAATATCATATAAATAAATAAATAAAAAAAAAAAAATTCTGTGACATGATTGCACTTTTCTTCTGTATTTTTATAAAATAATCTTGTTTTGTAGCATTATTTTTGTATGGCTACAGAGTTTAATTTTTACTATTTAACACTAAACAGTAATTGTGGCTGTATATGCCTATCCAATCACTTATCCAGGAGATCACAGTGGTTATGTCCAACAACTACTGAAATCTGCTAACAAACTTGTAGTAATTTTACAAAAAATACCAATGAAGGTCTAATAAAAGATCGAAACCGGTTGTGTCATGCTGCTTTAAATTACTCTGGTTCTTCTTACAATAATTACCATTTTGAGTAGGGCTTTGTTAAGATTAAATTTACTGTTTCTTAAAATTAATTTTTCATTAGCAAATTAAAAAAATAAATAAGAAATTGGAAAATTCTAAGATTAAATCAATTAATTTTTTAGAAATATATTACGCCAGATTAACCAATGTTTTTGGAATAAGTTAAAGCAAGGCAAACAAAAATGATGTTCATAAATGAATTTTTTTTTTTTTTCTAACCCTCCAAAAAGTTTATTTAATAAATTACGTATATAAGTATAACAATACCAATACATACAAATAACAAAGTACTTCCACTGCCCGAGGGCATTTTAAGGATTGAGGATAAGGGTAACATATGTGGCACAAGACCTTGTAACTTTAATTGAACGAGGAGTAATAAATGAAATTAATTTTTATCTAACATTTTTAAACTCTCATTTTTTTTCAAGTGTGTGAGATTGGAGAGACCTTTGTTAGGACAAAGTTGAAGTTCTGTTTGCATTGCTATAGGGATTTCATCTTTTTTCATGAACTGTCTCACAATTTTTATCTTTAAACTTCATAATAGATGTTTTTTTCTGCCGAAAATGTTTATTATTAATAATAAAATAAATTCAGTGGCTGATTTATTTCAATGTTCACAAATTGAACAACAAATATGATTGATGATATTTAAGATGTATCAATAGTGGTTTTCATCTTATTTTGTTCAACGATTCATATTTATGACTTAATTCCAGCTTCTGTGCCATGCTTTGCTAAATCATCAACACATCTCATTGATCTTTCATTTTAAAAATGGTCTACGTGTTTGTATGTTAGCAGTCTAGCTCAAAAACAAAAAGTCCTACAAAACTGATATTTCGTATTTAAGATAAGTATATGCCTTAGATCTTCAATCGCCTGACACAGCTTCTTGGTTTTGCTGACGATATTGACATAATAGGAAGGTCTGAACGGGCTCTCAGAGAAGCGTTTATAGCCCTTGAAACAGCTGCAAGCCGACTTGGTCTAGAAGTCAATGAGAGGAAAACTAAATATATGAGAGTTGGTGGTGAGGTGGATCTGAACACTCCATTTCAGGTAGGCTCTTTTAAGTTTGAGAGAGTAAGAAGTTTTGTATATCTTGGGTCTGAAATAAATAGCAAAAATGACATGGCTCAAGAAATACAGAGAAGGATCACGGCTGCCATTAGATGTGTCTTTGGACTTGGCCGACACTTAACAAGTCGGTATCTCTCAAAGAAGACCAAGCTGATACTATACAAGACCCTTGTAAGGCCTGTTTTGACATATGGCTCAGAGGCTTGGACGATGACGAAAAGTGATGAGATGAAGCTGAGTGTGTTCGAGCAAGGAGTCCTGAGAAGGATTTATGGTCCAGTAAAGGAGGGTGATGTCTGGAGGAAAAGAAAAAATAGTTATCTTTATACAGACATCGACGCAGTCACATATATTAAACTTGCCAGATTAAGGTGGGCAGGGCATGTGGCCAGAATGAGCACCGTTGAAATACCCAAGAAAATAATGATGGAGGAGCTGCTCCTTGCTAGACGGGTAGGAAGGCCAAGGACGAGATGGTTGGACCTATGATGCGAGAACCCTGCTTGGAGTACGGAACTGGAGAGCTGCAGCAGAAGACAGAACCAACTGGCGAAGGCTCTTGGAGGAGGCCCAGTCTCGGTAACGGGATGTCGTGCCACATATGTATGTATGTATATGCCTTCGATGTGACAGCAACTTTTTCCTTAAAATCACCTAACTGGAAGTGTCACTTTATATCAATGCTGAAACACATTTTCTCAAATACGGCTCTAACAATTTTGATTAAACTCGGTGTATCATTGTATAATTAAGTGGTCTGAAAAAGAAGCTGGAAAAAAGTTATGAGGGATGGTAAAATTAAATTCCGAATAACTCAAAAAGTATACACTTTTTTGTGAATATTGTTTTGTAAAAGTTTAGGGAATTTCCTAAAAAAAAAAAAAATTCGTTAAAATTGGACAATTAGGAGAAAAGATACGGTCTCTAGTTTCTTTAATATGTTCTTCTGCAAAGGTTATATCCTTTGTTTTGGTTTTGGAATTTTGTATGTGTTACTTAGGTAATGTTAATTTTTTTTTAGCATATTACTAATGATTAAAAAAAAAATCTTTGTCCATTAATTAGAATCACCTTTTATTTATTTTTCTTTGTAACTAGGAAGGTAATGTTACTTTAGATGTATAATTGTTTGGAAATAATAAACCATTGTGAAATAATTAGGAGCTATGTGAAATATATAGTGAAAAAATGCTAAATAACTTTTTAAAGAATTTGATAATTGAATAAAGGAGAAAAAAATAAAAATGCTTATACAGGTCGAAAATAAATCTCCGGAAATACAAGTCAGAAGGTATACTTATAATATATCGTAGAATATATTATATTCATTATATTATATATATTGAAAAAACAACATCTAATATAGAAAGTTGCAGAAGGTAACAGAGTGCGGCAAAAAAATTATAAATATTAATTTTTGAAAACTGATTATATTTAACGTAAATCACATGTTTTCAAGAAAATTAACTGAAATTTACTTACAAAATGTAAAATTTAAAAAATATTTTTATGTTTGTAAAAAGTATTTAAAATCCACCTAATCAAGTTAATGGCATTGTTAAAAAAACTATTTCATTGTACTTGTGTGAAAGAAGAAGTAAAATATAAAATCATTTCATGGATGCATAAAGCATGTGTTTATAACCTTAAATACATTTACTGTAGTTTAGTGATTATAGATCTGATGTTATATTTAAATAATTAGGTATCAACGTTTATTCTGAAAAATTGTCACGTAATTTTTTAGAAAATTAAATTAGTGAATAATTTAATGAATCTTCCCTTTGTAATATTCCAACAGTATCCAGTACTATTTCATTGTACTTGTGTGAAAGAAGAAGTGAAATATAAAAATATTTTATAGATACGTTCATAACCTTAAATATATTTACTGTAGTTTAATAACTAGATCTGATAATATATTTAAATATTTAGGTATCTATCGTCCGTTTATTCCAAAAAATTATCATGTAACCTTTTAGAAAATTAAATTAGTGAATAATTTGATAAATTTTCCCTTTATGATATTCCAACAGAATCCACTTACAATTAGTATGACAACTTTTGACTTGTCTATGACAGAAAATGCAAATCTCTTAATTCCGTTTTAATAAACTTTGCAATCGAAAATAACAGTTTAATAACTAATAGTTGTACAATCCATAATCAACGGATTGAACAATCCATAATCAACGAATCGTACAATCCATAATCAACCGGTGATATAATAAATAGGACTTTTGTTATTTTAATAGTATTTATGATTTGTTAGCTGCAATCTTTTAGCTTTAGCTGAGTTAAAAAAATTTTATGATAGCCCAACATGGCCAGAAAATAATTTCTATTCGAAGTTGAGAAAAGTTCAAAGAGTAGGTGAAAGTTGTGTGTTGCGCGTACTAGATTTTTTTATTTTTGATGTAACAAAAAAAAAAATATAGCTTCTAAAATTTTTATTAAAAATAACTTTTTTCTGTGTTAATTTTTTGGTTTTAGTTTCAGAGTTTTGAATCAAGTGGAAAATCATTTAATCGGAACAAATCCTTGAGTGGAAATCAAAATCAACAAAAAGCAGTAATGACTGTAGCAGTTCCCGATATTGGTGTGGCTACTCAGGTATTTCACATTTATTTGTTAATAACTGTTGAAACTTTGTTGTAATTGTAGCTTAACATTTAAATTTTATCATTATTTTTTTCCTTTCATTTCTTTTTTTGCCATTTTTACAAATGATCTTGAGTTAGATTCAGATAAATCTACATACCTAACATTTTACCAAATATACAACCATTGAAGTGTTTCTTGTAATAGAGTTATAACACTTTGTAGATGAGATCAGAACTAATCTTCTTCTTCTTCTATTGCAACCTCCTTAGTGCCATCAGTGTGGAGAAACAGCCTCAGCCCATCTCGTCCACTGATCCCTGCTACTGGCCCTCCTTCTCATATCCACCATGGTGCTACCTCTAGCTCGCCCGAGTCTCTCCATGTAGTCACAATACAACAGCCCGGGCCTGCCTCTAGGTCGCCTTTCCTCTGGGTTTGCTTTTAGGAACCATTTTGCCTTTCAGTTATCACCCCAGCGGTACACATTGCCAAACCATTTCCATTGGCGCTTCTCTAGACTTGTTGTACAGGCCTTATATTCTGTGAAGCCTTTCTTGGGTGTCCGTAATATCCACACCACGTTATCTGCATATAGGAGAGCTTACCCCACTGTTGTTCTGGGTGTCCTTCCCTTACAGATCTTCCATACTTCATCCACGTATTTGATGAATGGTAGTGGGCTTAGGCTATCACTTTGCTTGACGCCTTTATAAAACCTAAATGGCTCCGATTCAGATCCGTTAATCCACACTATTCCCTTGGGATCCTGTTATACCGATTTGATTGCGTGGATGAGATTGGATGGCACCCGATTTTCCTATAGAGAATTCCAAATCTCTTGGGGAGGAATCGAATCAAATCCAGCCTTAAAATCTAGGAATGCCAAAAATAGCCTTCTTTTTCTATCCCATGCTTTCTGAACAACCATTCTTAATGAGAAAATATGATTCTGGATTTGCCTCCGTGGTCTAAAGCCAGCCTTCTTATTCTTGTATATAATTTATATATTACAGAGGATCGGCATATTGGTCTATAATTCTGTCATTTTGTCTGGTTGCCTTTCTTGAAAATCGGAATTATAACATTATTTCCCCAGTCCTGGGAATTTTCTTTTGCGACCAGATCTTTTGAAAGAGGTTCTGGAGGCATTTGACCATTTCTTCTCCTCCATATTTTATGCATTATGGCATAATATTATCACTGCCTGCTGCTTTGCCCAATTTTATTTTCTCCATAGCCAGTACAATCTCATCTTCTCCTATATTCTCCTATTCTCACTATTCTCCAACTGGTTTTCCAGATTCTAGGTCTTGTATGCCCATCATATCGATGATATTGTCTGTATTCCTGGAGGGAAAAGTTACTCTGATAGTGTTTTTGTCATTCTTTAAGAATTTTATTTTCATGTGACACCAAATTACCGTTATTGTATAGGACACTTCTGAACTGTTTTCCTTTCTTCCCTCTTAATCCATTTATAATGCTTCAGAATTTTCTTTGATTTCTTTCAAAGTTAACTTGGATCTACTTTCCAAATTCTACCCAAGATCTTGCCTTGGCTTCCCTGACTATTTGCTTGGCCATGTTTCTCAGTCTGATGTATTCGTCGCAACAAACTTGGGATTTATCCTGCCTGTATAGACTCCAAGTTTTTTTTTTATCTTTTACTGGTTTTTGCACTTGATCATTCCACCATCTATTACTTTTGGTTTGAGGCCTAATTTTCTTAATACCATATGGCTCTGTTGCACTAAAATGGATGATTGTTTTGATATGAAGCCGTAAATCGTCAAGAGCCATGTCATAATTGATTTCTTGTATATTTGTCTGCAGCACCTCTCTATATCTTTTAATCACTTCTGGGTATCTGAACTTTTCGGTCACATCTCTAATTGGTAAACATTTTTTCTTTCCTCATCAAATGGAGTGACAATTATTTTACAACATTTACCTTGCACTAAAAGAAATTATATATAAATTGGACATTGAGATATATATAAGGGTTGACCTTGAGATATTATCGATTAGGCTCACTGGGAATTACTACAGATCTATCATCACCACTCCGTGAAACTATGATGACTGCTATGCTTTTTTGATGACTGCTATGCTTATGGCTATGCTTTTTTTATTGACTTCACTGGGCTGGTGTGATTTTTTCTATCTCTTCTATTTTTCTGTTGCTCACTCTGTAATCAGTGCTAATCTCTGATGATTTCATGACTTGATCGCCCTCATTTAATTATTATTCTTTGTAATAGTTCAATTTATTATTTGCATTTATTGATTATAATATATCCTTGGCAGTATATGATTTTGAAGTATGCATTTGCATACCTATATAAAATATTATGATTACTTAATAAAACACAGTTATCATTATTTCCAATAGTTAATCATATGAACTTAAATTAATTTCAGATGAGTTCAGGTGAAGTTAGAATTACATACCCTGATGGTTGTGAGTTGATAGTGAATGGAGAACAGACAAGAGGTGTTGTATACAAACATGATGGAAAGGAATTGAAGGTAAAGCAAGGTGAAAAAGTACCAACTTGGTTAAGGCCAAAATTAGCCCAAGTTCCAACTGTTTTACGAGCTCTCATACCTTCACAACAACAGGTTCACCTTCGGTGACATGACTTAGTTTGATGATTATGGCTGTCAGTATTTTTAATAAATAATACCTGAATATTTTTCAGTCTGTAAATATGTATGTTTAATTTTATTTTTGTATTTATATCAAACTTTGAAATTATATTTTTATTGTATATTATTAGTTTTAATCTGAAAAAAGAGTAATATGTTCATTTGCATTAGTGCAATATTAGATCTGTGAAACTGAAGAATAAAATTAATTATCCTGTAGGTTTCGTTTTTGAAATCTTTTTACAGAGATTAAATGAATTCTTTGTGAAAGAATATTGTCTGTATGTAGTTATATTGTAATTTTTGTTTGTTTTGTTTTTGTAAATAAAGAAATAAATGGATTATTTATTGAATTTTATTTGATTGCCTTTTTAACAATTTCTTTTTTATTGAGTGTAGCCTTGTAGACTGAGTGTAGCCACCTATTATTATAATTTATACATATTCTTATAAAAACATTTACATAACTTTTATCATATTGTTATAAATTTTATTATTTATGATTTATTTTGATATCAATATATCTATCTTAAAGGCTCTACAATCCTCAGTGGGTCCTGGCCTCCTCAATGAGCTTGCGCCAAATTTCTCTATTCTGTGTGGCCACTTCTAGTTTCTGACTCCCAACAGGTCTCTAGCGTCACCTGCCACACCATCTGCCCATCTCAATTTTGGTCTGCCAGCTCTCCTTGTATAATGATATAGTGTAATGGTTCTTCAAGTACTCTTATCAAAATTTCAGACCTCTCCATCTGAGCTATTTGTCCTGCCCAACTCAGCCTTCCTAACTTTATTATTCTGGCCACATTAGGTTCATTGAACGATTCCTAGACCTCTCTATTCTTCCGAATTCTCCAATCCGGACCCTCCTTTACAAGGCCAAATTTCTTCTAAGGATTTTCCTTTCAGAGACCAGAAAGTCTTTTTCATCATTTTTGGCTAAGGTCCATGTTCGGCTACAGTAGGTAAGAACTGACCGGATGCGCATTTTTTAGAGCTGTAGCTTCGTTTGTCTACTAAGTAGTGAGCTTCTCATGTGCTTAAGTAGTCCATCAATAGCATCAATTGGCAGCTGTTATTCTCCGCTTTATTTCAAGTGACGTCTCATTTTTTGCTATAATTTGAGATCCCAGATAAGAGAATGGTCGTACATTCTCAAAGGTGCAAGAGCCTAGAGATATTCTTTGGTTTTTGGGGATTCCCCCCTTCTGATTACATATATTTGTCTTTTCCCCATTAATGTGGAGCCCTATCTTAGCTGCAGCTTTTTGCAATTCAAGGAAGGCACCTTCGAGAGTTTTTTTTTTATATCAATATTGTTTTAAATTAACTTTTTCAAAAGTTCTTCTTAATCCTTTCTTGTTCAAAGTACCTTTTAACACACTACATATTTTAGAGGTTTGTGAATATCATTAATTTATTTCAAAAAGAGACTAAGTGCAATTTAGATGGAGCTTAACCTTTAAGTATGTATTTGTGAATGTTGACCTTATAATAAGTTCAGGAATTTAGTAAATTCAGGGTCTGTCTGGTAGATAAAACAGAACCAGAGTAGGCCATAGAGAGAAACAATGGACCCTGAAATTCATATTTTCTGCAAACCGCACATGAATTAGGTAAAATATTTAATTTCTATCATTTAATGTATGGTTTACACGGTTGATTTTTTTTTCACTAAATTTTTTTTAAAGATTCATAACCGAAACTTCATTATTTGTCTTAATACTTAATTCATTAATTAATACTTAATTCAGATGTAAGGATAAGAACTAAAACGGGAGTTCTGTTCTCATAAATTCTATCATCTAATTGGATGGATAATTTGTGAATTTTAATTTGGAAAAAAAACAATATCTAGATGATTTAAATGGTCTTGGATATTCTCTGAATATATTATAATGTCATCCATATACACTACAGTATTTGGGACATTGGCGAGCATAGCATTCATTTTAGCACTCTTTGGAAAGTTGGGGGGAGCATTGCACATTCCAAATGGCATACGAAGAAACTCGTAAAGACCAGAATCTGGAAAATGCTGTTTTTTCAATTGAGTCTTGTTCTATCTCGATCTGGTGGAAACCAGAAGCCAAATCAATGGTTGTAAATATCTTTGAAATATTTAATAAATCTTCAATGTTAGGCATGAGGAATTTGTCTGGAATAGTTCCAGTATTTATTTTCCGATAATCTATAACCATTATAATTTTTTTTTTTTTTTGTACCGCTTGCATCAGTTTTTTTGGGAACTATCCAAATAGGACTGTTACAAGAGGAATTGCTTTATCTTATAATTCCATTTTTAGTAATTTTTTTATTTCTAAATTTACATCATTTTGAAAGTGTCGTGGAAATCTGTAATTTCTAGTAAATATGGATTTGTCAGTTTAAGACGAATCGAACGTTTTAGTAAATCGGTACTTTGTAAAATATCATCTTCGGTTTTAAAAATTTCAGGATATTTCATCAAAGTGTCAACAAATTTATCTTTTATATCTTTATTAATATGGTCATGCCTAATTAAATTATACAATTCCTTATTATATTTTATTAAATTTAAATTATAATTATCAACTATTTTCCGTACTTTAATGACAACATTATGTAATTTTAAATCCTTTTTGTTTTTATCAATTTTAATTTCCGTAGGTAATTATTACAATAAATCAAATTTACCGCTAACGTGAAATATTTTAAACCTTACTAATGGTTCATGGTCTAGTCCTAAACGCGGGGCGAGGCCTAACAGTATGAAACTATTGCCTAATTTGCTGCCGGTTGGAGTAGTCACAATGAACATTTCCAGATGAATTTTGATTCCTTCCGGCAAGGAATTTGGATTAATATAGTTTATTTTGGAACCAGTATCAACGAGTCATTTACTGGCTAATTTGTCAGTGAATGTAGTCAGTCCGTTTGTAAGTTTAAGGAAATATCGGAGGCAGGCTCCGGCTTGTCTGAGCATAAAAAATTATTCATCGTTCGCTCTAATTCTGCAACCCTTTGTTTTAATTGCTCGTTATCATCTTCCATATTATGAACATTATTACTAGGGACGGTTCTCATTGACACAGTGTTTTGTGAATGAAGGTTAAACGGTTGCGAAGGGAATGGTGTTTTGTGTTGTTGCCAATCAGAATATTTTGGCTGATTTTGTTGATGAGATGGGGTAGAATTATTTTGTTATCAGCAGTCTTGATATTTTTTTTTGTTTGTAATTATGATACCGATGTCAGTCATCATAATGTAGTTTGTTTTATTGATGTCTGTTCCCATTATAGTGTGGCTTGCTTTCATGATGGCTGTTTCCATTATTGTTTTTAAAACTCGAGGTATTGTGATTATAATTTTGACGATTATTACTATTATATCTAGGAGGACCGTTATTATGACTTTCGTGTATTGGCCGATTGTTTTCGTATTTTTGTTGGCCTTGTGGGCATAGCTTATCCATAATTATTGGGCAATGATTATGAATGCTATTTTTCATATCAATCAAATCGCGAATAATAACCTGATTAACGGAATCGTTAAGCCTAGCAGGTAGTTTCCCGAGTTTTGCTAGTTGACATGAAATTAAATGACCATTAAGACTAGTATAAAAATTTAAAATAAATAATACCTCAAAGTTATGTGATAGAATAAATTCAAAAATTTCTGGAAGTGTTGAAACACACCTCCAAGTATTAAATTCTGATCCTGTTATCTATTGGTTATTTCTTCGGATCTACTTAGTGGTCCTACAGTCAGATCTGTTATTATAAACAGATCTAAATAGTGAAGTGTCGTTACGGTAATAAATGTTAAGGGAAAAATGGAGTATATAATTGGTCTACGTGAAATGTGAGATAATGAAAACGAAAACGAATATATAAAGAAGATTAAAGAAAACGAAAATGAATTAAATTAAAGAGAAATAAAGAAGTTGTCAACGAAAAGGAAAAAGGAGATTGTTATGGATGTTTTAATAAATTCAGGATTCGGAATAGGCTGACGATAAGTTTTGTTTGTCTGTTTTTACATTCACTGTCTTAGGTTGGAGCTGGATGTGGTGGGTTTCAGAGATGAGTCGTTTATCACGGGTAGGGACGGAGGCAAGGATGGAAGTTTTGTCGAAATCAAAAGTATGGTTTAGGGAGAGAGAATGTTCGGATGATTTGGAGGCGGTAAAATTACGAGAGGATACAGAATATTTATGTTGGGTGATGCGGTCTTTTTGAAGTTTTTTGGTTTTACCAATATAGGATGAAAAGCAATTAGGGGTAGAACACGGAATTCCGTTAACGATATGAGAGCGGTGTGAAAGAGGAACAGGATCTCTTGGGGATGTGTACAAATTAGAAAGTGTATTGTGAGATTTGAAGGCAAGTCGTAAGTCAGGGTTAGTAGATCGTAACACTTTGTTTATGTTGTCAGAAAGATTAGGAATATAAGGTAGCTATCTGTATATGGAGGCCGAAGTGGGTTCTGCAGAAATAGTGGAGGTCGAGATTAAGGCAGAGCGATTATTGTGTTTTTTTATAAGTTTGCTGACAGGATTTGTTTTATAAGTTGGATATTGGTTACATGAAATTGAAGATCGGAGAGGCAGAGACTTCGGTGGATGAGATTTTTAGCAACATTAATTTTTTGATGGTATTAATTTTTTTTTTAAGTCTGCCTGTGAAAATTGGTTTAGTGTACCTGTCTTTGGATATGGTGTTATTGGGATTCTTCATGTTGAGAAGATCGAGAAAAAGGAGAATTATTTAGTTCGCGTTGTACCGTAAAGTTGAGGCGGGTATGGTAAAAATTAAAGGCTGCTAGGATATCCGGAATTGTATTCGGAATGAGTATTAGAAGGAGGTCGTCTACGTATTTTCGGATAAAGATTATATCTTCTGGATACAGACGGATAATGGAGTATAGAAGGTCGTTAAGAACGATGTTAGAATATTTTATATTTATGTCCATTCTTATATAAAATAATTCGGATTTAAACCATATTAGGGTCTACTGTTATGTTGTCGGGAGCGCTTTTTATGAAAATACAGTCGGATTTGAAAATGCGCAACAGCGCATCAAGTTTTTGTAACTTTTCGGATTTAAACGACATTAGGGTCCACTATTATGTTGTTGGTGGCGGTTTTTATTAAAAAACGGAGAACAGGAAAGGTGTGCCACAATTACAAATATAAAAGAATAAATGTTGAATAACATAAAAAAATTTAATAAAATAGACTTGTACTGCCAGCAGTAGCATAAGCATATACCCTGCGTAATATCCCACTGCTACCGCAACCCGTATTGCCTTTAATGCAAGGCAGAAGAAAAAAAATATGATTTATGAAAATATTGTCGGATTTGAGAAACGGAACCGCGCATCAAGTTTTTGCACTTTTTCGGATTTAATCGATATTAGGGTCCACTTTTTATGAAAATACTGTCAGATTTGACAGTAGGGTTATCAATAGTTTTCCACTATCGATAGTACTATCGAGTATCGCCCATCGCCCCTCCCTATTAATATGGGAAACCAGGTAAGTTTAGATAGATCGATAAGCGAGTGCGGATTCTCAATATTCATATGTAGTTTGCAAAAAAACTACTCTTTCTCCTCTGTGAACATAATAATAATAATGGTTAATACCTATACTACATAAATTAAATTCCGTCCCCATTCCTCTATTTTTTCATACTATTGGAAATATCAAATTAAAATATCATGCTATTTTAAGATTATTTCAGAAATAAAGACAAGGTGTGATCTTCTCATATCCGAAATTGAGGATAGCGAGGAGTTACTATACAAACTTGTAAAAAATAATGAATATTTAAACTTATATCTAATTTCAATATAGATTTAAAGGAGCTTAATTCTACTATTACATTCCTAATTTATTAATTTAAAAGTATCCGAATTGTAACCCTCTGCGATGAATTCAGGTACCGAAATTAAGCATTATCACTTTAAACGAGGACAGGTGTATTCATGAATACCGAGTACTGAGTAGTAACTGTACTCGCCTGGAATTGCATGATGATTACAAATACAGTATTCCAAAGAAATTGAATAGGTACTGACTTGGTATTCACGACCACATTTTTCACTGAATATTGCCCAACTTTGTTACAGACAGAACCATCAAAAACATGTCACCGGTCTGTGATGCTCTCTGGACCATACAGACTCGGGCCCCCCTCGCCTTATTGACAGCCCTGATGTATTAAATTAGAGTTAGGTGAGAAACAATGTTTTATTAAATACTTACCTGACCTCATTTTCTTATGTTTAAGTACCGTTGTTACATTGAGGTAATAATGTCGAAATACATGGGTAGAAAGAGAGAGTACCTGGAATATACAGGAACATCAATTTAGGCATCAAAATATTTAAACTACTGGTTTTATTTGTTTGTTCCCCCCCCCTTTTTTTTAGATCATAATGTTTTCTTAATTTTTCCTCTAAAGATATCTAAAAAATGTATAGATATCTAAAAAATGCTGATATTTTATATTCTATCTCATCATTTTAGACTTGAAAATAATAAATGGTTATTGGATTATGCTTGAATATAACCTTGGAAGTCTACATTAGTGTAGGTTATCCTTAGTATGTGAAATAAGTCAGCAAAATGGATTATCGTAGTGTTTTTTATTTTAGCTGTATAATATGAAGCATGTGGTGATTTTATAAGTTTTATTTATAAGTTTATATATTAGGTAATTATAGTCTTTGTTGTACTCAGTCTTTTAATTTATTATTTTTATATTACATAATAAGGTTTTGTATATAATAATGTTTTTCTCTGTGGGTGATGAAAGTTTATGCCATGTTAATATTGAGATCTGTAGCAAAACAGTTCTGTCATGTTAATTCATCACCTTCATGTATAGTTTCATCATACTGTAGGTATGTGCTTTGAAAACGGGTTAAATTTTACAATTTAAAGAGGTATTACATGTTTTTGAGATTTATTTTTCATCCATAGATCACTGTTGCCTAAAAGGAGTTATTGTTCCAACATGGGAAAAGTTAAGAAACGCTATGACAGTATTGTTAAGTCTAGTGAAGACAAGAGAGATTATCGAGGCATAGAATTAAGCAATGGTATGCGAGTGATTTTAGTTAGTGACCCAACTACTGATAAATCAGCTGCTGCATTGTGTGTCAATATAGGTAGGTACCTCTTGAGTTTTATAGCCATTTAATTGACTTTTGGATATGTATCTTTTGTTATCTTGTTTTTGGATAATAGGTTGAGAATTTGACTTTTTTAGGGTTTATGAGTGATCCTGATTATTTACCTGGCTTAGCACATTTGTGTGAACATATGCTCTTTCTGGGTACTAAGAAGTATCCATTAGAAAATGAATATTCAAAATATTTATCTGAACACGGAGGAGGTAGTAATGCTCATACATCTTCAGAACACACATGCTATTATTTTGATGTTAAGCCAGAGAATTTAGATGGTGCATTAGATAGGTAAGCATCATTAAAAGAAGAAAAGTTCAGCATTATTTTTCATATCCCTCAACTACTATAGTATTGTTAAGTTGAATGGTTATTTTTACTTCAAGTATAAATTTAACTTAACCCGTACTGATATGTGTTTATTAAATCTTATTTTAATTGTTATACTTTTTTGTATTATTTACAAGTTCATCTAGGATAGGTAAGAAACAGATACACATTTCTTATACCAACATCTTTTGGACAAGAATGTCAATGAAATCTGACTACTGGACTTAATTTGTTGAATGTTGAAAAGTACAGAAATAACTATTCAAATCAAATCAACTCAATTTAGTTACATATATGGGCAAATGCATGAAAATTTTAAATTTATACTAACGTCTATGTGAAAAACTATTTATAATATTGTGAAAAAATATTAGCTATTAAAAGTTTTTAAAAAAATAAAAATCTTTGAAAATAATATTACGACATTGTGATGATTTATCTATAATTGAAATAATCAAATAAACAATGATTATTTTCAGTTACAGACAAAATTAACAATAGAAATTAATTTAATTTATAATTAAAATTTGTTGGGGTATGATTTAACGTATCTATGATACGGTATGATCAAAAGTACGTGTTAAACCATGCCATCATACCATATCCCTGTGATTACCATTGCGTACAGTCATGGATAGTATCAAGGGGAAATTTTAGTTTATTTAAACTATTGCTATGCACTTAGGAATATTAAGTATAATACTAAATACATTTAAAATAGTTTCAAAACTCACTTAAAATATGCAGAATAATATTACTCATATTTTATTTATGGTAGTCATAACAACGTTTTCTTACTGGTTCAGTGGTCTTATACTTTCCTATTATTTATGACCAAAATAAATATGATGATTTGTTCTTTATCTTTTATTTCTAATTTATATTTATTTATGATTATAATAAATATGACTGTTTATTTAACTTTTATTTCAGATTCGCCCAATTTTTCATTGCTCCTCTCTTCACCGAAAACGTGACAGATCGTGAAATCAATTCTGTAGATTCAGAGCATGAAAAAAATATTCAAAATGATTCTTGGCGTTTAAATCAACTAGAGAGATCAATATCAAAACCTGGACACCCTTATACAAAATTTGGGACTGGTAATTTTTCTTTTAATCATTGTTTATTTTATACCATGTATTTTTTCTGTTGGCATTATAGATCTTTTATCGCCTTAATCAACCTTCTCCGTCTCTACCTATCTTGGGATATTTCTTTCTAGTTGTCTACATACACTGAAAGGCAAAAACTTCCACCCACTTGATTTTTTTATGTTTTCATCTACTTGATTGTTCATGTTCATATCTTCTGCTTTGGATTAGTTTATTGTTTTTAATGAATAAATAGCTAATCTTTTTGTTTGTTTTCAATTAGGAATGTTAATATAGAGGACAATAACCCTTAATCCTTAATTCAATGAAATGATTCTAGGTTCCAATGTTTACTTTCTATGGAATCAAAATGTTTATTCAGTATCATTAGTTCAGTGCCGTTTCTTGCAGCACATTTCTTAGTCTCCGGGTTTGTTCTGTACCTTTTTCGTCGATTGTTTATCGATTTGATACTTTTTAATAAACAACTTGTCCACTGCTTAATTGAATACAATTCATAGTGCAACCCTACATTCTTTCTCATTCCTTCACTCAATGTCACATTAAGGAGTAAATGCTAGAGGCCATCTACTGAAAGAGATAAAATTAAAGCTCGAAATGTTTTGAACACCCACAAGAACTGTAAAAGATATGAAGTATAAACATTTTTTGATTTACCTTCTATAATTCCTGAATGGTGCATCCAAGTGAAAATGTTACTTATAAAGAGACAAAAGAATTTCGCATTGAATTAGTACTGCAATTTAATAATTTGGTTTAGTGGAATGATTATAAACCTTGGTCAACACATTAATTTTTACCAACTTCGTCAAAAACAGATAAATTTTTATAAATGTCATTTCAGTAGTAAAATGAACTTTCTTAAAGAAACAAAGCATGAAATTAAAGCTGTTTAAAGCTTGTGTTTAAGTTATTTACTAAATTTCATGTTTTGTAAATAATTTTAAATTTTTTTCCATTTAAACAAAAAAACTTTGTGGATCAGATTGGAGGTGATAATGAGTCAGGTCTGGTCTACTGACCTTAGTTTGGTGATCTCTGCTGTAACATGATGATCCTTATGTAATTAAAAGATGTCTACAAACAATAGAAAATGCTACATTTAAAATAGTGAATCCATGAAGAAAGATCCATTCTATGGAGAAAATATGAACAATATGCACCTGTAAAACCCAAGAACAGAAGATTACTCTTCAATCTTTCATCGACGAATGCTCTTCAAAAATCCTGTCGCAGAGAGGAAATGTAACATGATACCTGTGGATGGATTAGTGGTTTTACAATGATACAATTCAAACACATTGACAACTTAATTTGTCAGTTTTTAATGTTTTTTCAATTTACTCCAGTTTAATCCAATGATATATAATTTACTAAGGAAGATTATGTTAACTAGCTTAATAAAGTACTGAAGTAATCTGTTGCAAATTTGAATTTAAGTTATTTTAAAACCTCATTGGCTACCAATATCAAATATTTCATTTGTTATTTTAGGCAATCGACTAACTCTTGATACTATTCCAAAGGAAAAAGGTATAAATGTAAGAAATGAACTTCTAGCATTTCATGAGAAATGGTATTCCGCAAATATTATGACATTAGCAGTTCTCGGAAAAGGTAATTTACTTATATTAATGATTTTTAGGACATTATGCTTTTTTCTAAAGCTAGTCAATATTATATGATGATTTTTTTTATATTGTAAAAATTTATTGTTTGTCATTACAATATGGCTACAAAGTACAGATTGTATGAATAAACAGTTATTTGACTTAAGACAAACTAATTTAAAATTGTTATCCCTAAAGTGATACAAGGCCAATCAAAGTGTTTATTGCTATATTAATCTAATAATATATTAGGTTTTTAGTTGCTGACTTTTAAGTTATTCTATTCCTACTTAAAAACTAAAGTCATATATTTTTTTGTTTAAAACATTTGTTATAAGTACAATTTTTTAACAGATAAAAATATAATATGAGATATTATTAATTAATTTCATTATTGAAAATAAGTATTAATTTAATTTAAAAAAAAGAAAGTTGTTTAAGTAATAAATGGGTTAATATGATTTTATGAGGTGTTGAAACCTTACATATAAGTCATTACATACTTTTAAATAATCAGTGTTTTTGTGCTCATGATTTGTTTATTTGTTCTCAATTCTATCCTTGCTACTGCTTAGTGAGATTCCTGTGCTGCCATTGTAAAATCTTCTATATCTTGGATTTTTGTGATCACATACCATTTAAGGTGTCCCAAAACTTAACATACCTTTATTTGGAATTTTAACTAAGAACTGTGACATGATACATACATCAACAAACATCTAACATGATATATGACATTTTTATCTGATTTCTTTAATCGACGGAGACCAACATTCAGCTGAACATATAGTATAACATAGGTAATCATGACATCCGACAATCGTTTTTCTTTTTTCTGCTACATCGTCAAATACATGACATAATTTGTTCCTTATTTACTTATTCTTATTTTTTATATATTTGATTTGTATGTTTGTTATTGTTGTTTTGGGTTTAGGGGCAAAAAACTGTTGATGTTTATTATTGCCCTCAAATTGTACTGATTCATTTATTTTTCAATCTTAAAACTACTATTATAAAAGTAGATATGTTATAAAAATATATATAATAAATATAATAGAAATATATATATATATATATATATATATATAAATTACTATTGAGAAGAAAAATAAAATAAAAAATTATAAAATAGTCCCTATGTAGTTGAATTAGCCCTATGTCTTAATGAATTTAATGGTACTATCGATATTTTGTTTGTTATCTGTTAATGCCTCACAGAGCTGACGAGGTACACCATGTCTTTCCATTTCTCTCCTGTAGCGAGGACACTCCTCAAAGATATGGCTCACTGTGAGAGTTACTTTACAGAGTTAACACTGAGGTGGATCTCCCCTTAGGTAGCCATGGGTCAAGCGGCAATGTCCAATTCTGAGGCGGGTGCAACTACTTCCTCTCTTCCACACTTCCCGGAGGACAAGGCCCAGCAGCTGACGGTCAATTTGATTATCCTCAGTTTATTATTCTCTGACCTGGTCCAGGTCTGTTGCCATTCGTTTAATATCTTTATGTTCATTGGTTTCAATAAATCTGATGTTGAGATATAAGAGAGCATTATTACTTCCAGTGAATGGGCTTCTGTTGCTGCTCTGTCCACTTCCTCATTTCCAGAGATACCAGAATGACTGGGAACCCAGAGGAAAGCTATTTTTTTTTAAGAATCTTCTATTTCTTTTACGAGGTAGTGGATTTCTTGTACAAGAGGGATTTCTGAAAATAAATTGTAAAGAGATTTGAGGGCACTCAGTGAGTCAGAGCATACAATTATTGACTGTTCCGTTGACGACTGAGCTACTTCTAGTGCTTTTAAAATTACCGTCAGTTTGGCTTTAAAAATAATGCAGATCCTCTCCAGTTTGTATTTTAGAATTTTACCAGCATTCAACACAGCACACAATGTTGACTCATTTGTTCTAGAACCATCTTTATAATTCGTGTATTTTCACTTGTGTTTTAATTTTCAGTTTAAATGAAAATTAATTTCGTATTGTAAATCCATTGTCATTTTAAATTTAGTTTTAATATGTGAAATCGTTTCTCTCACTTACTTGTTCAATGCATTTATTTCAATCTGCTTCTTATAAATATTGGTATGAAATTGCCGCTATTATTAAATAAAACTCTGGCTAAACTGTTTTATTTGTTTAAAGAAAATCTTGATGAATTGGAAGAACTGATCGTACCTCTATTTTCAACTGTTATTAATAAGAATATTGAAGTACCTGAGTGGAAAGAACCGCCATTATCAAAGAATGAGCTGATGTTGAAAGGTTATGTGGTACCTATTAAAGATGTACGATCTTTAGCCGTAACATTCCTTATTCCGGACTATAAACAGTACTACAAAGCAGCAGTAGGTTAATAAACATCAGTTTTGTTTAGCCCTTTAGTATTTATTCAATTTGTGATATTGATTTATTTATTTTTTATAGCCTGGTCACTACTTAAGTCACCTGATAGGCCATGAAGGCCCTGGAAGCTTACTCTCAGTTCTAAAAGCTCGTAGTTGGTGTAATAGTTTGTTAGGTGGTCCACGTGGATCCAACAAGGGTTTTGATTTCTTTTCCATTAATGTGGACCTGACACCTGATGGAATCGATCATGTTGATGACATTATACATCTTATATTTCAGGTAAAAAAATATTATAATAATAGTATAGTAAAATAATATTAATAAAAATAAGAAATAAATTAATAATGCTTTTGAGAGTTTTTCTTGAAGAAATCTCTTCTGTTTTCTAAATTAATTATTTATTAATTACATTCCTTTGTCAAACTTTTGACCCTTTAACCCGCCTTCAGATTGTTTTTTTAGTTAACCTAATTCTTTCTTATCATATAACAATGGAAAATTAAATTATACATTTTAAACAAAAAAATGTTATTTTGCTTCCTCACTATCGAAGGTAGAGAAGCATTGTATTCGTGCGAGAGGTTAAAAAAAATGTTGTACTCAGAATTGAAAATTTTCACTCGCACTTTATGCTATGTTTCAGAAATCAAGGATCAAATTTGGTTCGGTGACTGTCTGTCTGTAGTCAAATCGATGCAATAGGCATATCACCTACTACCGTTTATCGGATTTTCATGAAATTTTCAGGAATTGTTGTGTGGGTTGGTGTCTAGATGGTCCCATATCAATTTAATTAAATTCTAACCAGCACTTCCGCTTAAGCACGCGTAAACGCATTTTTGTAGACATGCCGATATTTTAGGAACTGCTTGTTCGATTTGGCTCAAAGTTGGATAAAATGTAGGTATTTGTGAAAAAATAATGTAGGGTCAATTTTATGGAATTCTGTCTATTCCTTTCTCTTATATATGCGCAAATATGTTTTCCTTGGTATGTATATATCTCTAAAACCGCTAGTTCGATCTGGCTCAAATTTGGAGGGAATTTAGGGATTGGTAAAGGTAAAATGAAATAGGCATCCATTTTATCAAATTCTATCTAATACTCCAACAAAAATAAAACTTTCTCTTTTAGATCAGGAAATTTGTTATTTGATATGCCTATAGTTTGAAAAATGGTGCATTCAATTTGACCCAAACTTGCAGGAAATTTGGAGAACAGTACAGACATTATTTAGTATCAATTTCATTGAATTCCATTTAATAATTCAAAGTAATATAAATAATTGTTAATTATATAATGGCTGTGAAATGTTGAAGGAACTGATCACGTGGAGTGGGAGATAGGTTATTACAGTATTGTTATGGGGTTATAAAATTTTAGGTTTTATTGAAAAAATTAATTGATATTGTATGGTTTGGTCGATTCCAAACGTTACTGGCATGCCACTTACTGCTGTTACTTAGATTTTGTGTAATTTTCAGTAAATTTAAAGTAATTTTACTCTGAATTTGTAAAAAAAAGAAAGTCTTATTTGTAGTTGTATTTATTTCCATTGAAGTTCAACCAGTTCGTCTTGGTCTCGATTTCCTCCTTGTTGTGTAAACTTCACCCATATTTTTATATTTAAGCTTAATTAGTTTTGTTCTGACTGAAGAAAAGTATTGGTCTCGTTAACTCCGAACTAACAACAAGTTGAATTTATCCTATGAATTTTCTACTTCCATTCATTTTACGAGTGTAAACGTACCTATTAAGTATATGTCATTACTATGAGTGCAAAAGGTTGTATATAAAAATTTTCAACTTTTATTCTATTTGTTCTAAAGGTGACATTTTGAAGTCTGCAACTAATATAAGTAGTCTGCTACTATGGAAAATAGCAAAGGACAATAAAATATGAAATTATACCAATAAAGCATAAAGAATTAATGAGTTTTTATGCTCTCTTGTAAAACAATGAATTTTTTCTTACGACCTTTTACACTATCAGTAGTGAAATGCATGTTCAGTATGCATTGGTATTTTTTTTAAATTAATAGTCAATATGGAATCTTCAAGAACGGCACTCTTTCGCATTTTAATATTAGCTGATAAATGAAATTGGTGGATATCAAACCAGCGAATGTTGAAGGGTAACTATATTTTCTTCTTCCAGAGATTTTATTCTCATATGAAAGATTGTATTCCTTGTAATATAGATATACTACTAATGAAAACGGTGAGGAAGTTGTACTGACCTTACTTGGCAGACATTTTTTTCTTATTTTTTCTCCAATTCCAACACCGGTTTTCCTGGTTTGTAGTGGTATGAGCTATGCCTAGAAAGTGCTATGAATTGTTTTTATTAATAGTTGGTGTATTAATGCAGTTGTTAAATCAAACCATACTTCAGCAATGTTTGCCATTCTTCTCTGTTTCTTTCTGATGCCAAGGGGAAGTTCACTTGCTACATTGTTCCCCTTACCTTGAAGCTTAGGACATCCAATTCATCTGATTATATAGGATTTCATTTGGTTCTATTCTTGCCAGATGACTTGCTTACCAAACCCTTGGTAACCTAATTATGTGCGTACATCTAGATCTCTATTTGTGGCTCTTAATGCAATATTATTCCTTCTTCTCCAGATGCCTGTTTATAAACACCATCGTTATGAACTAATATTCTATGATATTCTTTTATAACAATATTATGGCTTAATGATGCTCAAATTAATTGGAATGGAGAAATTAGTTAGTAAAAAGGTGCGAAAATAATAGTAGGATCAGTTGGTAATACAAATTACTGTTTTTCTAATAATCCCCAAGATGTGTTTATTGGTGAAATAACTCTGTTTTTTATATAATACATTGTCATAAATTTATTTTTAAATACTTCTTTTAAGAATTTTTAATATGCTATAACTTTAACAATTGGGTTGTAATTTTTTTTATTTTTGCAGTACATAAACATGTTAAAGCAGCAAGGACCTCAAAAATGGATTTTTGAAGAATACGCTGAATTATTTAACATGCATTTTCGGTTTAAGGATAAACAATCTCCTAGGTCCTTTGTCAATGGTCTGACCATAAAATTGCTGGTAAGTGGAGTAGCCATTTAATTTTTCCTTTCTATTGTTAATGTACTAATTTTATTTTATTAAATTAGGACTATGAAATGGAAGATGTTCTTGCTGGAGGATATAAAATAACAGAATGGAGACCTGATATGATTAATGAGCTTTTGGAACACCTTTGTCCAGAAAATACTAGGTAAAATGTTTTCTTTTACATTTAAGGGAGTGTGTTTATTTATTGAATGTTTTTTAATTAATTAAAATAGAAACAATTAAAATTATTGTCAAGGAGGAATTGAGCTTTCCAAAATTATTTTGGACACCAAATCTAATTTTCATTCAAAGCCAATCAAATGAGATTGATGATCAATGGCAGACCTTTTGTCGGCTGCTATGGTACAGAAATTTCGAATCTTGAAAGTCTTGAATCTAACAATACAATAAAGATGAGAAGAGGAGAATAATCGCCCAGTCCAAAGTTCATATATATATGTGTGCGTGTGTGTGTGTGTGTGTGTAAACACACGTTCATATTTATTATGTCTTAGTATGTTAGGTCAAAAGGGTGCAAGTTGAAAATGACTACTCTAGAGCCTATAGGTGATTTTAGTTGACTATTTTACTGTTTAAGTTTGAATTACAGTTAAAACAATTTAAAAACACTGCAAATTATTACACAATGGTTTATTATTTAAACATAATTATACATCAAAAGTAGCAACACTTTTCAGTGAAGTATGTTCTATACATATTGTTTGTGAAAAGATTGTGCCCAATTGGCTCTTTGCGGCGAGTAGTGGGGGCAGATCAGATCTAAATGATAAAATTTAATCTATACCAGCGACGATTAACACTTGTCCCATTCCATCATAGAACAAGCCCAAGACAACACCTGCACCGAGGACGTCCTCAGGTAATAAGAGATGTCTATGCCAGCATAAAAATGTTAAGCCTACTTGCACAATTCATATAACCTACCAATTCATTAAAATATACTACATTGCATAAATTATTAGAATGTTGCCAAATTTGAACTCACGAGAGTTATTTGCCTTAATTAAACTTTGGAAAGTTGCCTAAACACGTATATTTAAGAGGCGTTGTGGAGAAGACTTTAGGCAAATTTCATTGAAATTGGTACATTCATTTAGGTGCTACAGTCTATACCAACACAGGTTTTTCAGTTTCCATCTTGAAAGAAAAGGGCAGATAGTTATGTCGAGGTAGCGGGATCAATCTCAGGTGACCTCTGACTTCGACTCCAAATTTGAAAAAAATCGGCAAATTTGATCCAAATCAGCGAAAATGCACGGACAGCGCATGGAATTAGAAAAAATCTGCTTATACTCTTAAACCATAACAAGTTAAATGTATATCGAACTACCCCTAAACACACAGCAGGAAAATATTATGTAATTTATCCTTAAGGAAAAGCTATAAAACATCTAATTACCAAAAATTATAGATAAGATACATGTATCACCTTTTCAAAAAATTATTTCAGTACTTGCAAATGAAACTATTAATTTATAAAGGTTTTTAATTTCACTTACCAATATATGAAATATATAGTAAAGGAAGGTATTGCGATCATAAACATTTTTTAATCTTAGTTTTTAACAGGAATACATGTTTTGAGGTCCCCTGAGTCCAAATAACCAACTTTCGCAAAGTGTGTGTGTGTGTGTGTGTGTGTGTGTGTGTGTGTGTGCGCGTGTGCGTGTGAGCGTGGGCGTGCGTGTGTGTGAATTTTAATTTGATAATTAAATAAAGGAGATACAAGACATCACTACGGAGAATAGTTGTAATGGAGAAACTAAAGGAATCCGAACTCATCTGTAAGATTAGAACAGTCTTCCATATGTAACATGAGCTTGATATAATATGGACCACGACAATTTTATGTACATATACAAATGCAATTTTCATAAATGTAATCATTGGTATTATTTAATATTTAATTGTATAGATTACAGTGATATAAATATCAAAATTTGTATATATAGGGGCACTTAAACTAATAAAAACAAAAATCGACCTCATCACAGGCGAAGGTATGATTTCAAATTACGAAAGTGTATGTTATTCTGAGTAAAAGAACCTTGTCTGCACTAGCCACTGCTTTCAAAAATGGTGACTGATTTAAAGAATATTAAAGAATTTGAGGATCAAAACGGGAAATCCATTTTGAAAAATGTGAGAAAAGTTTTTATTTGTTTAACTTGGATTTAGCATGTGAAAAACAAAGTTGCTTATGCACGCCACCAAGGGAAAACTTTTTACAGCCAAAAAGTCAGATTTTTTGACATTTTTTTATTTTTTCATTTATTACTCCAAAACGATGCCTCAAAGCGAAAAATGTATTTGTTAATAAATTAAAGAACGCTAAATTTTGCATCGAACAAGTACATAAAATTTATAATTTTGTTCCATGGTAAGGTATAAAATCATGGTCAACCAACACTGATTTTTATCAAATTAGTCAAAAACTGAGACTAATTACTATAAATGGCCTTGACACTTAGAAATTAGTTCCTTAAAAGGAAAACCCATACAATCAAAGTTGTAGAGCATAAAATTTTGCGTCTACTGAGTACCAACTAATTTAATGTAGGTCACTTACTCCTAACAAAATCGGTAGTCTCCCAATGGTTAGAAATTGGTAATGAAGGTAAACGTTATTTTATATGAGTCTGTTACACGCAGTATAATTCTCTTTTGCACCTTTCAGCAGATTTTGATAAACGATAGGCCGAAAGATACCGGATTTCATAAAGAAATAACGAACCCCAGATCGAAATATATAATTGGCTACAATAAAAATGTCAGTATTCAGTAGACACGAAATTTGATGCTCTACAACTTTGATTCTATGGTATTTTCTTCTTAGGGGACTCATTTCCAAGTTACTGAGCCATTTACAGTAATTTGTCTCTGTTTTTGACAAAATTGGTGAAAATCAACTTTGGTTGATTATAGTTTTATACCTTACCACGTAACGAAATTATAAGGTTTATGTACTCGTTTGACTCACAGTTTAACGTTCATTTATTTATTAAAGAATATATTTTTCGCTTTGATGCATTGTTAAGGAGTTATAGGTGTATAAACAAAAAAATATCTAAAAAATTTGACTTTTTTGGCTGTAAAAAGTTTTTTAAGTTTTTAAAGTTTTGACTTGGTTGCCAGCGTTAGGAATTTTGTTTTTTACATGTCCAAATCCAAACATACAAGTTAAAAAAATAAAAACTTTTCCGACATTTTTTGCAATGGATTTTCTGTATAGATCCTGAAATTACTGGCCTAATATTCTTTAAAGCAGACGTTCTGGAATGGCAGACAAAGTCATTTTACTCAGAATAACAAATACTTTAGTAATTTATTACAACCAAACCTTCGCCTCCAATGAGATTGATTTTGGGCCCTGTCTCCAGGGCTAAAACAAAATATGTGCAGTACAAAACTCAAAATCATACAATGAAAACCCCAAAATTTGTAAAATTATGTATATGTATAGCATTAAAAAAATCATAATCTTTCTTTAATTTAATTTAATGCATGAAATGTTTGTTTACTCTTGTGTTAAATTTACAGCCTTTACATAGAAGTTAGGTTATAACAACTGGTAATGTGTGAAAAACCCTATTTTTAATTCAACAATGAAGTACGATTAACCAAAATATAGATCAAAGAAAAGCTACATATAATGTTAATCATATATTTTATAACAAAACGTTTGTTCTTGAAATAAGGCTTGATGTGACAAATGTGGTTCATTTTAAATTTTAAAAAGAACCACATTCCACATCAAAAACACCAAACAAAGAAGAGAGAAATTAACACAGGATTTAATAAAAAATTTAGGTACATGTTATACAGTAAATTTGGAATATACATGTTATACATGAAATTTAGTTCAAGCATTTAATTTTATGTTATTAAAATCAATCAAAAAGACTAAAACGTGCAATATTAAATTTTAATATGTTGTTCTTCAGATGGTGAAATGGATAGACAATCGGGTTTGAAATTTTTACACACAAGCGAATAAAATGTGCAATAACATGGAAATCCGTTCTCAAATATATGATAAGTATCTCATGGCGACCAAAGCATCTATGAAGTTTTTGGCGAGAATTATGGTTTAACACGGTCAATTTTAGAGCTTTAAAATCCAGAGCCAGGTATAGTTCTACCGGAATTATACCTGGTTTTGATGTCTACGTCAAAATCTTGATCCCACAACTTTTGAAACTGTCTTTATTTTAAAGTCTCCTAATTTTTTCTATGACTTTTATTGTAATTGTAGTAAGGTTTTATGTATTAAAATTATGATTTGTCACTTCTCCATGAAATTCTCTTTTGTTTGTCACCTCATTCATCGAAATCTTTGAGAGTTGGAAAAGGGATCTATATTATCATATTATTTACAGTATAGATACAGAATTGTTGGGCAAGAATTTCATATAAAAAATAAACAATGATAAAACATTACTTTTAATCAAAAAAGCTTTGTTTTTAGTACATTCTACTTTAACTTTACGTTTATTTGTGCTGAGGAAGACAAACAATATCTGAAATGCATAAGATAATAAAAAAGGAAATATAATTATTATTATTTTTTTTTTTCAATTTTTACCTGTTATGAAATTTTTAGAGAAAAAAAAAATGAAAATATAAACTAAAAAATAAATAAATGATGAAATCTAATTTAAATATTGAAAAAAATAATCTATTCTGTTCTTAAATATTAGACTATTTGTTCACCATAGCTTAATTTATTTTATAATTTTTTTTAAAATATAATGTTCAAGCCCATACGATGGCCATTTTCAAGTCTGAAAAATTTAAATATAAATAGAATTTTAAAAAATATATGAAATGTTTGTTATAAAATTAATAAAGCTATTGTGATATAATGGCCTTATATTTTTGAACAAAAGAAATTGGGATACCATAAATAGAAATAATGGATAGAAGAAAAAATTAATTTATTTTTAAAGCAGGTAAAAAAAAAATGTATAACTGATTAGTGATGAGTTTCTATCATAAGTTTTTCTTTTGTATTTTAGATCAGTTATTGTGGCAAAAAAATTTCAGCCAGTTGCTGACCAGAAGGAAAGTTGGTATGGGACACAGTACAAATTAGAATCAATTTCTAATGATGTCATTGAAGTAAGTTCTTTCTAATCATGAAACAAAACTGCTCAATTTCAATTTTGGGTACTAGTTCACAAGAGTTCCACAAGGATTACGCATAGTTCACAATCACTTCGGTCACACTTGTTCATGGAATCCCGAAGACAGCTGAATATTGCTGTATTTCATGACGTTAGCTTTTGCCCCCCACCACATAATCCCTTTTCATGCATTTTTGAAAAACCCACGTATTCCCATCATAAAACTTCCTTATTAAGAATTTATTAATGAATTATGAATTTACTAATTTGTTAATTGTTAATTTTCATCAGACGGGTAAATAATCTGGAAGAAAAATCAAGAAAATAAGTAAAACGATGTTTGAGTCGCCCTTCAAGGACAGTTAAAAAAAATGCTCTATTAGTGCCGTATAATATATGCACAAGTTCGATTAAGGTTACATGATGTAGACTAAATTTCGAATATAAGTCAGTTCCTGCTGTATAACAATATGGTTAAGGATAAAGTAATTAAATGGCGGGAAAGTTAATAGTAACTGACTGCAGAGATCATTTTTCATTCTCTTTCAGATAAACTCGAACGCATTTGGCACTCCATGAACAAGTGTGACTGAAGTGATTGTGAACCACGCGTAATATGTACAGAACTCATGTGAACTAGTACTGAATTTTGAATAGATAATTTAAAAAACTAACCATATTTATTCAATTAAATAATTGAACGGGGGAGTGGATAAAGGTGATGGGAAAAGAAAATTATTGTTAAAAATTAAGGTATTAAGGTGATACATTTTTATTATTTCTTTCTTCCATTCACATAAATTCAATATTGGCTCATAATGAAGATCCCCATAGATGATACATGTTGGCCTTATAGTGAATAAAGGTTATTTAAGTCAGTTTTCTAAGCACTTGGTTTACTCATCTACTTTATCCTTGACCATGACTTTATCCTTCAATTATTTAATTAAATTACATCAAATTACAGAATTAAGCCCTATCTGATATTGCTGATAACAGAATAAACTTTATTATGTTATTCTTTTGAAATTTAATTAACTTGAAGTATGATAAATACCCTTAAAATATAAATTTCTGATATAAATATAAATTTCTCTATCAACAATCGACCATGATTTTATAGTTTTATCTATTTAAAGATTCACTCACATGTTCCCCAAATCTGCCAATAATAGATTTTTTATTGTTAATATTTAATTATAAAACAAACAATAACAAATTTTGAAAAGCTTTGAAGTTTTGGAAGAATTTTCAAGTAATTCTTTTTCAATTTTTACACTAATATATTAAAATCTATTTAGAAAATTTTGGAGGAGTAAATTAAATGACTGTAAAAGATAATAAAATGTAATCTTGACCATTTTTACTTATTCCCTTAGGTCCATTAGAAATATGCTTTTCTGAGCCTAGTACTGTAATATTTGTACTGGGATAAGTACTGGTTTTCTTTGCTAGTAAACTTTTTTCTCTAACTGAATCATTGCCACCACATTTAAGTAGCAATGTGATGATGCAATAGGGTGATAATAATGATATCTCATCAGGGTGAAATATCTCATTTTTGTTAAAGTCACTTTAAAATAGTATGAATCTAGGAATCAGAGAAGTAAAATAAATTATTCACTTGGCAGTGTATGTAATAGGTAAACAACTCATGCAGTTTTAAATAAATTTAGATTCTTTTTCAGTTTTATTCTTATCTTATTATAATTTTTCTATTTTCAGAAATGGAAAGATGGCTCAATTTGTAATGAGCTACATATGCCTGAAAGAAATGAATTTATTCCAACAAATTTTGATCTGTTTCCCAGAGATGAGAATGTAAAGTATTTAATTGCACTTAGTTATTAGTGTATAAGATATTTATAACTCCCTAAATTAATGTCATTTTTTGTAGATAATTAACTGAATTTACTTATTTGTATAATTAAACATATTTTTGTTTATAACAGTAATAAATATTTTTAGGCAAATATGTATCCTGTAATAATTCAAGAAACACCCTATTCCAGAGTTTGGTATAAGCAAGACAATGATTATCTCCTTCCTAAAGTAAACATGAGTTTTGAATTCATAAGGTTTGTATTCATTTATTTATTTTTTAAGCTATCAAATAATTTTTGAATTTTATTTACAGCTTAACTTTTTTCTTTTGAAATATTTTTGCTATTAATATTTCTGTAGCTAAAGACATATCCAGAAGTTTTTTAAGTATTCTATTTGAATGCTAGGAAGCAACTGATGATCATTGGAAAAAATTCTTTATAGCTGTTTAATATAATGTTGGAATAAAAAAGATTATGATAGAACTATATACCATTTATTTTTTAATATTTCAGCCCACTAGCATATTTAGACCCAGTTAGCTGCAATTTGACATATATGTTTGTTATGTTATTCAAAGATGCTCTTATGGAATATGCTTATGCCGCTGAGCTAGCTGGATTACGCTGGGAACTTACCAATACAAAGTATGGTATGGTTGTAAGTATCTCATTTGTTTTTGAATTTTGTAAATTTGTTTTTTCATATTTACATTTGTATACTATTGTACAGCTTGGAATAGGTGGGTATAATCATAAACAGAAGATTTTGTTGGAAAAAATCATGGAAAAAATGACAAATTTTGAGATTGATCCAAAACGGTTTGAGATACTCAAAGAAAATGTGAGTATTTATACTTATTTAATTAACAATGTTATTAAATTAGTGATTAGGCTGAAACTATTTTTTTGTTAAAAGCCTATTAAATTCTGTTTTAAAAAAGTTTGATTTTTAATAATTAAATTATTCCAGTGCATTGCATGTGTTTTTAATAAAAAAAAATGTAAAAAGAAAATAAAGGTATGGTAACACTCTAATAGTATGAAATAAATATTCCCTAAAGTTCAGTTTATGTCAATTATTTCATTAATTTTGTATCCCATTGTAACAGTTTTATTTTGTTATAAATATTAATAGTTAACACTTTAATGAGTGCTATGAACCTATTCATGCATTTTATTTAGTGTTATTACTTATTGCATATCAGTAGATCATAAAAGTAATTTATGGAACCAAACTTATAAATAATTTTATATACTACCAGTTTTATAATAACTTATAACAATATAAGATATACAATACAAATACAAAAATGAAATATTTACTAGAAACTGATTTTTGACCTCTGACCTTCTATAACTTGAATTAATGTTATATCGATGGTGAGAAATGAAAATCTGGTAACTCCATTTTAGTAAATATTACAATGGACAATCAGAGTTTAATAACTAATAATAGTACAATCCATAATCATTTATAGGTAAAATTTACAGATGTAGTTTCAAATCTCTTTAGGTATATATAGCTTAGAGACTGGAGTTATTTGGTTTAACAAAATAGATAGAGTTAGAGGTTTTCCTTGCCTAACGTCAATATAATCGATACGGTTTGTGTTATATTAATAATCTTAATGATATGTTACAGGTAGCTGTAAGGTTTAAAATTTAGCTCTGTTAAAAATATATTTAAAAAAAATTTGTAATAGTCCAACATTGCTAAAAAATAATTTCTATTCAATGTAAAAAAATTGACATGAGATTTTTGAGACTTTTAACCTAGATTTCGAAAGGCAAAATAAAGGTTCATGCAAATTTTCATCTTTATACCTAATCCTGTCATAGATATTGTTACAAGGAAATATTTACAGATTTCAACAGAAAAATTAATTTTTTAAAATACTTTATTGGAAAATAAAATGTATATCTATAGAGAGTGAAAGAAAAAAGAAGTTACTGATTACTCAAATTACTCAAAATGCCCTCCTTTTGCCTTGACACAGGCATTTAATCTCCGTGGCCAGTTCATTTAATCAATGAAATAGGTAGCAGCACGCACCACTTCTTGAGGAAAGCGCTCAACTGCTCGGACCATAGATTGTTTAAGGCTTTCCATGTTAGGGTGTGCTCTGTGGCATGCCATCCTCTCCAATTCGGACAAAAGCCGATAATGTTTTGAAAAGAATAATGTTTTGGGGCCTAACTCACCAAGTATGTATTCTACGGTAAAATTTATATGAAGACTTTTGAAAGGTAATTCTATAAAACAAAAAACTTCCATTCAATAAAACAAAAAAACTTCTATTCAATAAAACAAAAAACTTCCATCATTAGAAACATATTACCAGTTGCTAAACTTTTATTTTTGGCAACTATTGACCAAAAATATTATATATAATTCTAGTAAAGAGAAATCTTATTTATCACAAAAGGATATAATAAAAACCACAAAGGAAATAAGAAAAATCTTATTTATCAGAAAAGGAACACAACAAAAAAAAAAGATTCTTAAAAAACTTTTCCCACATTTCCCGGAGTTTTTCCGTACATGAGAATTTCCTGTACAATTCCAACTTCCCGTTTGTTGAATACTCTGAAAGACCAATTTATCGACAACCTGGTATATCTTTCGTTTAAATTCATACTTGGTGGCTTGGAGTGAGAATGTAAATTCCCGCGGCTACAAATAAAACTCATTGAATCTGGGATTTCTTCTAATTCGAGCAGCCACTGCTCTCACTGCATTTACCGTTTTCACAGAGCGGGGATGTTCTGGTCGAGGTTTTTCACATACAGATAGGGTCTCATTATATCTATTTATTATAGTGTGGAACACGAACATGCGGATGATGCCCAAAGGTTTCAAAGTGTTGAAAATTTCTGACCTTCATTTTCCAACTTTGTGTAAGGCGATCACAGCTATTCTGTTTTCTTTATCACCCCACTCTATGTTAACTGAACGAAAGAAAAATATTAATTATTAAATAATTATCCTGACATGTAAAAAAAAATAACCTGATAGAGGTAAGGATTATCTAAATAATACTCAAGGATGTAAACAAAGTTCAATTTTTCTAACAGTATTGATGGCAGAACTAGGTATCTTTCACTTCAAGCTTTAGCCTTTTTTTACACCTTACTTGACTGGGCTGAAAGTAAGTTGAACTGACTGATTTATTTATGTTAATAGGTATATATATTTTTGTATGGTTCATATTAGTTATTAAGTTCATTTTAGAAGTTAGGATTAATAATCTAAATGTACTACATTTTTATAATTCTTCTGTACATTTGGATGATTAATGAAAGGTTGTTCATGAGAAATAATGGATAAACAATAATTATATACTTTCTCTTACATTTATTTTTATATTAATTTTTATATAAATACATAATTACATAAATTTGTATATATTTTCACTTCAAGCAGTCAAAAATCTTTCACATGGATTTTTTACATTTAACATTTTCCTTAATGATACATCCAGTTTTTTCTGTATCGATTTCAGTATTATTGCATTAAAGTGCTCTTGCATCCATAAATCTATTTTATCAGCTAAAAAGTTGAAGATACCAACATTTGTCATTTTAATGTTGAATTGGATCATTGTTGGTGAATCCTTGTTTAGGTTTGGCACTAAAAGAATAGGTTCTAGTTCAGTTAAACAGTAATCTTGATTGATGGTGCCGTTGTGCCCTGATGCTACTGTTAGCTGAAAGCCCAATAAAGCACTTATCTCACCATTGGACAGTATTCCAGAGGTTTCATAATTGTCAAAGACTGCTTCATATGCATAATGGATCCTTAATAAAACAAAACATTTAATAATTGTATTCATATTAAACAACAAGATTCAATCCTCTCAGTTAATGACAAAAAAAAAAAAAATTATATTTATAACAAAAAGTAAAACGTTTTGATCTTCCATTGCACAAATTTTATAAAAGCTTATTATAGAATAATTTTAAAAAGTTGTAGTTTAAGCAAATATGTGTAATTTTTTTCAGAAATGCTGGAGATGGTTGAATACCAAAAACATCTATGTGATTTGGATTAACTGAATAAATAAAATTTGTAGGACAGTAGATCAAAACATTTTACCTATTATTAGAACTTGTTAGTGTCCCAACCAATCTAAAAATAAAAAAAAAAATATGTATATATATATATATATATATATATATATTAGTATTTCACAGTTTTTCTTAATTGAAAAATTAATCAAGAATTAAATTACCTCTTTGCATGAACAGAAATACACGAATCGCACACAATCATCTCATGCTGATGTTCTGCATCACTGTGCACTGCATCTTTCAGAGCCATACTTTTTTCAGCACGAGTCATTATCAATCTCCTTAGCTTACCATGTTCTTCTAGGCCAGATGTGTTCAGTGTTAAATCCTCAATCCAGCCATTATAAGCCAAGAACACTACTTGTCCAGTTATTCCATGCCATGTCTTTAATTATATGATTTCTTAAGTTTTATAAAAATATTTAAATCAAATCTAGTAATGATAAATTTTCTATATTTACCTCGGAGTAGTTTCTCATTAGATCAGGTATTGGAAAGACACCATTCTGTCCTGCAGTAAAAAAATTGAAACTTTCCTCCAACAAATCTCTTGTTGAGTATACTAATCTTTTAATTTGAGTTCCGGTTCCCCAATCCTTTACCAACATACTGTCCACCGATGTACATATTATTAAAATAGTTATAAAAAAGTACATGGTGCTAAATTGTGATGGCTGTTTAGGAGCCACGTTGATAGGAGACTGTTATTTAGTGAATTATCTTTTAAACAACTTACTTATCTATTTGACCCCGACATGATCTATTTTATGATTACATGATATTTATATGTATATCATTCTTAATAGATGACTAACGTTCCTATCTTTTGTATATTTTCATGGTAAAAGATTAGAATAATAATAGAAAATTAGAGTGAATCCATTTAATTAAATGTTTAAAGATATATTATACTTCAAGAAGATTAATGTTTAGTTCTAATCAGTATAATGTTTTTCATATTAATACATACGATCACAATTTAAATCAAAATATTGTTTAAACATTATCCTCTTTTTTTTTTTTTTTTTGTCTTTTTGATCTCTGAATATCAATTGTTAATTCATGGGAATGTCTTACCAACCATTGTAGCCAAATTATTATTGTTGTTAGGTGTTCAGCATGTAATGTTAAATTTATTAAATCCATTAAATGTCATTTAGGCCATCGTGAATAATATATTTTGTAAGAAAATTTACCTGTACAGTATTTAATTTCAATTCATAAATGAAAAAAAAAAAAATTAAAAAATCTAAGGATTAGATACGTATTTACCTTCTTTACTTGTATGGACCATGGGTTCATTACAAAAAGTCATTAAGTACCATTTCATAAAATTAAATCAGTTAGTACTTTGATGAATTTTCTCTCTGTCAAATCATAACATTGTGGACTTATTGTTACTATTTTTAATATATAAAAGGGCGAATGTAATTTTGATATATTTACTGGTCTATAAATGAGACTGGCATTCAGGAAAACATACTTAAAAGTTTAGCTCCTTCAAAAAATGTACTTAGTGACTATTTTCATTGAATCGAGGATATACTCACATAAACTTACACACTTTCATGGGCTCAATTCAAGATTAAAATAACCGAAAGTAATATCTTCAAATTTTTGAGTGATTAAATACATTTACGGATGTACAGACTTTAGGTGATATGAATAAAATTAAATAATTTTTCTATATTACTTGCAAATAAACATGTTCTTAATCCATGAAGCAATTCCTTGGTGGTAGAAAAATTATCTGAAAAAGTTTTAAGCAATTGCTTAATTTAGGTGTTAAAAATTCTCAATTTTTTAGAAATTTCTTGAATTCTGTCCAATGTAATATGTTAGTGGGTGAGGGAATTATCTTAAAATATCCTACTCCACCGAAAACTGGGAAGTTGGTGGAGAATGAGGGATAGGAATTCTATCAAACACCTCTGAGAATTTATTTAAAAGGATAAAAGAACCAGAAACGCATTGGAAACTTATGAAGATAAATGTACTAAATAATTCAAGGACTATGGAAGCTAGTATATATAGAATAGTTCCATCCGAATAAATTAAAATTCAAATGAGAAAAAATTAAATGATACTGATATGAATTTTTATTCTGATCTGCAATTTATGTACCTTTTTAATTCTTTCTTATTAAAAAAAATATATACATTAAATAACAAAAACCAAGGTTGAGATAAGTCTGTGTTTGTGCATCCACTAGGGTTTTTGTATTTTACTAAAACTTTATTCAGTTGGATTTTGTTACTAACTAATGGATAAAACTATTGAATTTTGAGCTAGATGTGTGATTATAGTTTTCTGAAAACAACACTTTGTATTAAATGACTACATGACCTTTTCCTTCACACATGTTTTGTTATATACATCACATGTGTTCCCTTCCTTTTACTGACTTAATAAGTGCTACTGGTCATGGTAAAGATCCATATGTCCTAGAATCGTCAATCAAAGAACTGTGGTAATATGCCTCTGACTATACTTTCCTCTGGATTCTTACATTGCAGGCATTTCCTGACTATCCAGTATAGATGCTTGTGTTCATCAGCATCAAAAGTTTATGTTAATACCAGCAAAACAATTTCTGTTGATTTAATTTTCTGAGAAACTAATTGGTTTCTTAATCATTGTACAAGTGCAATCAAGAGCTTTAGCAATGGTAGATTGACTCTCAAGTGGAGATTGAGTCTCTCACTCTCACACTCTCTTTTAATACAACTATTTGCGATATTTGTTTATTTTCCTTCATGATTATAGAACACTTTAGTTCCTTATAAGCCTTTTAAGATTTTTTTTTTGTTTACTTTTGTAAGCTCAGCCACTGTTACTTCATCAAGTAGTTCAGTGAAATATGCCTCCAGGCTGACTTGATTTTTATCAAGCAATTGCACACAAATTTTGATACAACTACTCTGTATTCATTAATTTCAAGCTATTTTTTTTTGTCTGAAAAAAAAAACGAGCAATTACTAAACAAATGAATTACTTGCTTGTTTATTCAGCTGAAACTAAGTAACTGCTTGAAAATATCCTAATTATGATCAGTTACTCAATTTTATTCACTTTAGCTATTTTAATCCAATAGTACTGGTATTAACTTCAAAATAATAATAATAAATAAACAAAAATAATAAATATTAAAATTTGCTACATTTAAAAAAAAAAGATTTAAAAATATGTTTTGATGTTTTAATTTTAAAAAATCATTTATTGGAAGCTTCTACATTATGATTACAGGAAAATAAAGATAATATTTTTATTATGTATTAATAACATAGATGTTTTAAAACATATATAGATGTATTAATATTTTTCTCATCACCATCAATGTGGCTCACAGACCAAGAAGTTTGGGAATCCCTGATATATAGGAAAATCAATTGCAATTAAATGTTCAAGGTTAGGAGAATCTTTTTAGAGTAAAATTAGAAAAATTCAATTTGTAGTTCATTTTTAGTTAAATTTATAATTCTTGAGTAAAAATAAACATATATATGGTTCCTCTTAGATGATTTTATGAAATTATATAATTAAATTTAATGGTTTAATATTTCCAGAGGTCATTTTTAATTTTGTTTGTGTTGTAATTATATCATTATTGTCAAATCCATGTTTATAAAAACTGAGCACAAGTTTGACTGATTGTGATCTTTTTTTCTTTAATTTAGACATTTTTCAAAATAATTTACTAAATAAACAAATATCTTTCTAATACAATTCTAAATCATTTCAGTACATTAGGGGGCTCAAAAATTTTGAAATAGAGCAACCGTATCAGCATGCCAATTATTATTTGGCTGTCTTATTAGCAGAGCAATCATGGACAAAGTCTGAACTTCTAGCCGCAACTGAATTTGTTACAGTTGAATCAGTCTCTACGTTTATCAAACAACTTTTGTCAAAAATGCATGTAGAATCTCTGGTTCATGGAAACACCACAAAAGAGGTAACACTTATTATTATTATTAATTTGTTTACATTTATTTGTAGTGGTTATTATCATCAATCAGGTATATTTATTACCACCAATTGATTTGAGAATGATTTTAACAACAATTTTTTTATCGTAATTAAAATTATTTGGAAATTGTTAATTCTTTACATTTATTTGAAAAAAACAATATCTTTATTTAAAAACAAATATAAAGTTTATTGAAACAACTAAATCCTCAAAGGACAATTAAAACATGAATATTTCATATTCTATAGTTTGTGAGTTCAACTTTATAAAAAACCCTTATAATATATTAACGGAATTTCTACTATATCCTGTATTTTCAAATTTTGTAGGAAGTTATTATAAGTTTAAGAAGGTCCATTTAAAGCTTCCATATTTTCTTGTTTATTCTTTAACATATCCAACCAAAGTTTGGGTTTGGGTCAATAAAAATCCCATTTTCAAAACAATATATTTCAAAATTTATCACAATTACATTTACCAATACATACTGATATATATTTTTATATATAATCTTCTTGTCAATGCATCTAATTTATCATTTTTATTAAAATACATTCACTATTCTTACTAGCACCTATTTGTCATTTTATAAATAGGTCTAAATCTAATTGGAATTGGCCATAATGATTAGACTTTGTGTTCTCTTAGCATTTGGCACAGAAAATAATGTGCTTCTCTTGTTAATGGTTTAATTTTTTGTAATTGTTTTTCAATAATTATTTTATTGTTTTTATTTTCTTCCCCACAAAAAATGAAAAATGTAAGCCTGAAAAATATAAAATTTTAAAATAACTGTTTATTAATGTCTGAATCAACAAATGATTTATTTATGGGCCTCTCTGGTTTTATTAAAGGATTGAAAAAATCAAAACAACAGCTCTTGAACTAGGCCATCAGATAAAAAATGGTCTCACAAAAATTGATGAACACTCTCGAATATACTGATTATTGAGTCCATAAGATATCTTGTGGATTTTTTTTTTTTTTATCCTGAGATTAAATATCTTTAAACATATGGCAGGGAAACTATTTTATATCAATGAGTTATATGGATGAAGCTATGGTTTATGTTTGGTGGGAAACATGCTACAATTTCATGAAAGTAAAAAATTACCATGTCTTAAACCATAGTTAGACTGCTATCATTTAAGGAAATTGATGTTTGCACAAATGATGTTTGATTAATGGTTTTTGAATTCAGCCGTTCAAAGCATGTTTGGGTTGATCATTGAGGGCAGATATGCTTGTTGATACTATAATTTTATTTAAATCAATTACCTTTTATTATTTCATTTATATCATTTTTTATGAAATAATATGTTTTAAAACATGAAATGGTGTGAAATTGAAGAATTTCTAGTATAAAGATCTGATGAAAATTAAAACTTGGTTAGTTTTTAGTTTCTGTTGTGATTACTTAGTGTTATAATTTTTGTATATTATTATTTATTTTAGTCCTATTAAACATGATTAAAAATTCAACCATCTCTAATTTCTATTTTCCACTTACATATTATTTTTTTCATTGATTTTATAAATATAATATTTTTTGTAGGTTGCTTTGGACATGGTAAATACTGTCATGGACAGGCTAAGTGGTAGTGTTGGTTTATGACCATTACTCCCCTGCCAGCTTCTTCGGAATCGGGAAATACAGCTGGTAGATGGTAATTTCATTATTCACTATTTCTGGATTTCTTTTTATAATTAAATTAATCAATTAATTATTTTCTAGAACTTCATGTGCTGTTTAAAATTAGGGTACTTTTGGGAAAGAAATATTTAAAATACATTTAAAACATTTTATACTATTTTATTAAGGATAAGACTTAGTTGATATTAAATTGTATATTGATATAATGAGTTGAATCAAAATCATGAGCCGTTTAAAAAAAGAAAATTGTAAAATAAATTATATAAAGAGGCACTTCTGTGTTGTCGATTTTAGCAAAAAAGTTGCTGTAACATTCCAAGCATGTTCTCTACTTAAAATACGAAATTTCAGTTTCGTTTTTGAGCTATGCTGTTCAATACACACGTCCAGGCCATTTTGCTCAGCTTGTTTATTCAAAATGAGGGAATCTTAAAATGTATATTTCCAATGAAAATTCAACTTCAGTTTTCATGATCACAATAATTTCTCTCATTATATATTTCATATTGGTGTACAAATCCTGGTACTTGTGAGTGAAACGGCCTCTGTGGACTGCTATCTGCAGTTATCTTGTTATTTAAGGTGTTCTTGTTGTTATTTATATTTCTTATTATTAAATTACTATATTATTATAATTGGTAATTGGTTGACTGTCGTGGATAATGAAGAGATGAATAGTTGGGGTGCTCAGTCAAAAAAGGAAGGCAAAAATAAATTATAATATTTATTTTTTACATCTGCCGACGTTTCGACCTGAAGTTCAGGCCATCATCAGGGCTAAGAAAATAACCAGATAACAAGGTATGAGAAACTTAAGTAATGATGGTAAAAAAGATAATAACAAAAAAAAAAAATGAGAAAATAAAATAGATTAGATCTAGATAAAATAGATCTAGATAAAAGAAAAATAAAATAGATAGATATAAAGTAAAATAAAATTGTTAGAATAATGACTAAGAACTAAGAGATAAATAATACAGACTGTTACATAGTGTGGAATGATGAAGTAGGCATAATCAAAAAAGGGGGTGACAAAAGTGTTACATTGGGAATCTTAGAATAAAATGTAAAAACATAAAAAAGAAATATAAAGTTATATAAGAAATGAGAATAAAATAAATAGTAAAATGAAAACATTGAGAATGGAGTAGTTTGATAGAAAATTGAGATATTGTAAAGTCTATCAAGATGTACAGACAATGTATAATATAATAGAGAGTTAACAACAGAGAAAAGGAATGAAAGGAAGGAGGGAAGAAATTGAGAAAGCTGAAATAAGAAAGAAATAAAAGAAGTAGTACCTTTCTCCTGAAATGTCAAAGTGAGAATGAAGTCGTTACAAAGAAGGTGGAGGAGAGAGAAGGGATGTGGAGGTGGCGTCATCTGTAACGGTTATCGGACGAAGCTAGAACTAGAAGAATGCTAGAAGCCTAAATAGTTACGAGAGATATATTATGTAGAAAAATTATGGAATATTGAACGAAAGTTAATAGAAAGTGAAAGTGAATATATATATATATGTATATATATATATGTATATATATATATATATATATATATATATATATATATATATATATATATATGTATATATATATATGTATATATGTATATATATATATGTATATATATATATATGTATATATATATATATGTATATATATATATATATATATATATATATATATATATATAAGGGAGTTGTCAGCAAAAAGGAAAGGAATATAACTATGGATGTTTTAATAAATTCAGAATTTGGCTATAGGTTAGAGAAAAGTTGTTTTTGTCAGATTTGAGATTCACTGTCTTAGGTTGAAGCTGGATGTGGAGGGTTTCAGAAATGAGTCGTTTGTCATGGTTGAGAACAGTGGTAAGGATGGATGTTTTGTCGAAGTCAAATGAATGATTGAGGGAGAGAGAATGTTCGGATAATTTGGAAGCGGTGAAATTACGAGAGGATACAGAATATTTATGTTGGGTTATGCGGTCTTTTACGGACTGTTCTCAATCTCAATCAACTATATTATTATTTTTTATTAATATATATATATATATATATATATATATATATATATATATATATATATATATATATGTATGTTAATAAGAAACAGGCAAAAAAGAGGCAACACCAAATATATTTATATTTCTTATTATACGAGAGTCTAATTTCATATTGGGATTATCAGTGCCTTATAACAATTATCAGTGTTCAGGTTATAAACATTTAATAATAAGAAATACAAATAACAACAACAACACTTTAAATAACAAGATAACTGCAGATAGCAGTCCATAAAGGCCACTCTGATCACAATTACCCAAATCCTAAATAATTCTCATAATTTTACTAGACATAAAAAAAAGCTTAATTTTGTTGCTGTTGACTTCTTTTTAGTAATTTATAGCTTATTCAAATCTTAAAACATGGCAATAGAATGGTTACCATTCTATGGGACATGAAAAAACTAATTCAGTTTGCTACATAAGTCATTTTAATAAAAAAATGAGTTAGGCGGGATTAGTATTTATATGACAATTTATAGATAAATTAATATAAAAATTAAATTTATATTTGTTCTTTCTCATATTGAATGTTTATTTCTAGGGGCCAATTTCCTTTATGAACTTGAGAACAACTATCATAAAAGTTCATGTGCTGAAACCTATTATCAATGTAATTTGCAATCTACAAAATCAAATATGTTATTGGAGTTATTTGTTCAAATCATCAGTGAACCTTGTTTTAGTGTTTTGAGGACCAAGGTAATGAGGACAAGTATATGTGTCATATCGTATTTCCACATGTGAAAGTAGAATCAAATATTAATTTATTATTTTGCTCTTTTCAGGAACAACTAGGTTATATAGTTTTTAGTGGAGTGAGGCGTTCAAATGGAACTCAAGGCTTACGAATTATTGTTCAGTCTGACAAACATCCTATATATGTTGATGAAAGAGTTGAAGCATTTTTGGCATCTATGGGTGTAAGTTAACATTTAATTTTCTATTTATACTTCTACTACTAACTGCAGGAAATTGTCCATTTTTCAGAATAACCATGACAAATTTTTCTCTATGTTAAAATGTTCTTTTATTCAAATAAATAACAAAGATGTACTAATAAAAAAAAAGAGTGTGTGTAATCTTTATGCACAGTTGAAATGAAACTTTTGTGATCTTATTGCATATTTTATAACTAGACAAAATAAATAAGTCATATTATAATTTAATTTGTTTTGAATATATTCAAAGTGGGCAACATAAAGTTATACACTTATCTAATAATTATAAACACATACAATTCCCTTTTTTTATCACTTAACAATGTGTTGTTGGTGTCTTTTATTACTAAATATTAATTTTTGAAATTAATTTATTATATTTCTTGTAATATCTTCTGGTATGATTTTAGCAATAAATTTAAATAACTGTTTTCCTTGATTTTAGGAACATATTTCATCTATGAGTGATACAGACTTTGAAACTCACAAGGAAGCTCTTGCTGCTCAAAGATTAGAAAAACCAAAACAAATGTTAAATCAGTCTGCTATTTATTGGGCTGAAATCACTTCGCAACAATACAACTTCGATAGGGCAAATATAGAAGTGGCATACTTGAAGACTATAACAAAAAATGATATAATAAATTTTTATAACGTCAGTTAATTAATGAATACTATTTAAATTAAAACAAATGATTAAATAAAAAACTAGTTTTCTATTTTTTACTGTTTTATTGCAGGATCTTTTGCGTATTGATGCTCCTCAGAGGCATAAACTTTCTGTTCATGTTGTGTCTAAGGCTGAAGGGGGAGCTGGCACTATTCCTGGCGAGTATGATACTAAAGATTCCGAAGGAGAAAATCAGGTTAATATAACATTTCTTTTTTCCCTTTTTATGCAATATTTATGCTCACAATAATTTTTATTCTTATTATTTTTCCATTGTTTATTTAATTTTTTTTCTTTTTACAGCCTCTGAAGATTGAAAATATAACTAAGTTCAAGAGTACTCAAAGTTTATTTCCTCTTTTACAACCTTATATAAATTTAAAGTTAAATGGTACCAAAGCCAAGCTGTAATTTAAATGTAAAATAAATTTATTTGGTACTTAAATTAAAATATAATATTGAATGAATATTAGATACTAGACCCTTTCAATAAGCAATTTATTTAGCAATCTCCTTAAATACCTTTTTTTATTACTGAAAGTAATAGAGAGGTATTACATTTTTTCTTTAGTCTCTGCTATCTTTTTTTTCAATGTTATTTTATGCTCCGCCTATTAATTTGTGTCATATTTGTATAAGTTTGTGTGTCATATTTTTATTGAAGTTTTAATTTTGGATGAAATATGTAGCTATTTAACCATTAAGTAATTAATGAAATTGGTGATTTATATTTTCATTTTAGTTATGAAATAATGTTTATTTTTATTATAATTTTAAATAGGGTATTACAGATTGAATTTATTAACAGTCAGGTTAAAACAAACCGATTTTAATATTTTCCTATACTCTTTTTTTTGTTTATGAATATAAAAATAATATCTATTTTTAACCAGAAGGAAGAAGGTAGGAAATTTATTCTGACATTTATTGTCACAAAAAATGTTTCCCAGAATATCTCTAGATCTTTTACTGTAGCTAGTAACAGTTTGGAATGGGCTTTAAAATATTCCTGTGTTTAATTTTCATGCTGCTATGCCATGTATTTAGTATGAACTTAACATCTAATGCAAAACTTGATATATCAAATAGAGGCTATAATGACTCATTTGTCAATAAGTCAGTTAATTTTAAAGAAAATGATTTAATCGAAACCTCTTGCCATGTTAAGACAGAGGAATTGGTTGCAATTGCTAAAGTGAGTGTTTCTAGTGCATTGGAAAATATATGCAATTATAGTAAGTAAACTATTTAATTATTAATTAAAAAAAAATAGTTGGATTGTATATCCATTGCTATCATGATTCATTGGTTTAATTTATTTGTAATACTGCTTTCATTTTGCATTTTAGGCAAAGTTATTAGCAGTATCAATGAAATGGATCAACGTATTAAAAATGAATTCGAAATTCTTAAAAATATGTTATATACCATTACTAATAAAATATTTCTCCTAGAACAGAAAGTCAACAATAATTACTGGAAAGGGTCTGCAAATTAAATATCTGTATAATGTTTGTAAGGTCATTTGTAACAAATTCCATCTATCATTTTTAAAAAATGTAAATATTTTTATATTGCGATTACATTTAGTAAATTAGGTTTCTTCAAGCTGTATTTTATTTATTTACAATAAATAATTGATTATAAAATGTTTATTTATTTTATTACATCAACTGAGTTTTCACTTTTGTTATTATATTAGTAAATCTGTTGGTATTGACTGTTGCCGTGGTAGCATGTAGTGGTGTGGATGTAAACAGTGCCAGGGGTTAGCCTACACTTATTTTCACCGCATCTTTTGGACTGTTTAAGTTAAGTTTTAAGGATTTGTTTGTGTAAATAAAAGTTATTTAAGTAATAAGATCTTTGAGGTATGGATAATCTAATAGGGAAGCATGATATTATTGAAAACTTGCAATCCAGATTGTCTTTAATGACTCAGGTATTTATAATATATTCATTTTCATTTTTCCGATCAATTGAATATTGTTGAAATGGTTAATTTATGGCAAGTACTTGTAGGAAAGAGATACTGCCATAGAAATGTGGAAATTGGCTGAAGCAGTTGCTAATAATGTGAAAGATGAAATGAAAGCAAATCCTGCATCTAATAGAATTGAGTCATTAAAAAAGGAAATGGAAACAGTTAGTATAATCTGTATGCAATTTATTTGAATTTTAAAAATGTTAAAATAAAAACCATTTTAATTATTTTAGTATTTAAATAAAATAGGAAAATAATTCAATGGAGATATTGTCTTGTTTTTTCTACAGTGTTGAAAACAATGTTATGATTTCAATTTTAATTAACACTATCCTTTAAACTTTAATATAAGAGTAATTTAGATAAGATTTGATTATTCCAGAAAATCAACAACAAAGGTGATATTTGTCCACTGTCGATTAGAATAATTAAATTGATCTATCCGATGTTTATAATTTACTCACATTAGGACAAGATGATAAACATCCACTACATGAATACTCCTGTATTTGTAGAAGAATAAATTATATTTGAAACAATTTAAAATTATCCTAAAGAATAAATTGTTTTGGCATTTATGACATGGCTGCTGTAAAAAGGAGGCGAAATCTCCAGGGATTTTAAGTAAGAGTCAACTAATAATAATAAAAAAACTAAAATGTTTGTTGGTCAAATATATGATAATAATGAGAACATTTTACTGTTTATTATTATTATTCTATAATGAAAAATAATATACATTTTATGTATATAGTTCTTAGTTTAAAGAGAAAATAGACATTTTATTTTCTCTTTTATATCAGTCTGGCATTGAATTGCGAATGGACTATTCAAAATGTCACAGAAAAGATGGCAACAAAAGTGGTGTTATTTATGTAATTATCATTAACCAATGGTATCAATATTAAGTATTATTACAATGTAGTTGTAGGTTTTGTTTCAATACTGTCTTGATTCATATAGTAATATTATCAACAAAAACAAAACATGAAATGGTGGTAGATGGCCTGATGAATAATTTTCCAGGAAAGTCGGCAGTCCTGCTTTATGTCATGTCAGATCAGTTTTGTTTTGATAAAATCATAATTTGGTCATAAAAGTATTCAGTAATAAATATATTGTGAAACAATAACATTTTATTTGTTTGGTTTTTTCCACTGTTGGTTCAAGATTAATGATGTTAATAACGATGACAAAATTTAAGGTGAATTTTCAGAAGACTTTATGCATTCATTATTATAAATTATGCTAATTAATTAATGTAGTGTAGAATTTTATTAATATATAAAGGCACATATTGATGAATTTTTGATTTCCTATAAACATTAATATTCAATTAATGTCAATCAATATCCAGTTTGTTTTTAATGAAAATTCTTTGCATTTAGATGGAACATTTAAAAATTGTCTCTGATTCAGTTGTTTTATCAACAGACTAAAATTAATTATTTTCATACAATTTGTAGTTTATTTTATTTATTCCTAAAGGATGGTAGGCTCCCTCAGGCAGCTTCCCAGTTTGCCTGATCAAAAACAAAAATTATCAACAAAGTGAAATTGCATATTTAAGTAAAGTTTTTCAATTAAGTTTAATAATTAAATTTAAATGTAAGCTTTTAAAAGTTTGAAAAAAGTATTTAAAAGCCATCTAATCAAGGCAATGACATTGTTAAAAAACTATTTCATTGTACTTGTGTTAAAGAAGTGAAGTATAAAGATATTCCATGGATGTGTAAAAGATATGTTCATAACTATAAATACATTTACTGTAGTTTAATAATTCTAGATCTGATATTTCTAAATAATTAGATATCAACTTTCGTTTATTCCAAAAAATCGTCATGTAATCTTTCAGAAAATTAAATTAGTGAATAAGTTGGTGAATTTCCCCTTTCTGAAGTCCATACATCATCCACTTAAAATTAATATGACAACTTTTGGACTATCTATGGTAGGCAATGAAGATCTCGTAATTTAATTTTAGTAAACTTTACAATAGAAAATAAGTTTAATAACTGATAGGCGTACAATCCATAATCATTTATAGGTTGAATATAGATTCAACAATCCATAATCATTTATAGGTTGAATATAGATTCAACCTATAAACGATTATGAATATAAAATCTGAGAAAGATTACAATAAATGGCCCTGCAGCTTGGAAATGTGTTCTCAAAGAACAAAAAAAAATAATCAGAATAATATATGATTTCGATTATAATCAGATTCCGGTCAAATCGGAGATCAAATAATTATTATCTTACTTCATGAAATCGTTCTCTACAGCAGCTATTTTAGGAAAAGATCAATACTTTCTAATGAGAAATATACAAATTATTATTGCGACCAGTATCCCATGGATTCTTCAAGGAGACTATAATTGCAATGAATCCAGATCTATTGGAACAGAATAAAAACTGGGTCCGGGAGAAAACCTGTATTTTCTTTTGCTCGAATAAAAGGTTGTTCCAAAGAATAAATGAAGTTCATATTTTTAAAATAAAATTTCCTCCATCATGTATTTCATCTGCGGGATTTATTTCAGTTCGCAGATGTAACGAACTGCGACAGGAGCATCTTCGCCGAAGCCTTCGCATCTCACAGCGGCCCAAAAACTACATCACTCTTTTCTTTGAATAGCTGGTTATTGCAACTTTTTCTGAATTTTTTGTCCGCCATCCAGGGGAAGGGTCATCCCCTTGCAGAATTCGCTAGTGCTCGTCACGATAATATTTTTTTTTATATATTACATTAAAAAATTCGTCTATGAGGATGAATTTTTCCTATATTTCTCTTTTCATTAAACAGATATTAAAATATTAGTTTTCGAAAGGCAGGTCCTTTGGAGGAAATTTGGCCCAGTTAAGGAGAATGGTGAATGGAGAATTAGACGCAACCAAGAACTAGCCAACTTATACAAGGAACCGAATGTGGTGAAATATATCCGGATATATCCGGATAGCAAGGCTAAGATCGAAGGGCCAAGTTGTACGGATGGACGAGACCTCAATCCCAAAAAAGCTGCTGAGCATGGAGCCGGTTGGATAAAGAAAAGTGGACAGACAGAAACTGAGATAGAAAATGGCATTAAGTGCTGATGCCAGAATCCATGGAATCGAGAACTGGTGGAGACTGCTCAGGAAAGGAAAACATGGAGGAAAACTCTTGAGGCACCCAATATCCAGTAATGGCTTTTCGAGCTCAAGGATGATGATATTGATCACATTATCAAAATCGTCTTAGGTGTGATTTTCCTATATTTCTCTTTTCTTTAAATGGCTGTTTTTTTAATGCTTTTTTTCGGAATTATTTTTCTATCATCCAGAGGGGAACGCGCCTCTTGGCAGAAATTATTAGTGCTGGCTATGATAATAAGTTTTTTTTGTAATATTACATTAAAAATTGGTCTATGAGGATGATTTTTTCCTCTATTTCTCTTTTCTTTAAATAGCTGGTTTTTGGAACTTTTCCCCAACTATCCAGGGGAGAAAAGGGCGCCCCTTTGCTAGATCCGCTGGTCTTGGTCACGATAATATTTTTTTTTATATTACAGAAAATTCGTCTTAGAAGATGAATTTTCCCTACATTTTTCTTTTCTTTAAATAGGTATTTTTTTTTCACCATCCAAGGGAGAGCTCACCCTTGGCAGAATTCGCTAGTGCTAGTCACGATAGAATATTTTTTTGTATTACATCAGGAAATTCGTATATGAGAATTAATTTTTACTACATTTCTTTTTTCTTTAAATAGGTGTTTTTGTCACTTTTTCGGAATTTTCCCCATCCACGGGGATTCCGTGCAGAATCCGCTAGTGCTGGTCATGATAATATTTTTTTTTACATTACGTTAGGATATTCATCGTTTATGAGGATGAATTTTCCTTATATTTCCCATTCTCTTAAATAGCTGCTTTTTGGAATATTTTTCCAGCTCGCAGGGAAGGGGGGCAGAAAGAGGGGGGCGCGCTCCCCGTCTGGATTCGCTAGTATGTATGTATTATATAGTTATTTATATATTATATATTATTTTTATATATATATATATATATATATATATATATATATATATATATATATATATATATATATATGAGTATATATATATATGAGTATATATATATATATATGAGTATATATATATATATATATATATATATATATATATATATATATATATATATATATGAGGTTTTTATTTTATAACATTGATATAATTAATAAAGTTTTTGTTATTTTAGTGGTCTTAATGATTTGTTAGCTGTGAGCTTAAGCTATAGCTCCGTTAAAAGTTTACTTAAAAAATTTTATAATTGCTCAACATTGACAGAAAATAATTTCTATTCAAAGTAGGGCGGTAAATAAAAGTTGTGTGTTCCGCGCATCAGATTTTTAGCTTCACTTACCAATATATGAAATATATAGTAAGAGAAATTATTTTGATCATGAAAAATTTTAGATCTGAGTTCTCAAGACTCATACAAGTTTTGAGGCCCCATGAGCGCAGGTGGATCTACAGGAGAGGGGGGGAGGGCTTTCGGGCTGAAGCCTCTCCCAAAATGGTAAAATTTAACCATGTTTTACAGAAAAAAATATTAAACACTATCTCTTAAAGTATTCTTGTTCCTGTAATTACATTTAATGGAATTTCAGAAACCACTTAAACACCATTTCATATAGGTAGGTAGTTTCTTTCTTTTTTTTTCAAATTAATTATCGTTTTATGTATAAAACAAATCTTTCAGGCTGAAGTCCCACCCTTAAATTAAATCCTGGATCCGCTAGTGCCCATGAGTCCAACCAACAATCTTGCAAGATTCTGTGTCTGTATGTGAACAGTCAAGCTAAAAACGAAAAATTGTAAGAAACTGAAATTTTGTATTAAAGGTTTGTATATGGCTGGGATGTAAAAGCAATTTTTTCTCCAAAAGAGGCTAACCGGAAGAGGCACTTCATATTGCCACCGATTAATCGATTTTTACAATTCTCTTGGAAATAGTTTTAATGATTTTGATTAAATTCATTATATCAGTGTAAAGTTAAGGAGTTTTTAATATAATGTAGGTTTTATTAGCATTGATTTTTTTTAACTGGGCTTAAATATCTAATTTTCAATATTTCTTTTTCTAAATAATCCTCAATTTTTTATATTTGAAATAATCAATTACTATAATCAATTAAATGGTTAAATATAAAACATGAACGATTTTGATAAATAAATAAAGGATATATGTTTAGGAAAAGATATCCTAATAGAGAACCAAAGAAAAACAGAGCTTGGCCGAAAGATTAGAATCAGCCTTCCATAACATTATTTATTAAAATACGGGCTCCGATGACATTATATATATATATATATTCATAACCTCAATGAATGACCAACATACAGAAATAGACTAGCGTATAACTAGCGCAAACAGAGCTATTTCTCCCTTGCAAAGGTATTTAAATCCCAAGAAATCTCAAACTAAGGGTGTGCAATGTTATGATAAAGCCAGTTATAATATATGGCTAGGAGACCTCGACACTAACTAGCATCCTAGGAAAAAGTGTTGAAAGATTTGAGAGGAAAATCCAATGCACAATGACCGGAAATATCTGGGATTAGAGTATTAACACGTGGAGAAGAAAGACTAATAAGGAACTGCTTACTGAAATTGGTCAATCAATATTCCATGATATGAAGGCACGGAGATTAAGATGGGCAGGGCATGAAGCTCATAGCAATCCATCTGGAAGCCTCTATGTAACAATGAATGCCTCAATAGAAGGCAAAAGTCCACATAGAAGGCCAAAAAGCAGAATCAGGGTTATTAAGGCGCCAAAAGATCCAAATGATCTGTAATGCCAACAGAAAAAAAATAATTATATATACATGTGCGGTTTTCATAAATGCATAGCACTCTATAAGTGGTTAACTTTGTGATATCACTGAAGAAGAATCAAATTATTCACTGATTTAATTTTCTAAAATGTTACTCAATGATTTTACGGAATAAAGCGACAAGATATATGTCATTTTAGTGATATTTATAATTGAAAAAGTTATATCTATAGAGACAGTGAGTAAGTGATTGCAGTGTTGAAATATAGAACTGTGAATAAAGGTATACATTTTGCCACTAGAAACATCACTAAAATCAATAATGAAGAATATTGAAATTGGAGTTAGTCATTCTGTCAACTGAAAGGCTTAAGAGATTTGAAAGTACATCTGAATATTTAATCAGTGATGGGCAAATGCTACTCTGAGTACTAAGTACCAAGTATTTTACTCACATTGAATCACTATAGAGAATTCAATCACTACCTTAATTAATCGTTTGACATCAACTGAAGTAGTTATTAAATTATTTGGTACGCAAAAAGGTTTGGTATTTGAGTAAAATACTTGTACTCAGTACTCATAGTAGCATTTGTCCATCTCTGTATTTAACCTATAAATGATTATGAATTGTAGGACTATTAGTTGTTAAACTGTTATTTTCCATTGTAAAGTTTACTAAAATGAAATTACGTGATTTTCATTGCTGCCTGTCATGGATAGATCAAAATTTGTTACACTGATTGTAAGTGAATGATGTTGGGATTTTAGAAAGGGAAAATTCATCAAATTATTCACTAATTTAATTTTCTAAAAGGTGGACTTGATGATTTTTCGGAATAAATGGCCAATAGATACCTAATTATTTAAATATAGTATCTGATCTAGAAATATTAAACTACAGTAAATGTATTTAACGTAAATGTAAAATCGATAATATAAAGTGACACTTCCGGTTAACTGATTTTGAAGAAATTGCTATAAGATTCTAGGGATATACCGACTTTAAACATATAATTTTAGTTTTGTACGATTTTCCGTTTTTGAGATAGTCTGTTCGCATACACACACATATATAGATCTTTTTGTGAGACTTGGTTGGTTGTTTGGACTCATTATTTCATTTTATTGTTTGTTGCATAGCCATTGTTGAAAGTCAAAAAAGATATTCTATCTCAGTTTTACCTTAAACAAATCCTTGAGGTAAGATATGAATTTCTCATATCTTTTTTTGTGTTTCTGTACATCCTATCCACCATTATCTTTAATATTGATATCTAACTATATTTATATCGACTCCTTATTCCTCTAATAAGGGTGTTGTTTTAAACAGACTCTCTGGACAGAAGAAAATATTTTCATATATTATGAATTTTAATTATTAATTATTAATATTATCCTTACCTTACCCTGAGAGTGAATGCTTGGAAGCGATCAAATAACCATGAAGGTTTGGACTTTTTTGTGCTCTGCTCTTCAGGTCTTTTAATGTGTATAGACCTTCAGCTGAACCATTTAAACCTTACAGACAGTTATATAAATTAAAGAGACAACTTTATTGTAGATAGTTCATTTATATTTCAACTCGGGTCTACAATAGCTGGATTAAATTAACTGAATTTTTTTTCAGATGCAACAAGATTATTCTGATGCTATTAAGTTACTAGAATTCAAATTGAAAACTTTAGAGAAAGAATTAAAGGCTGCAAGAGAAAAAGCCAAATCATCTGAAGAGGAATTGATGGCATTACATTTGAAACGTAACTTTATTGAATTATTTGAAAATTATCATTAGTGACTCATTTTGGTGTGTCAGTGTATTAAAATAACTTTCTCAGTGGGAGAAAATATATTCTGTACATTTAACGTAGTAGATTAAATTTAAGATAAGATTAATAAAGGTCTGTTAATTAACAGACTAACTCTTGATAGCCAAGGATTCCAGAGTAACCAATTCTGAATGTCAGGAGTTTGATTCCCAGCTGATTAGTTGTTATTCATTTCTTGGTGGCTCTGAGAAATGAATCTTAACACTCCCACTCTGGTTAGTACTTCGTGGTAACTTGTAGGTAACCATCAGAGATTGGCACATAGCATTATAAATCCACTTGTCATACAAGTTCCTCCACCTGTAACAGATTTCACTCCAGAATGTCGAGCATAAATCTGTTCCAAACTGTGGAATGATGTAAGATTCTTTAGGACACTTTAGGAATTAAGACATTTTAGGTATGGTATATCATAGGTATGAATATTGAACAATATATTAATATACATTGTATCCATATTTTTAAATTATATTTTAATAGTAGTTTGATATATTAAATAAACTAGTGTTTGCCAAGTGGTCAAAATTCGACCATAATCATTATTGAACATGAATTTTCATGTTTCTGACATTTTTTTTTCTACTCTTACATGTATTTGTAGATTCACATTTATATGTACTTACAAAAGACAACAGTGTAGTACCATTTATGTATTTTTAAAGTTATTGACAAATGAAAATTTGAATCCATTGCACGAAAAAAGCAAAAAAAAAAAAAACATCAGGTTTTAAACATTAATAAATTGATACTTTTTTTAAAGAAAATTTTTCTTTAAAAAAACCCTTATAATTTTCCACAAAAAAATCAATTGAATTGAATAAGTAAGCAAAAAAATAAAAATAACAAGGATGGATCTTAAAAACTTAAGTAAATTGAGTATATCAATAAAAGTATTAAAATTTATAGTTAAAAAGACTTATTATCAAGAAATAATGAAAAGTAATTTAAATTGCTCATCTTAGAAAAAATGAAGAAATACATAATTGAATCAATAATGGCTGAAACCTAAAGAATAAATTATCTGAGATTATTTAAAATAAATTATTTGAAATCAATCTTTAAATAAATTCAGAAACTTTGAGGTACTTCTTCATTTAACCAATCTATGATTATGTTTTGGTTTGTATGGTTGTATCAATCAATTTTAAATTTAGAGATCAACCATAGTTTTTATAGTATATGTTTTTATATATTACTAAACTGTCTTTATTTTTATAATCAACCTTGTTTTTAGTTTCTTATATTGATGAAGAAAAAGGTGAGTTGGAGTGTACACTAAAGAAACTGAGATTGGAAAAAGAAGAAACAGAAAAATCTTTTAAGCTGAGTCAAAAAAAGTTGGATGAAGCAGGCTTAGTTGCAGCTCAAGCTAGGGATAAGGTTAAAGATGCTTTGGCAATGGCTCAAGATGCTTTAGCTAATGAAGCGAATCTTCTCGGTGAATATGATAGTTTTTGAAGTTTCTGTATTTTTTCTTTCTGTTATTTCACATAAAGGCCATACATAAAATTATTCATTTTGGTTGTTATAATTTTATAACTTAATATGCACCGTGTTTAAGGATTAAGTGGCCAAACTGAAAATATGAATCAAGGACTCCAAAACAAGAAAAAAATTTCCTCTGAAGGTATGTCCGCAAACACTTTGTTTAGGAGATATTCACACATAAAAATTTTCAATGTTATGAATTATTTACATTATATTAAGTAAATAAAACTTATTTATTTGTTCCAACTACTTTATTAATTAAACCCAGACTTTAAATTCGTATTAAATGTTGTTCAAAGTGATTTGGGCCGTTGTTCACAAAGTGAAAGGGCAAAAATACCATCAACGCTTGGTATTATATTAAATGTACCAGTTTCTCTAAGGAATTGAAACGTGGAGCTAAAGATAGACTTGTTTGGTAATCTTCTATTCCGAAATCGCCTGGCATATTCACGACAGGCAGCATTAGCATTACCATTGCAAAAACCATATACAAAAACCATATCGGCATTTTTACCATTAGTATAAATGGAAGGCATAATGATGAGTACTCTGAAAAAGCCTCTTACAAACAGGTAAATATTATTGAGAGTTCCCAATGCTAATGGTTTTGATTCAGTTAGAGATAAAAGGCCATATTAGTATTCTATCTAATATCTCCTAAGCAAAGCGTTTGCAGACATACCTTCACTTTTAACATTTAATATGAATGTTAATGTTTACATTTAATCAATAAAGTAGTTAGAACAAAGAAATAGGTTTTATTTAATTAATATAACATAAATAATTCATAACAACGAAAATCTTTAGGTGTGAATATCTCCTAAACAAAGCGTTTGCACACATACCTTCAAAGGAAATTTTTTTCTTGTTTTGAGGTCCTTAGTTAATTTTTGCAGTTTGGCCACTTAACCTTGAAACACCCTGTTTAGGTATATTTTATACTGAGACCAAATTGATTAAAATACATGTTTTATTTATTTTCAATTTATAAAAATAAAACAATATAAAATTATACTTGTTGAATGAATAAAAAAACGAAACACTAAACACAACTTTCAATTCCATCTAACTTTAGTAGAAATAGGTGTTTTCATATACGGGTGTCTCAGTTCTTAATGGTCGAACTCTGAGGGATGATTCAAGACAAAATTTCCAAAAAAAAACTTCATAAAATGTACAATCAACAATTTACCATCATAACGCATGGTCCATTTAATCTCCATGATGCATACCCATTTAATCTGTTAAATATGTTCGTTTTTCGTCACTGTCAATTTATTTCTATGACTATATATTTTAATTATATTTGTATATTTAATTACACTTTTTTTTTTGTCCAATAAGAGTGCCTTAGATTTTTTTTATTCTGAGAAGGGTGCCAGTGCCAAAAATGTTTGAGAACTGGTGAGTTATAATTTTGCACATAGGCGGAAAATCTCATTATCATTAAAAGTATTTGTGTAGTATATTCATAGATAAAAATTTTAATTTTTATTCTGTCATAATCAATATAATTTAATATAGTACCACTGGATCCTGCACATTTCTCATCATTATGCATATTTATATTCTGAAGCAATCGTTCCTCTTGGCCATTCTCACTTTCCTGGATTCATGGAGTGACTGCTCCTTGTTTCTTCTTTAACTAATTATCAAATTGTGTAATAGTTAATCTTTAACCATTTTTTATTACCAGTTACAATAGGAAACTGAAATATTATTATTATAAAAAATTAAGTGTAGTAATGTATAGTATTTTAAATTTGTATTCATAAATTTTTTTAGATGAGAAAGAAAAACTTGAAAAAAGATTGAGTGAAGTGGTTGATGAAATGGAATCACGGCTTGAAAAAGAGATAGATAATGTTAAATCAGGTTTAAATGGACGGATTGAAGCTTTATCTAATCAGTTACAGGCTGCTATAGCTGTGAGCATTTGTACATTGAAATGTAGATTATAAGTAGATTTCAGTGGATGAAAATTTATGACTGGTTTTTATTTTATGAGAGATGAGAAGGGAAAAATTAGAGGGGAAGAAGAACTCACCTATTGTGGGTTCTATTTCCACCTGGGTTCATTATATGTAATATTATTATATAGCGGCAACCTCTTGGTAGCCATTAGGGATTGGCAAAAAGAATCTCAAGACTAACCAACAGGCCTTAAAGAAATACTTAGACATCATTTTATATAGCTTCTTCCTGTTTTCTCTTCCAGAGTTATTATCATTATAATAAAAAAAAAAACTCAAAATAAAATCTTCCAGTGGCTTTATGCACTATTTATTTACCAATAAAAGATACATCTCTCGGACTGGATTTTGTTATTTCTTCATGAAATTCGATTTCTTTTGACACATCATTTCTCAAAATCCTTTGCTGCTGAGAAGTGGAAAAGAGGCTTATACTGCATATAACAGACTCAAAGCAATAATGACTCAGTAGAGTAGACACCTATACTGTTGAAATATTGAAAATCACACATACCTTCATTACTAATTTCTAATCATTGGGAGATTACCAATTTAGTTCTGAGTAAGTCGCCTAGATTAAAAATGTTATTACTCAGTGGACGCAGAATTCAATGCTCTAAAACTTTGATTCTATGGGTTTTTCCTCTTAGGGAACTCAATTCCAACATACAGGGTCATTTATAGTAATTTGTTTCAGTTTTTGACAATTTTGATAAAAATCAACATTGGTTGGCTATGGTTTTCTACCATAACACTAACCCAAAATATTAAGTTTAGGTGCGCATTCCATGCAAAATTTAATGTTCTTTAATTTCTTAAAGGGTACATTTTTCATTTCGATGCATAATTTAGAAGTTATATGTGAAAAAACGAAAAAAAGATCAAAAAAATCTGGCAGAAATTTCGTTTTTTGCATGTATAAATATAAATCCATATATACAAGTTAAAAAAATAAAAAAATTTCCCACCTTTTTCACAATGAATTTCTTGTTTCGATTCTCAAGTTACGGTCCTAATATTCTTTAAATCAGCCGCCATTTTTGAAAGCAGCAGCTCTGGAATGGCAGACAAGGTTCATTTTACTTAGAGTAATATACACTTCTGTAATTTACATTTAAACCTTCACCTGCGATGAGGTCGATTTTTGGACCTTGGCGCCAGGGCTATATGTCTCTGTCAGCAGCGAAGCATCTCTACCACTTTAAATCCATATCCTTCAGGTTGCCTTCCACATCATCCAATCATCTCAGCCAAGACTTTCCCAACCTTCTTACATCATCTCGCTTTCTATAAAGAAGTTTTCTTGACCTTCTTGTACATCCTTTCCACATGGCCCAACCATCACAGTCTATAGAGTTTAGTGACTCTAACAATATCTTGCTCACTATAAAGCTCTTTTAGCTCTAGGTTACACCTAATTCTCCGTTAATCCTCCACTTTGATTGGTCCAGACATTTTTCGGAGTACTTTTATACATGGAGCATTCTTTTGCTCTCTTTTGTCTTGGCCCATGTCATGCCTCCTTGTGTCACAATAGGCCTCAGAATAATTTTATATTATAGTGTTTGCCTTTCTGGAGAGATTTTTGGAATTCAGCAGCTCCTGTACATTGTACAGACATCGATTCCCTGCAGCTATAAGGGCTTTAATATCTCTCTCTCTACTTGGTTCTTGCAGGTGATCGTGCTACCTAGGTACTTGAATTTGTCATAGCTCTTGAATCTTCAATTCTTTATCTTTATTATCTACATAAAATTCATTAATTACATCACTTGTAAACTTTTTTTTTTTAATGTTTCAGGAACATTATCCAGTTTTAAATAAGACTTAAGTTTACTTTTTCTAGATATAAATGTTTTTGCATTTAATAAAACACTCATTAATGTATAATTTAGGAACTAAGTATTGTTTTGTTGTTAAATAGGAAAAAAATAAATTAGGACTAGAATATGAAAGCATGAAAGCAGAATATAACTTAAAATGTCAAGAAGCTTCTCTTAAGTATAGTTCTTTTGATCAGGAACTACAGGAACTAAGAAGCAGGTGATTCATGTTTCTTAAACAGAAATGTTTCAATTCTTTAATTATTTTCTATTAATTCTTTATTATTTCTGAAGGAGACAAAGTGAGATAAACCAATGGAGTGAGGAAAGAGATGTTTTAAGAAAGCAACTTATTGCATTACAAACAGAGCTTGAGCATGCATTAATTAAAATAAGGTGAGGTAAATCTCTTTTACCATTTAGAATAAGATATTTTTATTGTGTAAATTATTTCATAGAAAAATTATGGGTTAATTGCAGAAATTTGAATACCATCAAAATGTTAATTGGAAATTACCTATATGGGCCCCAACAATTGAATATTGTACATTTAGTAGTTTAGTTTTGGATCCCACAGTGAAAAAAATCAATAAAATGGTCATTGGTTGAAGAAAATTTGATTGTATTTGTAGTTTTAAGTCGTTGTAGATAGGATCTCTTCTCCTTTCCTTAAAGTGCTATTGACATAAGGGATTTATTATTATGTACTTCAGTATTATTTAATTTTTCAAAAACTGAAAATACTTTATTTATTTATTGTACTGTATCATATTATTTCCGTTTATTTGGGAACTAAATATTAACATTTGTTTTGTAATTATCTTTCTGGGATCATTTTTGATAATGTAGCAGTTAGCTGAAGTTGATTTATATCTTTAGATTTGTATATCATTCTTAAGAAATGTGTATATCACTTTAAGAATTCTGATGAGTGGCTGCAGAATTATGGAATCTAAAATATAATAAAAATATGAAATTTCAAGGGCTGGTTAAATGATTTTAAAATTTTTTTTCTTATTTATTTTCAGACAATGTGATGTTTCCCACTGCCCGAACTGTATAGATATGAAAAAGCATCTTGACAAATATAGGTTATTGGCAAAAGAGTAAGTATTTATTTTATTATTTTAATCAAAACTAAGGGGTTGAATCGACTATCTAATTTTAAGCAATTCCAGTTGGCTCTTATTGATAATGTAATCCCTGTCAGGGCTGAAAATGCTTTAGCATGAATGTTTAAGTCATATGATTGGGAGACATTTCTTTTTTTTTTGTAGATTTACTTTTTATGTAGTACTGATTCCGTCATATTATATATATATATATATATATATATATATATATATATATATATATATATATATAATATATATATATATAATTCACTAGTTTAGGGAAAAGAAAATGGCTGCTATGTAGTTTCCCCAGAAAGGAAAACCCCAAGGAAAACCCCAAAGAGGTGAGAGGACTAAAGATTTTGTTTTGGCAAGCAGTTGGTGTTAGTCTTTTAAATCCCTGCCCACACCCCCTGGGCCCGGGAAAACCCTGTATAGCCTTAAAGGCGAGGAAGGGCAGGACCCAAAAAAAAAAAAAGTTGGTGTTTGGCCTGGGGTGAAGAGAGGGAGAAGGGATCCTGGCTTCAGTGGGTAAAACCCAGTAATAGTATTAGCATCTTGGAGTTGTTTGGCAGAGAGACTAGTTGTTTGAATTCATAAGAAAGAGGATCTCCCAGGGAGCTTGAGTTGAGCAGAAGAAAGTGTCATCATTTTGGAAGATGTGTTTGGCAGAATATAGGAAAATGTTAGAAGAAAAATGAATTTAGTGCAACAAAGGAAGAAACTATATATATAGAAAAAAATTAGCTTACCAATCCATACTTGACTTTATTTTAAAATCAAGCAATGTTTTGTGTAGTTAATATTAGAGGAAGGAGATGGTCGGAGTGGCGGTCAAAATTAGACTAAAATAGTGGTTATTTCAAGCTAACATTTCGACCTGACTTTGCAGTTCTTCTTCAGAGAGGTGTATTCAGCAAGGTCCTTGCTGGTAGTTAATATTAGTTTGCCTGAGTGTTTTGATCTGATTGTCAGGAACCCCCACCTGAGATAAATAAATATATTAATACTCTTATAATTTTGTTTATTATTTAACTACCTCTTATTTCTTTTGGAAGTATTCCAATAGTATTAAAGTGATCTTCCATGAGGTATATTACTAGTTACAAATATAAGAGAAATATTACAATATTTATAAAAAAAATAAATTTTCAATTTTCAATGAAATTTGAACTTAGATAGTGATTTAATCGGGGAGCGGGGTAGCTCAGTGGGTGAGCACTGACTTCCAGAGCTCAAGGTCCTAGGTTCGAATTCGGCTAATGACTAGTAATTTTTCATTAGCCGTGGATCGACCCTGAGATCAGGAGACCCTCCTGGGGCACACCGCTGGGTTTATAGATGCTACTCTATAAAGTGAGTACCCTTAATTAAAAAAAATAATTAAGGGGGAAAACCTGGCGGTTGAGCGTGATATTGGCCCGTCACCTCCTTACATAACCCTTGGCCTTGTACTTCAGTACTTCCTCACATAGTACTGAACCCAAGACCCTTCATGGGCTGTAGTGGTACAGGATTTTTTTTTTTTGTTATTTAATCCCTATTTCACTTGATTTAGATATATATAATGGCACCCTTTGAGTTGACTGAAATTCTGAAAACAATAAGCAGTTAAAATAACACAGTATTTAGAAACGCTTATGAGTTAAAATTTTGTAAAACGATTTATTGTAATGAAATTAGAGGAGAAATTAAAGGGAACCACAAATACACAGGTGCAAAATATTTGGCATGGGAAGGAAAGAACTGAAAAGAAGAGAGATTCTCAGATGTGACTTTTCTAGATTTTGAAGAAAATTTTTCAGGCAAATATAACCCTCAAAATATTGGCAAAATACAAATATTAGGGGCCAACATTTCCCTGGTGTTCTGGAAAAAAATTGAAAACCTGCATTGCAAGAGTGAAACATTTTTTATTTTATATTTGTTTTTGATGTTGGCAAGAAAATAATTTTAATACTAAAATGTTCCTCTTGCAATAGAGAAAAATAAATTGATAAGTAAACCATCAAAATAATCATGTATTAAGCTCAGTAACAATTCTTAAAATACGAAAAATAGTTATTTTTTTGGGGGGAGAGGAATTTTCGTTTGTTTAAACATTGAGCTTAGATTCTGATTTTTCACTGAAAGAAACAGTTTATAAATAATTTTTATGAAAATCACTAACAAAAAAAAAAAATAACAGAAAATTGGTTAGTTTTTTTTTCCTTTTAGTTTTTTCAAAATTGTTTTAAAAGTTTTTCCTACTTCACATGTTCAGTGAAGGAGCCTGAAATTGGTACCAAAATGTATGGCATTCAACTCAGTAAAAATACGTTTCAAAGAACGTTACAAATAAAGTGACGACATTTTAACAAGAAATGACATAAATAAATTTTTAAATAATTTTATTATTTCATTGTAAAAAAAAAAAAAACTAAAAAGTAGCCGAACTTCAAATAATTTTGAAACATTGCTCCTTAGCTTAATGAAAAAACAAAAAAGTAAGGTCTATATTTTTATGCAATTGTATATTTTATTTGCATGCAGTATTTAAACATCCGATCAATTATCGATATTAATAAATATAATATGAATCAGTATCAAGATGTAATTAGTCAAATTTTATAATTCATATTTGATGATAAATGTACACAATTGCATATTTTGATTATTTAAAATAAAAAATGAATAAAAATGGAATGTTGAAGATGGAATTCCGTAGTGCAATTGTTGGTCGATTTTCAATAAACAAATAATGAAGAAATAAGGCTACCTTCAATTATTGACTTCTTAGAATATGCATTTTTCCATTTCCTGGTTTTTGTATCTCTCCTTCTCATTTGTTTCAATTTTTAAACACCAAACTCAGTTTCAATGTCTTACTTTTTTTATAAGCGGTTATATTTTTTATAAATTTGAGTGGATCATTTTCTTCAAAATTGGAATATTAGATTGATACTTACAATTCCAAAGATGAAACTGCTTTTAAAATTCATTGAAAGGTTCATTTTCACATTTATTATTCAAAACAAGTTATTTTTTTCATGTTGTCAATTTATTTTTATTTAAAATATTGCTAGTTTTCTTTTATTGCTAATTTTAAACTGTATTGTTTCAATGCTTAATAAATATCTCATATTATATTTTTAATTATGTGTTAATTTGTTTTTTGGCTATTTCAACGTTTATTTATGTTTTTTAACTTTTTTTAAATATTGTGAATTAATTATAATTTACATAGAACTATCTGTGTATAGCTAGTTTTATTTGTTGCTAATTGAAACCTTGTAATACTTCGAAATGGTTTTGATGGTTTTATATTGCATATCATTTGACATATTTTGTGGAGTTTTCTTGTATACAAATCCAGCCCCTGATGTAAATTAAAATCATTAAAAAATTTGACAACAATTATATGACAAATGGAGCATACATCACAAGGTAATAAATACATTTGTGAAATTAAATGAGTCTAACTTATAATTAATATAAAGTAGGCATTTCAGAATTCAAATTGTAATGAAATAATAGCTCTGAGGATGGGAGAAAATCCTAAAACGTCAGCAATGATGAGATAAAATATAACATTAAATTATAATGGAAGTATTAATAATTTACTTAAATTTCCCAACTATTGAGTTGTCCGGAAAATAATGATGGATTTTAATTTAAAAAGAAAGATTTAAAACTGTTTTATTTAATAAAAATAGTTTCCACTACTATCAATACAATTCTGCCAATGTGTTCCATTCCCTCGGATTGGAATTTCCCATCTTTAGAATTGATATTTCCATTTTCTAATTCCCTTAGCCCATTACATTTTTTGTCACATAAGTAGTGATCAAGGTGTCTAAAATAATTAATAAAGGTTTCGTGACATCACATGTGAGACATGTGACCGGCCATTGTCATGCAACAAAATGGGCCCCTTCCTATTGACCAAAGATGGCTGCATTATTGCCAATTTCCGATGTATTGCGTTAATTTGGTTATAATACGCTTCAAGATCGATGATTTCTTCAGGATTTAAGAAGCTGTAGTATATAAAACCAAATGAAGCCCACCAAACAGCAGTTGGCAGTTCACCTCACCATTACCAGTACTAGTATCAGTGCATAAAAACGATTGTAATATATATATATATATATATATATATATATATATATATATATATATATATAATATATATATATATATATATATATATATATATATATATATATATATATATATATATATATATATATATTATATTATATTTATCATGAAAAGCTTCTTTTTTTTTTTTACTTGTTAGTTATGTGTTTCTAATAGACAACTAATAATGTTTTTATTTATATTTAGGTGGGAAGAAGCAGCTTACAGTGTTACAAAGGAGTTTGAAAAGTACAATATGGAAGTTAAAAAGTTTAAATCAGATCACAAATGCAGTTTACATATATAAAAAATAAGGTTTAATTTTATATTTAAATAATATTTTACTTCATTAGGTCATAGGTTTTATTTGACCTATGGTAAAGCATACTTAATAAGTGCTGATTTATTCAACAACCTGGAAGCAAAATTGTAATTAATATAGCATATAATTACATATGAAAACAAATATTTGTATGTCATCTATACTATTTGTATATCCTATTGTTATTTATTAAATAATCTTATCAACCTTGAAGGGTCATGTGGTTTAAGGTGATGAGTAACATTCAGAATTCTGAGAAAACTTAATTCAAATAATTTTTAAAAACAAATCCTACTTTATTTTTCTTTACCAATATTTTTTTCATCATTGAAAGAAAAAATAAAGTAAGCCTTAAGGATCAAATGTGATTTTTATTTTCAGAAAAAGTAAAAATAGGAAATCACCCAATAATGAATGTAGGTTTCAAATAACTAGGAAAATATCCAAGCCTGTGAAGCATAACTGGATATACTTTCTATTATTTGACTCATTTACAGGTATAATTAGAATCATGCTAAAAACAGTCTTTTTTTTCTTTAAAACCAAATGATTGGTCATGGTGCCTAACCTGACTGATAACAAAATTTCTACCAGGCAGAGGAAAGTTGTATTTTGTTATGCATGTCAAAATAAATTACTTTAAAACTGGCAGTGATAAAAAATTAACCATTTTTCTCTGATTCTAATTCACCATGCTAGTTTTTATCAAATGCCCATTTAAATGTAGAAAGATTCAATCTGTCATTATTGGACAAATGATTCAGTTTTACAGGAAACTACTTTGAAATGCTTATGTATGCCAGTAATAGCTGCTAGAAAATAAAATAACATTTAAAATAATACTAAAATCATTAAATCATAAAATAAAAAATGTAAATAATTAAAACATTTGTTTGTTTATTTTAATCATGATTTCTTGCATTTTTAGTTCAGGCTTCACTCATCACCTTTATGCACTTGATCCTTCGATTGGTATTGATTGGGATTCAGGGATAATATTTAAATTATTTATGTTTCAGAAAAAATAAATAATTAAGAAATAAAATATTTTGATACTGAATCTTTTTAAGGTATTAATAATTTTTTAAATCACCCCTACTCTTTAGTGTTATTGGCAGCTCTTTTTATAAGTTTTATACCATCTTAGATTCTAATCTCTTTTATAAAAAAATTAGATTCTAAGGGTATGATTGATTTCTAGAATTCCTTTAGATGGATTTAATTCCCAAATCATGCCTTCTAAGAGAAAAATGGGTAAATTTGACTGGAAGATTATCTAAAGGAAACTGAAAAAAAAAAAAAAAAAAATAATATAAAAATGTTTGTTTCTAGAAATTACTATTGTTTGGGTCTGTTATTTTCTAAAACGTTTCTCTTAACCAGATCAGGTTTCTCTAATCTAGAATTTGGACCTAGAATTTAGCTTTTTCAGAATATTGCAGAATATAGAAATTGCAGTTAAGGAATCTTTGAGTTTATGAGAACCCACACTGAGATCAGGTACCTAATAATGAAAAGTGTTTTATGTAACATTGGTACAAGAAAAAAGAGACTTTCCCTGTTTCTGAGCAGAATGTTCCTTATTAATAGAATTTCATGTTTTTTATTTTGAAGTTTGAAGAACTCAGTTTCTCTAGAGAAGAAATAATTTTTCACTGAATTGGGTATATAGAGAGAAGTAAAAGAATATTGGAAAATGGAATTTGAAATTTTAAGGAGAAATTATTTAATTTCATCAAAATCCTAAATTAAAAAAAAAAAAACAGTTGAGTGATTCTTGTAGTTGAGTGGATTTTTTAAAAGTCAAAATCTTAATTTTTTTGTTGAGGCTTTTCAACTTCAATTTGATTTGACGTTCGTCAAACTGAAGTTATTCAGTTTCATTTCTATGCTGGTAGCAATTGTGTTAGGCTTGTTTCACACCTACCCGGCAGTTGGATAAACGACATCGGGCCGGCGCCGGACCGACATAGACTCCAAACTTGATTTCTTTCACATTAGCACGACTGTTGGATAAACAACATCGACCCTGCTGTCGGATAAACGACATTTGGACAGCATTGATACATGTTAAATAATACTCTTATTTAAATAGTTAATCACAAAATTTAATTTCTAGCAAATATCACATGTTTTCTCGCTTTCACATTCTTATTCTCGCTTTAATTAAATAATACTCTTATTTAAATAGTTAAACATAAAATTAAATTTCTAGCAAATATCACAGTGAAAAATGAGTAAAAATATAGTTTTCATAGTGGACACTTTCACAGCGGTAACCCCATTTTTTCTGAATAAATTTTTCATTGTGTTCAATATGAGTGGCTTCATATCAAAGACGGACTTGTCATTTGTAGTTGAGTCCGTGGTACCTTTTTATCGAATTATTAACACCTCATCGTAACCTACAACTATTTACGAAAACTCATGGAAGTGGAGGGTTTTCAATTTGGAGGGTGACAAACTTTGTCTATTTAATTAGGTACTAAAAACTCGTAAATATCCATTTGCTTTCTACTTGGATCGTAAAATAATTTGATCACAAAGTCGATAAAAAAGATGCCTACAAAAATATTGGGCCATTTGTCCTATATAACCTCGTTATTTTGCAAATTTGGGGGTGTATATCATGCCAAACGGCTCAATATTTTTGGAAACCACCTTTTTTCTCGACTTTGTGATCAAATTATCCTATGATCAAATTATCCATGTAGAAAACAAATGGATATTTACGAGTTTTTAGTACCTAATTAAATAGACAATGTTTGCCCCCCTCCAGATTAAAACCGCCCCAATTCCAAGAGTTTTCGTAAATAAAATAGTTGTAGGTTACGATGGGATGAAACTATTTATAAAGTTTCAGGCGGATATTAATGATTCAATAAAAAGGGGTCTTTGCCACGGACTCTGAAAAATAGACAATTTTCTGTAATGTTGCTTTAATTTAAACCAATGCTAATGATTTTTTTTTCAATTTAACTTATAACATGATAAAATTATCAAAAACAGTTTGACATGAACCTATAAAATAAAAATTAATTTTATCTCTATCTTCAGGATATGACATATGCCTGTCTCTGATATGAAGCCTCTTATGTACTAAAAAAACTGATTTTTTAACTGTAGTATGTAATATAAGTTAAACAATTATTTTAAAAAAAAACTTATTATAAAATATCCGAATCGATGTTCGACATGGAATGTTTGTCGCCATTCATTCAACGTATAGTATTCCCAAGTCTAATTTATAATTTTCCAAACGAAATTGGGATTTTTTCAAATAAAATGGAACTTTTCTAACTAAATTCAGATTTTATATTTTAAATATCACACACCAGTGATTATGTGATATTTAAAATAATCTTTCGGGAAAAACACCCTTTTTTTGTTAATGAATTTAAACATTTCTCAATTTTTGATACCATTTTCAACATTTATCATGGATCATCACAGCAACCAATTGTATTGTTGGATAAACAGTAAAATATCGAGTATAATAACAGTAAAATATTCCCTCAGGGGAGTGGAACATTCAAATCCATATATATCCTTTTTTGAGTTCATCTATGAGGATAAAAAAATATTATTTTATTTCTTTTAAGATAATTATAACTATTATAGACAAAATTATACTATAGACACTTTTTTCTTTATTTTTTTGACATTAAATTAATATGAAGCTATATTATATTGATACCTGTTTTAGATATGTGAAAAGTTTGTTTCTTCTTTATGTATGTTTAATTTTGAATCTGTTTTTGTGTACTCATATATTTATTCTATTCAATATTTTTTCACTTTGTTGATACATTTTATTTATTTATACCGCTATTTATTTATTATTATTTTGTTGATTTATGTAACGTTTTCTTTATTTCTTTATTCATTTTACTTACTTTATTTTTATTTTATAATATATTGTTGCGAATGGAGTGTGAATGTGCTCTTTGAACACTATTATAAATGTCCTTAATTGGGACAGATTGTAATATCTCTCAAGAAATATGTTAATTTAGAATGTATTGTAAGTATTACTTCGGTTTGAATTTTTAGATGTCAATGCTATTAATAACTTCTACATATTAATTAAATCTTGTACAACAATATATTTTGTATCAATTTATTTCTAAAAAAAAGTTTTCTAACATCGATGTGATGTTTTTGCATGATGTATGCTCTTTTCTATTTATTTTTTATTTTTTGCGGAATACATACCTCTTCGAAAAAAAAAATAAAATAAATATATAGGGATACTGGAAATAGGGATACTTCTATTTGTTGTTTATTTTATTTGTTTTAATAAAAATATTATTTTTTTTTTGTTCGTTAGGGATTCTCTTATCTGTTGGTAAACATAAAAAGTCAACAAGTATTTTCCATTTTTAATAAAGTATTAAATAAAAGATAGTTAACATGAAGAATACTCTTTGTAAACCAACAGTTGTTTTCAACTTTTCTCAATTTTAATATAGAAATATTCTGTTTAATGAAGAAAAGATATCATATTGAACCATAACTTCTCAATATTATCCTCAAAAGAAGCTGTCAAGGGCATCGGTGGTGAATACCCCTGATGTAGTTGCCATCTCCCAGATTGTTGTTTTCCGAGCTTTAACCAGATTCAGAAAAACTCGAAGTATTAATTGGAGACCTGTTAGTGGATGAGGATCTTAGTACATTAATCTCCAAGGGATGGCAGAAATATTGGTATTACTGCAAGAACCAAACCTTTTCATAGTCCCCAATAGAGCCTAAATGAAGTGTTGAATGTTCTGTCTAGCCCCATACCAACACAAACCATTCTCAATTTTTTGTGAGAAGTTTATCTAACATCTTATGCCCCTTTAAAATGGCATGCAGCAACAGTGCATCATCGGCAACTCCACGGATTATTGTGCAGCATATGCCTAGGTGACGATACAAATTGGAATGCTGCAATGTTTACAAACAAGTCACGTTTCTTTATTATATTATATTATTATATTGTGATCTTAGGTGCTTCATTTTCTACTGAGAATCGGGGATGAGTGCACTGCCATAGTTTGTGCTTCCTTTAATGCAGTCTAGAGGTGAAATCTATTAAGGAGGACGGACTTAACTCTCATATGATGAATGGTAATTTCATTGCAATTTTTTATGTTCAAGAAATTTCAAGAAGGAGCAAGAGTTGTTCATCAATGAAAATCTGGATCTTTTATACCTGCTCCTTTTCATATTATTTTCACATCTCAATCCCATTCAGTACAAGTGAGATGCACTGCAGAGAAAGCCTTTTGACCACCGTTTCCAGGTTCTTAACTTTCAGCAACTGAAAGCAGTATTGCTATGCATATTGGATGAAATTCCTTGTAAAATCAGTGGCAATATCAGAAACAGTATGCTCAATAGATGCAGAGAATTAGAGGGTAACAGAGGATATTACATCGATAATTAAATTTTACAAAATGTTTACAATTTGATATCATAAAACCAAGATCACATAAACCTTTAATTTTATTATTTTTTAAAAGCAGCTTTAATAAAATTTCCGGAGGTCAAATACAATCATATTAATTTGTTGTTATATTAATTTTCAATATTATAAAAATGAATTAAACATCCTATGGAAAATAATTCACACATAGCGAACAATATCCCTATTTGTTTTATCCCAATATATATAGGTTAGATTTGTACTGCACTGATAAGAGCAGTGAAAATCTAACCTATGATTTGCAGGACACATCGGTAGTCATCCAAACGTTGCCGGGTACCCAGAACACTAGGACGACTGTCGTCATGTGGTTTATCCGGCAATGAAGATTGTCATTTGTTATTAGGACAACATTAGCACAACTCGTGTCGTTTAAACGACGACTATTGTCGGACTAGTGTGAATTCCCTATTACTCTCTGTCTCCATACTAGCTATCCAGCATCGTTTAAACGAGTTGGGTAAGTGTGAAACTGAACTGTCGTTTAACCAACAACGACTATGTCAGATAAACGACAGCACGACAATTTTGTGTCAATTAAACGACAACGACAAAAATCGGGTTAGTGTGAAAGCTCCCTATTACTCTCTGTTCCGAATGCAGTGTACATGGTGTCGTTTACCCTTAGGTGTGAAATAAGGCTTAGATTTTTGAATTTAAATATTTTTATTTATTTTTGATTTTAAATTTACATGTTCATAATGAGTGTGTGTGATGTGAATATAGCTTGAGTAAAGGAGACAATCTATATAATATATTCAAGGAACTTGTTGAGATAAGGGTTGAACATAAGAACCTGTATCAATGATTTTTGGAAATTTAACGAGTTAAGGTTCATAAACTGTATCAGGAAAATTACATAATCCAAAGAATGATAGCAGCATACCTTGGTCATAAATGTAATTACTCTGATGAATAGCACGTGTCATTTTTTCCATTTAAATAAGCATAAATGTTATTAAATATATAGAAGGTTAATACCAATAATTATAAATTAATTTTTTTATTAATCTTGCTTTAATTAAGCTTATTTTATTGTATACTTTTAAAATTTTATTTTTATCTAACCATTGTCCATCAAATACACTTTTTTGTTCTACTGTTGTCTGGTTCTTATAAGTTTATACCTCATTATAAAAATTTTACACCAATTATTGACATTGGTGTCATTAGAAGGATTACAAGAACGTCAAGGATATGGAGTAGAAGTCTTTACTGAAAGCTAAAAGACTCTGAAGTCCAAGATTCATATCAAATAAAGCTTGATATGAACTTGACCGCATTCCATAGATCTCGTGACAGCATAGATGATAGATGGGAAACAGGCTCATATACCATACACACTGCTGCACAACATATATTGGGCCTCTCACAAAGGGAGCCCTATGAAGGCTGGAGATATAAATGTCTGATGAAGAATGCTGTGAAGCAACAACTAAAAAAAATTAAGCTTCTGGAAAGATGAAAATCTTGCGAATCATACGGAGAGTGCAGAAGAATTGATAAGAGGGTCCATCAAAGAAAGGAGATAGCGTGGGAAAAGAGGAAGCTGAAAGATGTATAACATCTTAGAGCATCTAATGATACATGATTGTTCTTTCAGTCAGTAAATGAAGAAAGAGCAGCCTTTACACTTGTTCCCCACGCAGGAAGAGTTTTTGGGAAATACCAAGCTGGTCTCAGAAAGGGGCGATCCACAACCGACCAGATCTTCGCCATTAGGATGATTCTTGAGATGTAGATGGGATCAGACACGTATTTGAAACAAGTACAGGAAGGAGTTAGACAAAGAGGTGCGCTGGCCTATCTGCTTTTTAATCTTGTTGAAGAAAGAGCAATGAGGGAATCTGAAATACAAACGACGGGCACGATTTTCAACAGAACTGTCTACATATTCGGAACTGCCAGTGATTTCGACATAGTTGCCAGGTCTCAAACTGCATTGAAGGAAGCATTTCTTCAACTAGAAAAGACAGCTAAGAGGTTTGTGCTTGCTGTCGATGAAACAAAAACTAAATATATGTAAGCGGGACTAGAGCATTTCCAGGAAAAGCATATTGAGATTGGAACACATAAGTTTAAGAGGACGCTGCACATTGCCTACTTGGGGTCAGAGATGAATTCGGATGGTGGCATTTCTCAAGATATTAATTGTTGGATCTCAGCAGCAAACAGATGTCATTCTGACCTCACCAAGCAATTTAAAAGTAGGTTTATTACCAATGAGACCAAAGTGAAGTTTTACAAAGTTCTTGTTCATCCGGTCTTCACTTATGAATTTGAAGCTTGGGCATTGAAGAAGGCTGATGAAGATAGGCTGCTGATTTTTTATGGATCAGTGTGAGAAGGCTCTGATGGGCGGGACACCTCGCTAGGATGGATGAGAATGAGATCCCTCGGAAAATAGCCATGAAAACTCTACCAAGTTAGGTGAAGACCAAAAACGAGATGTTTGGATAGTGTCCACGCAGATACAAGAAATATTCTTGGAATAATGGAATGGATGGCTGCTGCGCAGAATAGGGATGAATGGCAGAAACTTTTGGAGAGGGCCTCTAGCGGAACCAGGATTTAATTTTTTTTGGGGGGGGGAATGCTTCAGGCCGAAAGCTTTTTTTTTCATATATATATATTATGATTATTTGAAACTACTGAAAGAACGAAACTACCTACCTATATGACATTTTGTTAAGTGATTCCGAGGATTGTCAAGTCCTATTAATTGTAATTACACGAACAATAATACTTAAAGAGATAGTTTTTAATATTTTTTCTATAAAACATGGTTATATTGCAGGTTCTTGAAAATGGCTCCTGAAGCCGAAACGTTGAATAAAGCATACAGGAGATAAAAAAAACTGTGTTTTTATTGGTGACCTTTGGCCTAAAATAGACATATGATAGGTTATATTTTACCATTTTGGGAGAGAGGGTGGCTCCACCTGTGGAGAGGGCCCTGATTCAGCAAGATATTGTAGAGCCATATAAGTATGAACAGTGGTTCCTCTCGAAAATATACAGTATTTCGAAAATATTAGTGACAATTTCCTATTATTACTCGTATAATAAGGATAATAATAATAAAGGAAAGGAAGACAGAACTGGTAATCAAGCAACTGAATAAACAGTCACTTGATAGAAAATTGATTTTGTACAATCCGCTAACTTAGCAAAAAACATAAAAATATATAAAGAATTTTATTTCAACTTTTAAAGTGTTTCAAATGTTCAGAATTTCATAACCATGAATCATATGTATTCGATTCATCATAACTTTTATTCATTAACTTGTGTATTTCATTAAGTTTTTCCTTACTGGTGTGTATAGTATTTGGTTTAAAACCAGTGAGGTTTTCTATTTTACATTCCATACCACTTCTTTCGCCTATACAATCATGTATCACTTGCCAAACTGGCTTAGTCTTCTCACGTATTTCTTCATTGTATTTAGGAAACCAGTTTTCATACAATTTAGGGTCAAAAGGCAAAGGTGTGATCCATTCTCTTCGACAATGGTTAAGAATCCATCTACGTTCGCTATAACTTGGTATTCTGCAGAGATAAAAAAAACATTATACTCATCATCTATGCAAATCCAACGTAGAATTCTTCGAGTTAGCTTTGGTTACCTAATCATGTTAATATATATGCTGTACCTAAAAGTTTTTGTAAGTATCTAGTAATCTGTAACATCAATTTTATAGTTAGACTGTTACTAAATTTTGAAAAATATATAATTGTAAATATATAATGTTATATATATAAGACATGCAGCATGTTGTGTTGTTCTTGATAAGACAGAAAATCTTGAAGTTTGATTGGGATTTCAGTGCCGGCCTCAGACATTCGGCGCCCCTGGGCAGTGACGTCATCCCCCACAAAAAATAAATTAAATTTTACTTCTTTCAATATTTCTCTAACACAGCTGCTTTATTGATAGGTTAAAATTAATTATTTTAATACTTTTGGATTTTTTATTTTTATTTTTAACAAGTGGAGAGCGCCCCTGAAGATTGGCCAGTGCCCTCAACAAGCGCCCACCCAGGTCGGTGCCCCAGGGAAACTGCCCCGGTTACCGCGCCCTAAGGCCGGCACTGTGGAACTTCATATCTTGTCCTCCGTACTCTTGTGACCTTGTTCCATCCGATTATTACTTGTTTCTATTGTTAAAAAATCTCTCCGTGATAAATAAGAATGTCAAAAATCTGAAAGCAAAATAAAAAGGATGAATATATTCCAAATAAGTGTCAACAATTTTGGAAAAAGGGTATAAGAAGAAGCTTCCTGAGAGATGGAACAAGGTAATAGAGCAGAATGCAGTGTACACAGCGTCGTTTACCCGTATGTATGAAATAAGCCTTAGATTTTTGAGTTTAAATATTTTTATTTATTTTTTATTTTAAATTTACATGTTCTACATCTATATTATTCCTCAGTCAAGCAGGATGATGGATTTTTTGTTAGGGCTTGTAATTGCTTGAAGCGCAGTAATGCTTACAGTAACATCATGATGCTATGTCCTTCGGATTTGTAAGGTGCTTTGATTCTGTCTAATCTATTTAAGTTAATCGTATTATTGTTCGATTTTGACAGAAACCTGTATGCTTTAATGGTGTGCTCTCTGCGATCAAGTTTATTGAGAAAGGATCTATATACTTGCCTTTTGTCTTTGGTCAATTATTTAGCTTTTGTTAGTACCTTAAAAATTAAGTTTCTACCTTAAAATTTTTAAGTTTCTTGTTCCGAAATGGTATGAATTTTTTAGTAGTTAGTGAACAATTATGACAATTTGCCACCTTTTTTTTTTCTTTTTCCTGTTCTTCCTTACCTCGCCTTTTAGGTTATACACGACTTACGATTTTCCCGGGTCGGAGGATGAAGGTAGAGAATTTAAAATCCCCTCTGGCACCTGGAGATGCGAACTCGTACTTTTTTTTCAACCTCAAAACTTGGTTGTCTGGTTGCCGGGCAACTCGCGGTGCTGACAATTGGCCACCCCCGCCCTCTGACAATTTGCCACCTATGGAGCAGACCTAAATTTTCTTTTGTTGAAAAAATATGAACATATTTTATTAAATTATTTGTTCTGTTTTTCTCAGGAAAGAACCTTAGAAGAATAACGTTAACACTGTAGTTTCTATAAGGAGGCAATTCAAAATCTGTTGGAGATTTTATTTAATACAAACATTTTGAAGAAGAGTGTTCATTGAAATTAAAACTAATATAAATAATTTTTAAAACAATTGTATAGTCCATTAACAAGTAAGCATCCCATCTGCTAACTTTTAAACAATAAAGGTTTCTAAAACAGAGAGCTCTAATTAAACTAGTATTATCTGAAGCTATCATTTATTTAAACCTTACTAAGCTCTCATTATTAATCATATTATGATTGATTAGTAAAACAATAAAAGAGAACCTCATGAATTCTCCTGTGATGGGATGAATCATCTCTCTGGAAAATGGGTTATAATATCCTTCTCCACTATCATAGCTTGCAACTGGTAAAGCCGGGGCAGGATGGTCATCCGAAAGTTGAATATTACCAGACGGATTTAAACCCTTTTGATACTCTGAAAGAAATCTTTAAAATTTATTATTAAAAGTTTTGTAATATTTTATAAATGAATTTCTAGTGGCTATGTAATATTATTTACATAGTTTTTTATTTACATGGCTATGTAATAGTATTATATATTTTAAAAGTCTTAAAGATGACAATACACTTTTTTATTGTTTAAACTCTTAAGTTCATTAGAACTGGTTTGTTGTAGATGGGAATATTATTAAATTTTCAAATTTTTGTTAATTATAATATACGTTATTAAACAATGGTTAATTATTTCCAAATACTTATGTTATGTCATTATACTTTTCTTAACACTTCCGAGAAAAGTTAAATATAAAGATTATTGGTCTGTTTATTTTTTTTTATTAATAAAAATGGTCAATCGAGTTTTTCTTCAAATGGCAATCTCGAATGCTTCTGTAGATGTAAAGTTTTCGAGTTATCAAATACCGTAACAAAGGAAAGGCTTATAATATAATATAATATAAGGCCATGAGAGGCTTAGCATTAACTCCATTTTAAGTAGCAGCTAATTATACATCTTAAACATATGAATAGAAGCATATCTGCTACATTTATCTTTTCTATTGTACTTTAAGCAGACCTGTACATTTTTTAAGTTTTTTTTTGCATTTGGATTAAAATATCTCAGACAATAAGAATCGTACCTGTATACTGTAAGTGAGGAAATTGTGATTATTTTATCTTTTTAGTATCTATTACTCAAAATTGCATCTTAATGTGATGCCATGTTAGCGAGGCAAAGAGAAAAAGGGAACGAGTTTGAAAACTGTAAGGGAGGTATATGTTTAGTATTTTCTTTTCTTTGTAATGAGCTATTATTCAAAATTGTATCTTAACGAGGCGCTTTGTTAGAGAGGCGAAAAGGAAAAAATAATGTCGAAAACCAACAGATAACGAGTTTTATTGAAGATATGGATTAAAATATTTCAGAAAATAATGATCTGCATACTGTAAGCAAGGGAAATCTTCAGTATTTGATCCTCTTTGTAATGAGATATTAATTCAAAATAGTATCTTAAGACAACGCCGTGTTAGGGAGACGAAAAGGGAAAAATGGAGAAGGCCACATTTCTCTATGCCATAACTCTTTGGTTAAAAATTATTATGCATAAAATATTTATTTTACTTTGTCAGCGGCAACTTACCTTCTGTCAGGCATTGTACAGTAGTCCCAGTTCTTGCATTCGTAGGGCAGTCCATCCGCAAAAACATATTGTGGGTTGAAAGCTACCCCTTGAATCCAAAATGCCTTCATCACACCACCGTGGTGGAATTTGATATTTCCCTCTCCAGCATATTTATTGCCCAATATTTGCCCAGTATAAACTGCCCCTTGAAATAAATCTTTCCGTTGGTATCAATGTATGAATTGTATAAGTATTGAATATTAGGTAATTAAGAGGTTATTTGGCATGTTATGCTGTGAATAAATAGTAAATTTATTAATATTTAACTTACAAAACAAATCAAAAAAGTATTCATGAAATATGACCTACCAAAAATTCAGTTTGGCATATATAATGACAAAAAAATTAGGTAAATACTTGACAAACACAAAAGACAAAATAGAAGCACTGGACAAGAAAAATGTTGTTTATAAGTTGTACAACATTGTCAACAAATATATATAGGCGAAACATAAACAAAAATTAAAAACCAGAATATCACAACATGCATCAAATTGCAAAAATAGTAAAAACATTAACATAACAGCCCTACCAAACTATCGTATTAAATCACTACACACATTTGACTTCAAAAACCCACAAATGTTAGTAATAGAACCCGAAGATTCAGCCCGAAAGATTTTTTTTCATATATATACCGATAATTAATTTGAAAAGAAAAGAAGAAGTAAGAAATGAACTACCTATATGAAATGGTGTTTAAGTAATTCCTGAAGTCCTATTAAATGTAACTACACGAACAATAATATTATAAGAGATATATTTTAATATTTTTTTCTATAAAACATGGTTATATTTTACCGTTTTGGGGGGGGGGAGAGAGAGGAGCTTCAGCCCGAAAGCCCCCCCTGTAAATCCGCCTGTGTGGAACGGTAAACTATAAAACAGATACAAAACACTTAGGTACACACTATTCGGACATAATATCCACTACTGAAATTCAAAAAACAATAGACAAAAAAAACACAACAAACAGCTATAATAATAAATAAGAGGACAGGTAAAAAGTACAGTAATGAAACTGAAGATAGCCAGATGTTGGTTAGTGTAACAATAAATAAGAAAGGATGTGTAACACCAAAAAAATATAAAATGAATGTGACAAATATTTGAATTTTTGACAAATGGTGCCACATCAAAAAAGCAAGTTTCAGTGAAAATAAGGATTGTTCTGATGACGGGAAAATTGATCCGAAACATTAGAGATAATAATTGATTAAAGGGATTTGAAGAAAATTGGAAGTATTATTGCCTTAAGTATGAAACAAATTTATAAACGTAGGCTTCCTAAAAAAAAGAAAAATAAGAAGATAAGTAAATTTAAGTTATACCATCAGGATATACGAATTTACTGAAGCCGTCAATGCCAAGCGGACCATAAAGTCCAGTTAATTTAGCGCCTGAAATAAATTGGAAATCTTCTACTTTCTTGGGCAAGTACGGTTCGGAAGACAGTACTCGAAAGGGTATTTTTTTCTTAGACATCACTCTTCTCATTGTTATTTTGAAACGCAATTTTTCCATAGTACCAGCCAATCCCTTTATCTTCTGCAAATATTTTCACCAAAATCCAATTCAATAGTGATTATGTAGAATGATGCTTGAAAAATAAATTAAAGAGATAAATTAAATATTAACTTAAATTGAAGCAACCTATAGGTTGATATTTGCTATCTATTAAGTAGTGACAGAACGGGTCTATGAAGTAAGTATTGCTAACTGCTACATTTCATCACCTCATTATTTTAAACCAACTTTCTCATGCACTGAAAATTAAATAAGATTTTGTTGTGAATCATTCAATTATGGAATTGGCTGCGATATATATATATATATAGTTTTGGAAGATAAAAGAGCAAAAATAGAAGAAAAAATTGCAAGAAGAGAATGATATAAGAAATGGTTAAGTATTTTCTCACACGTTATATTAATTTTATGACAACGATGATTGTGAAACATAATCGTGTTTTGTTAAGACAGGATGTAACAGCGACGTTGAGGACACGGAGAGAAAATCGTCGTCCCGTCCGTACACTATGGGTTGGTGTTGTATACGGCGACGCGCAGTGGGCAAAATGAATGATTTAGGAGGACAAAAGCCAATCTCACAATTGTTATCCATTCAATGCTCGTTGTTTATTACGATAGTTGAATAGTCCAAACACAGTATTACAAATTTTGGAAAGTAATATATACACTTTTTGTATTTATGATTTAGCAAGTTTTACGTTAATATTACACTGTGTTAATTTTTTCACCGATTCTCGAAAATTCAATTGCTTCCATGTTTATAGATGTATAAACTTTTACTAATATGGATGCTGATTGGCAAGGTAAGTACAACTAATAAATATAAGAATATTGTATAGAAAAAAATCAAAATACTATCTTCCAATGGCATCGATTAGTTTCAGAAGGAAAAAATTATAAAAGTAGCGAGGAGTAGCCAGATGATCATTACACGGTTCAAAGTGACTTTAACGTAGTTTCTAAATATGACCTTTCGTGCTGCTAAAATGCGCATGTTTAGAATTTATTTATTTTTTTTTAAAGCGTAGATTAAAAAATAAGATCATTTAATTAATTGTGTTTTATACATAGGCTGAATTGAACGGTGGGATTGGTTTCCGTTTATTAGTAAAGAATAGGGGGTTATATGCCAACGTTTAACGCAAGAAGGTATGGCGCTAGCGTTTTATTATACTTAAAGTAGGTATAGAATATAATCTAACACACATTAACTGTAATTAATTTCTAGTTATATCATTTATGTCAACATTTATTATTTTTTTTAAAATTTAAATTAGGAAATGTTTATAAACGTTTATGGATAGTACATAACAGTTTCCTTGGTGTTATTGACTTTTCTAATGTGAATTTGAAACCAAAATTATTCTTAATTATGGAGACACGTGTAATAAATAACATATTAAATTACATAAATAATAGCTTAATTTTTGTAATTGAGCAACTTTACGTGAAATTCAGAAATCAAATTCCAAGGATTTTTTTTTTATTTATTTTTTAGAATTGCTAAATATCTTAATGCGGACAAAGTTATAAGGTTTATGTGTATATGTGTGATATAATAAATCACGGTGAGCCTCCTGATAAATAAAACTAGAAAATCATAAAGATAAAAATTCAGTTCTTTTTTGATCAGTTCGGTGCGCTAGTTCGTCATAAAAACAGTGCCATCATCTGGTTATAAGATCAATTTAGATAAATTCGAGAATTACGTTTCAAAAACAAGACAACTTTATCTACATTTATCCATGGTGCTCAATTTTTCTGTTGTCATATAATAATAATAATGCTTTATTTATTCTAGGACGAGTCCCTTTAGAATAATACAGAAAGACAAAAATGTGGGCTAAGGAGAATCAGAGATACATAAACAAGAATATAGTTTAATTAAATAGTCAAAATAATAAAAGAAATTATAAGTTACTTTCTAAGTTAAATCAATTAATAATAAAACATAAAAAGTTGAGAATAAACATGAAGTAAAAATAATGAAGAACGATCTAATAATTTATATACATATTTACAGTAGTAACTATTTACAATTGTATGAGGACTGGATGGATAAGAAATGATAAAACAGGCGGGATTTAAAGGTAGGAAGGGTTTTAGATTGACGGATGTGGGGAGGGATGGAGTTCCATAGGGATGAGGATCGGATAATGAACGATCTGTCGAAAGCAGCGGTACGGTGGGCCCTTATGTATAAATCAGAAGACCAGGAACGAATATTGCGGGAACGAACAGAAGATTTGAATTGAAGGAGCTCGGAGATGTATGAAGGACAGTGGGATTGGATAACTTGAAAGAGGAAGGATGCCAGGAAATACTTACGACGGTAGGAAGGATAAAGCCAATTCAACACCGCATAAAAACGGGAAACATAGGCGTCCCCTGGGATCCCGAAGATGAATCGTACAAAGCAATTTAGCAAACGTTTTACTTCGCCTCGAGATCTCCACAGACGCCCCCATATACCGTTCAGCAATAGTCAAAGTGGGGGAAAATTAAGGAAGTTACTAGGAGCCTACGGGTTTCAAGGGGAAATAGGTGATGGGAGTAATTTAGACGTTTTAAGGTGGACATGGTACGGCGGGAGATGTTGGATATATGATTTTTCCAGGAAAGCGTTTGGTCAAAGATCATTCCAAGGTTTTTGATGGAGGGATAGAATTTAATGGGATTATCATGTAGGAACAGAGTTGGAATATCAGGAACAGTTTTAAGGAGGTGATTGGAGCCTGTTAAGATTGCCTTCGCCTTTTCTGCATTCAAATTCATCTTGTTAGCTCTCGCCAAGTCACAAATCCTATCCAAGTCTTCTCGAAGTTTTTCTGTGGCTGATAATAGGTCGGTAGACGGGAAGGGACAGATATATTTGAAAATCATCGGCATAAATATGGTATTGGGAGTGATGGATCAGGAGAGGAAGGTCATTAATATAAATAGCAAACAAAGTAGGAGATGGAGAGGAACCTTGAGGGACATCACAGGTGAGGGAGAGGGTTTTAGACGAAGGTTGACCTGGGACAACATACTGGGACCGATTTGAAAGGAAGGATTTGAACCAACACAGGGTACTGTTGGATAGAGAAAGATTGTGCAGTTTAGTGAGGAGTCAACTGTGTCGAACGCTTTTGAAAAATCAAGAAGGAAGGATAATATGGTGGGATAATATCAGGATAATATGGTTTTGGTGTTCAATGGAGTTTTGAAGGTCATGGGTTATTTTAAGGAGAGCGGATTGCGTTGAGTAACCAGGTTGAAAGCCAGATTGGAATGGGTTGATAAAGGAACGTTCCTCTAGGAAGGCGGAGAGTTAATTTTAGACAAGGCGTTCTAACGGCTTTGAATGGTTGGAAAGGAGTGAAATAGGTAGAAGTAGGTGGTTTTAGTAAGTCGGATTGTGGATTGGGTTCCATTGCGAAGTTCCTTGAAAAACGAATAATCAACAGGCAAATGGGTTCGACGGTATTTGCGCCTTGCTACATTCCTTCTTTTCATCACTTCCTTTATTTCAGGAGTCGACGTAGGATTCTGGTTTTCAGAGGAGCATGGGTGTCTAATAAGGATTGTAGGTTTGTAGTTAGGATAGATACTATAGGATAGATGGAATTATAGTAAGATACGATATCTCAGTGGAAAGTGTCACGATCAGGTTGAAGGGATTCATAAGAAAGAAGATTTAAATTACGGTATGAGACCATTTTGGGAGTAAAGGATTTCATAGGTAGGTCGTATATAATTTGGATTAGGTCATATGATGAGAGAAATAGAATGGGATGTTGAGAATAGGAAAAGATTTTGATGGGAGAGTCAGGGAAGTAAAGGATGAGTGGGAGAATAAGGCATCAGATAGAGATTAAGGGAAAATATCAGTTCAAGAAGGAAGAGTTTTCCTGGAGATTCTGTGAGCATATTTATATTAAAATCAGCGGATATGATGACATTGGAATAGAAGGAAACCAGGTTGACAAGGGAGGATTGAAAGAGATGATCGAATGGAACACTATAATTTATTATACGTAGTAATAATTTTATAAACATGTTAATTAATATTTTTTGCCGATAATTATTATATATTCGCTTTAAAACATTTACTTTTCTTGGCATCATTGTGTTTATTACTTCTCTTTCAGCAATTTTCTGATTATTTTTCTTAAACTAAGTAAAGTAAATAAGAGTCAAGTATTCTAATATTCTGAATGAAAATCACATTTTATTTTATTTTTTGGCACAATTTAAGTTTCATTATCGTACGATTTCTTTTATAACTTATAAAATCTTGGTGTAGCATTTTTTTACCTATTTTTATCGTGCTCAGCAACCCTTAAAACATTGTCATTAATTATAATATTGTTTTGTTCACCTAAATCAGTAATTATGCTCAATGTACGACGTAAACATAGAGAAATGATGAAATACGGCTAGTTATAACCAGAGATGGGCGTTACTCTTTCTGTAATGATACTCTGAGTACTGAGTATGAAGTATTTTACTCAAATACTGAACCTTTTTGGAGTACCAAAGAATTTAATTATCACTTCAGTTGATGTCAAATGATTAACTGAAGTAGTAGTCCCCAATAGTGATTCAATTTGAATAAAATACTTGGAAGTCGGTACTAAGAGTAGCATTTGCCCATCTATGGTTATACACTGAATCAGCCGTTTACATTTTTTAATAGAAGATAAAATATAATAAAATACTCACCGTTGTTGCATTGTCAATGCGAGGTTTTGACTTCTTGGAATATGATGGTTTGAATATTGGCTCATTGTTCTTCACTTGATAATAATTTCTGATATTATCCATAATGAAGTTAACCAAAAATATCTTAGGACTATTATACTATACCCTATGAAACATAACAGAAATAAACATATGTCAATTATTTTCTAATTTCAGTTGAAATGTTGCATGTAATTATGGTACATTAAACAAAATGAATTAATCCCTCAGCAAATTCAAGAAATTTATTCAAAAATCGACTTCTTATTCAGGAAAAAGGAATTTCAAAGTTTTTAATTTTATTTAGATATTAATCTAAAATTTGTCGGCCGGTCACTACTAGAGATCTTTGTTACCGCACTCCTCTTGTGACGTCACGAAGCCTTCAATAATCAGTGCTGTTCTTTGGGAAATCGATCGTCCAGGCTCGATACAAAATATCGATTGAGGCTTTCAAAACAGGTGATATAAAAAAAAAAACAAAAAAAAAACACTTAAGTTGCTATCGTAAAAACTGTTCTATATCTGTCAAATTTGTCCAACATACCGTAGTATGGTATAATATATTATGAACTGCAATTTCTTAATTACATCCAATCAACCAGGGACGGTCTTAGAAATTGGGCGTACTTAGGAAATTACGTTATCCCTCTAAAAGAAATTAAATTTATATCTCAAGCTGTTTTATTTTATGTAATATTTGAATTTCATTTCATTCAATAATCCTCTAATATGGTTACTAAACGGAAATAACATTATTGAGATTGTCAGACTAAGAACCTTCATATCACAACGGCTGCACCAAGGGTTGTGTAATTGGCAAATGTGGATGCAAAAAAGCCTGCTTCCACTACCAAGGATAGGGGTGCCCACCCTCTGCCATAAAGTCGACGCCGCATGAACCTCTCCCTCCTCCCAAAATATTTTTATTGCTCTCTTCTTCTTAAAAACAGTGCAATTTAGAGTAGAATTTCGTGAAATAGAATACATCATACACATTTACACTTACTCAGGTCTATTCCAATATTCCCTTTGTTCTCTGTTTTGAAACTTTTTATTTTGAAAATTCATAAATCCGTCTCTCGAAAATTCAAAACACCGTTAAAATGTGCCCCCCTCAACAATTTTGTTGGTGCAACTTGCGTGTCCCCTTTCTGGGCACCTCTGGTCAAGAGGAATGCCTCAACAGCGTGCCTGTGCCTGTTGTCGAGGACGACGTAGAACCCATTCAGCCAGAACCATCAACTACTGGGAATGAGCATGTCATAGAGGAACAACCCTTGCCAGGACCTTCACGTCCAAAGTGGATGGAATCCATATAAAGTTGTGAGTGTGATATTAAGAAGCTATTGAGGACAGTTACAACAATGAGGTTTATAATTATTTCTATTTATTTATTTATTGTTATAAATGATCCTTATGATTGGTTAGAAAATCTTATCCTGGAGTCTGAATTTAATGTAACGAATAAAATAAAATTATCATGAGACTTTATTATCTGTAAAATACAATGTTAAATTTTTCAGGTAACATGATTTTTTTCTACTTTATTTAATAACTGGCTTTAAAGTGTGGCCACACATATTATTTGACAAACGAACAAAAGTTGTGGGCAAGAATATGATAAAATAACTTTTCTGAAAATGATAACCTGTTATGAAATTTATTTCAAAATTTCAACTTTTTCCGAGGATGTAGCTCGAAAACGATTGAAAATTCGAAAAAAAAAATCTAGAGAATTAAAGTTTTAGATAATTTTAAAAACTTTAATTTATTACTAGACAATTATCTCTTGCACACACCGTTTTCGAGGTACGAGATCCCCCACTGACTCACCACCTAGACGTTAGGGCTTATGATATATTCACACCTTAAGCACCCTGAATAAGGTTCTGAAGGAATAGCTTAGGTACCTGCTCACGCACTTCACCTTCTTTCTTGACTGGACTACATACCCTTCATCCAAAGCGATTTTATCCGCCCTGTTGAGGGCTTGAAACTTTCTGGAAAAATATTTTAAGAAAGACAGTCCAAAAAATAATTCTAGTATGTGCAGTGGTCATCGTCCACAAGTATTTAAGTACGTATAGTTTAATATTTGAGCCAACAAGTGCAAATTAATTATATATTATATATATGATTAATATATTCTATAAACTGGATTCAGAAAATGGCACGTTAGACCGGATTTTCATCCTAAAACAAGTACTCGAAAAACGATGGGAAGTAGCTCAGGACATCCACGGCCTATTTTCCGATTTCAAAGCAGCCTATGATTCTGTGAATAGTTGTCTTTGGAAAATCATGACTGAACTGGGAATTACCGATAAGTTGGTGAGATCGACAAATGCGTGTAGAAATGATCCCAAATGTAGGGTCCTATTACAAGAAGAAATATATAAGCATTCAATGTTCGAACAGGCTTACGGCAGGGAGATGAACTATCACCGATGTTGTTCAACTTATCCCTGGAGGAGGTAATAAGAGCAATATCTCAGGATAATGGAGGATTTCACGTCGGAATGCACCATAAAATCTTTGGATACGCAGATAATATAGCTGTTCTAGGAAGTAATCAAGAAGACATCGAGAAACTCGCTACAAAACTGATAAGGCAGAGCAGATCGGCCTACAAATAAGTGGAGACAAAACAAAATATATGATAATAAGCCGAAAATTCCACCCCAATAACAGGATCTGCGCAAAAGGAAAATCATCCCCGAGAGTGGAAATAATCATTTATCTCGGCTCCACAATAGTCTCAATGAATAGACCAGCTTATAATTATTGCAAACAGAGCTTTCTTCTCCCTCTCAAAGGTATTGAAATCCTGAAAAATCTCAAGAAATCTCATACTACGGGTGTACAATGCTACAGGAACGCCAGTTCTAATACACGGCTGTGAGACCAGGACACGCACCAGCATTATAGAAAAAAGTGTTGAAAGATTTGAGGGGAAAATCCTCCTCACTATTACCGGAGCGATCTGCGATTAGAGTACTAACACATGGAGAAGAAAGACCAATTAAGAACTGCTTATAGAAACTGATCAATCAATATCCAATGATGTAGCTTGAAGCAATCCATCTGGAAGCCTCTACGTAACTATGAATGCCTCAAAGGAAGGCAAAAGACCACGTGGAAGGCCAAAAAGCAGATGGATAGGTAAAATCAACAAAGATTCAATAGATCTGGGTGCAGATATGGGGAAAGAAATAGCCTTAGACAGACAGAAATGGAGCATGCTTGTTTAGGCAGCAGAAAATCTACATGGTCTGTAATACCAACGAGAAAAAAATATAATATGTAATGATCTAGCTAGTTACCCATAAATTCCTTAGAATTGTTTAAACAATACGAAGTGTAAACTAACACAAATATTAAACATGCATTATATATAATGCACAAGGATGTACCTACATAACTATTCTGAGATCAAATCAATGATCCAGATGAGAAAGCTGACCTGCCATTTTCTAAAGGATGGACGTAGGAATTCAGCTAGGTGACTTGATTGTGGTGTTGCTGAGGCCATCAGCCGTCCAGAGAACATATAATACACATCACCATTATCTCCTCAATGTACACAATAGGTCACTGTCAGCCAATGTCGAAATGTGGTATGTCCTTCAGATATTGCTTCAGCTTTATTCCTCGATCCGCCTAAAGTACCTTTCAAAAACAAAAAGAAATAAGTGGATAATTCTTGGAGAGTTTTCGTAGGAATTCGTTCCAACCGTAGTATTAATTTAGGGGATTTTGGAGGTTTTGTGGGGGTTTGTGTGTGTTGTGGTTAAGTGTTAGGAGGGGGGGGTGTAGAGGGGTGGGTGTGTGTGGGTGGTTGGGGGGAGGGGGGGAAGGTGGGTGTGGTTTTGGTGGGAGTTTGTGGGGTGGATGTGAGGGGTGGGGGGGGGTGGGGGGTGGGGGGGGGGGGTGGGGGGGGGTGGGGGGGGGGGGGGTGGGGGGGGGGGGGGGGTGGGGTGGGGGGGGGGGGTGGGGGGGGGGGGGGGGGGGGGGGGGGGGTGGGGGGGGGGGTGGGGGGGTGGGGGGGTAGGATGTGGTTTGTGTGTGAGTGGGGTTGTGTGTGGTTGGGGGGGGGGGGGGGGGGGGGGGGGGGGGGGGGGGGGGGGTGGGGGGGGGGGGGGGGGGGGGTGTGTGGGTGGGGGTTGTGGTGGGGGGGGGTTGTGGGGGGGGTGGGGGGGGGTATGTGGTGGGTATTTTTTTTTGGGTTGTGGTGGGTGTGGGGGTTGTTTTTATTTTTTTTGGTTGTTTTTGGTTTGGAGTTGGGGAGGGTGTTATGTGTTGTGTTGTGTGGTGTGTTTGGGGGGGGGTGTGATTAAGTTGGGTTGGTTTGGGGTGGGGGGTTTTTTTAGTGGGGGGGGTTTGGATTTTTTGGGGGGATGTGGGGAGAAGGATGAATAGGATAGTATGATAGTGGAGGTGTTGGTTGTTATTGTGGGGTGGTAATATGTGGTTTGAAGTTTATGAAAAAGGTTGGGTGGGTGGGAGTGAAGGAAAGGGGGAAGGGTTTTTTTTGTTGTTTATATTAAAGGGTGAGGGGTTTAGTTGTGAAGGGTGGTTGTTAGGATGATGGTTAGGTTGTATATGAGGATTAATTTGGTTGGGGTAATATTGTGGGGTTATATATTTTTTTATGTATGTGGAGGATAGTATTTGATTTTTAGGGTTTTAGTTGGAAGTTTAATTTATGTAAACGCTGTAAATATTTCTGGGATTATTATTTAAAATTCAAGATGTAAAACTTTAAATGATCGCACGAAAAAGCGTGGTATCAGAATACTCACTACTACACTTCAATTATTGACCAGTTTATTATTAAAACTAAAATGACTGTTGAAAAAATTCGAAAAAGGAATAGTTTAATATTTAATATTTTAAGTTATGCTATTCCAACCAACGTAAGATAAGAGTCCGTTCAATCAGAACTCAATTTAAAAATAAAAAATTGTATTGTATTAAAAGTTACTATTTATTTTTAAAATTCCAATTGTCAAATTATACTCATTGTTAAGTTCAAATATGCTATATTTTATGTCATCGGCACAAGTGTAATACCATGTACCTATCAAATCCAAACTTTTAAAAAAGACTCTAGAAATAAACTATGAAATTACCGACGTATTCAAGTCTTTTTTATTTAAATAGTGCTTATTACCAAATTATATACAATCGAGCATAACAAATCAACAACTAATTTTAATATATGAAATTTATTTAATTATAAAATGATTTTACGTAAAACATTTTTGGACAAAATGGTTTAAGATTCAAGTAGTCGATATGTTTTAAGTGAATACTTAAAATCTCAGGCTTGCCTGTTTGATCTAATAAATCAAATGAATCCCGAACCTTTCTACGCAAAACTATATTATCAAACATAAAAAAAACAACACTCATTCATGAACGGCGCCAGATTTATCTGTCAATTCTATCAGATATTCGCGTTGATAAGTTATCACTTTATAACGTAAGATATTTACAAATCGTGTTTCTTAATGATCACATGTTGAATGTCCATATTAAATAAGGCTGATTGTAAAATTATTATCGTTAAAAAACCTTTGTTGAGAGTACTGGAGTACTTGTCAAATTTTATGTTGTCATCTCAAAACAATCATATTACCATAATACATCGTTAGTTAGTAAGAAAATCGGGACAACTCAGTTGTTTATTTATATTGTAAACTTCTTAGAATATGTTATTCTTGAGTCTAGTTTATCCCCAAACCACTTTATTACTGGGTGATTGGTTTGGGTTATCTGCGGGCTTGTTGCAGCGTTAATCGTTAAACTTTTTTTTATTTTATTATTTATATGATATTTACAACCATATAAAAAAATACATTTAGGAAATTCGTATATGGATATAATGACATGAAACACATGTTGAGAAACAACCAGCTGGTAGCACTCTAATAATGTGTCTATATTAGGAGATCACGGGGCCATCTTCTTTTCAGACGTCTCGGGGGCTATCAGAAATTGAATAAGAAGCAAGGTTAGAAACAAGAGGGTTGGAATGGTTATGAAGTTTATTATAGAAGGATAGATATCTGGATTGGGTCAAATCTGAAACATCTGAATCCAAATTATCCAAATCTGAGACAGGAACATTAAGGTCATTGTGGATGATTTTATTTGTAACAAAGTAAGGAGCATCAAGGATTTACGAAGGATTTTGGATTGTAAGGATTGGATACGAGAGGAATTTGAAGGTTTGGTGGAGCCCCATTGCTCCACTCCGTAAGTCCAAATAGGCCTTATTATAGTCATATTTTTATGAGTATTTTGTAATTAATTGGAAGGTTAGAGCGTTTGTCAAGTAAGTGTTGGAGTAGTCGGAAACATCGAGCGGTTTCTTGTCGTTTCAGTCTGGTATGAGGATTCCAAGTTAGACGTTTGTCCAGGTGGAGTCCTAGGTAACGGATTTGTTCAACAG